GCACTTTAGAACTGGAAGATTAAGCTTTTGTTAACACTATTAATGGGGGGAGTGGGAGTTTGGGGGACTAGGGTGGGAAAGGGTGGTTGGGGGGACAGACGTTCCATAATTCTAAGTCTTCTATGCATTGTCCACCAAGAAGACCTGGGCAGCTTCTGTTACTGCACGACAGTTACGCTATCCTTGCAGCTAATCTCCTTCTGTTACTGTTTAGACAAGAATTCTGCTATTTTAAGACTTACATATGGTCTTGTGCTCAGAAATGCTCAAATGGATACAAACATCACTAAGGGTGGGGTGGGAGAGCAGAGGGGAAATAAAAAATGAAGCATCAGTCTTGTACCCTTTTTACAGAATTGATATAAAAAGGAGTGTCACACTGATCTTGTCCCGTTTACATCACAGTAACTTCAAGTAGAAGTCCCAATTAGATTTGTGTTTGTTTTTAACAGATGGCCCAGCGGATTATCCCTCTCCTAGCCAAGCAGGGGCAACTGCTCAGTGTAAATGAGGTGACTGGATAGCAGAGCCAAGTTCAGGATTGCTCGAGATCTGTCCCAGTCAATAGCAGGTATTGAGTTGGGCCTTTCTGCGAAAGCTGACAATGCATTTAAGATATTTTTAGTTACAATATACACTAGATAGATTTTTAAAACATCTTATTGAGAAGTAATTTAAACTTCCAAGGAGGTTGCAAATACAAAAAAATCCTGTGTATGCTTTACTTAAATTTACCTACTGTTCACATACTAACATTTTGCCTCATTTCCTATATTAGTGTCTCTCCAGAAAAGATGAAGGCATTTGTCCCTGGCTGGTGTGACTCAGTGGTTGAGCACCAGCCTGTGAATCAAAGGGTCACTGGTTTGATTCCCAGTCAGGGCACATGCCTGGGTTGCAGGCCAGGTCCCCAGTAGGGGCTGTGCAAGAAGCAACCACACATATTGTTTCTCTCCCTCTTTCTCCCTCCCTCCCTCAAAAAAAATTTTTTTTTAGATCAGATGGAGACATTTGAGAGCAGGCTGCATCCCTAATAGCCTTTTACCCTGAGATACTTCATGCTTATTTCCTAACATTAAGGATATCCCCTTACATTACAGCAGGATAGCTCGCGACCTCGGTCAGCCTAACGTTGCTGTGCTGCCTTACCAGACATCTGCCCAGCAGTGCCCTTTGTGGCATCTTCCCCTCCAGTAAAGCTGCCTGCCTTGGGTCAGACCTGGCAAGTAGCTTTCCTGACCCTGCTTCATCCTTATGTCCTCCGTTATTTTTGGTGAGTATACTTTCCCCACCCCATTTTTTAATAGAAAATGCCTCATTTTAAAAATTTGATCCATCTTTTCACAATTAGAATCAGTATATGCATTCTTGGCCAGAACCCCGCCTAAGTGACATTGTATCCTTCTTAGGGAATCACCACCTCTGGGGTCACTTGATACATCCACCTGCCCCTCCTGCCCCTCAGGGATGGTGGTAAATTTGATCACCCGGAAGTGTCGTCTAATTTCCCCAGTGTTTTTTCCCCTTGGAATGAATAACCAATATGTGCACTTTCATTTCAGGTTGTGCAGACCCTGCTCATCAGAATTTCCCCTTAGATGCAGCAAACACGCTCGTTTCCTGTCTGAGTTGCTCCTTTACTGTGATGGCTACAGATGGGTTTTTTGGTTTCAGCACTACCTCCACCTTGACCAGCTGTACTTAAGTCATCTACAAGCAAAAGCTTTTTCTTCTTTCCTATTTATTCGTTTAATCAGCATTACTTGTTGAATGGCTCTGGTTCATGATTTGGGTGTGCAAATGGCCTCAGCGTTGGCCAGAGAGCCCTTCAGGGTGGCTCCTAGTCCTTGTGACATGATGTGTTCCTGTCATTTTTTTTTAACACTTTGTTTTCTCGCCTAACGTGGAAGCTGCAGGCTCATCTAGTGCTTACCCTGTCCCAGCCTTGGAATCAGCTATGGTTTCTTTTATTGGTATTAGAAACCAAGATTTGGTTTAGCCATGATATAGTGTACTATTGTTGTTTTTTCATTAAAAACTTAGTCACAGACCAAATGGAGTTCACAACCCAGAGTTTGAAAAACACTTTTCTAGCTAGGGTAACTCACTCCCTTGTCACTGCCATCTTCTGAAAGCCCAGGCCAAGTAGCATATGGTCCCTCTGCATAAGCACACAGCTCCAAGAATCCTCTGGGAGCTAATGCAAGTCTCTGGGGCAGAGAGGCTGCTTCTCCGGGGCCAGAGTGGGACTTAGTACTTGGCAGGTACAGGCTGTGGAGCTGTTTAGGGCAGCAGCCGTTTTCCAGAGGCCCAAAGGCCTGGCCTTCCATTTGCAGTGTGTCTACTATGTTTATCCCTTTTCCATGGCAGTGGTGGTGGGGGAAGGAGGGAGATCGACATTCTGTGTGTCTCTTCACAGGCCTTGCTGGTGGTGGCTGCAGAGAACTGTCATTGTGATCTTTCCCACAGACCCAGATATTCGGAGCTTCCAAGGGGGGAAGAAAAAGACCAGATGCCCAGAACACCAGTGTGTAGGGATGAGCCCTGGAACCACACACACCCCTGTCCAAAACCTGGTAGGACACTTGTTAATAGGAACAGGTATTATGGATATAACGTCCACCTTGGTCCAAATATATTGGAAGTTTGGAACTTCTATAGGAACTGGTTCTTTTTCCCTAAATAAGTTTATCTTTCCTCGAGGTCTGCTAAATACATCTTGCAGTTGTACATATTTCTTCTGGATCATGCGAGGTTTTAAATTCTCCAAGTAAGGACAGACTCTGGCCCTGCACAGTCAGGTCCATTTTCAATTGGACAAAATGTCTTTTATGTTTAGTTTATCTTGTGGAGTTGAGCATAAAATAGCCTAGTTTACTCCTCCCCCCCTTGTTCGTTTTTTAGACACTGTGTATTGTGTTATATAGAAGGCCGATACATCACATTTCTAAGTAAGTCTCAAATTTTTCTAGAATATAAACTTTATCCTTATAAACTGAAGAGGAATATAAATGCCATTATAGTAACATTAAATTTTTTCAAATTGTGGTGTTTTTACTAAATGCTACACAATGTAGTTTTTCCATTTGTTTTTATCAACAATTTCTAAGCACCTACTGGGCTCTAGAAATATGGGACTTTGCCTTTTGTAAGTTCCCAAACAGTATTTTCCCTCATCCAGTGGCTCCTGAATGCTGGTGGGCCCAAAATTTCCAAGTAAATTTGCCTGGCATAACCGGTCATCTGGGGAGTAATTTATGCATTTAATGTATTTCAGACAATGATCAAGCAATCTGCTGAATACTGTTTCTAATTGAGTTTCTTCTGTTTTAATAATAATGCTAATCATTTTAACAATGGTCATGGGGGAGTTTTAGGAATTGTGTATGTAGCAAGGCAGGAACGGTAATGAAGTTTCGGAAGCTGAGGCCGAGTGGGAAGACATCCATCTGCCATGGAGCTGGACCAGGTACAAGGTCCCTGGTTCCACCAGTCTCGACCCCATAATTTCATCCTAAAAGCAGCTGCCTAGTTAAGGGGCAAGATCTTTTAGGAACTGCCCACAAAATTTGGAAAACAAGCTCTCAAAATTTGGAAGTGACAGTGCAGGTTTCAGAGTGGTGCTTAAGGCAGGCAAATAATTTTGAAGTCACAAAAACAGTCTGCCCTTTGTCAGCAAGTCTTCATGTAAGAAAAATTTCTCCCATGTTGTAGTCAGTTCACTAATTCAGAAGAAAGGGTTCCTTGCACTAGATTGAAGAATTTAAAATGTAAAAGTGATTTGGGTCATGCCTGGCTCTCAGCAGAGGAGTCGCCGCTCATCCCCGATGTTTGGATGCTGCATTTGGACAAATCTGAGGATGGGCAGGCTCCTCCCACCACCAGTGACCCCTGCATGCCTTGGCTGCAACAAAGGCCCTTTCAGAACCTCAGTCTCCCAAGTCCAGTGGGTGGCTTTGGCTTGCCTCCCCTCAGCCTGGAGGTTCTGTTTTCCAGAAAGCAGAGCAGTGAAGACGACTGAAATTGAACAGGTTGCAAAAGGAACTCTGAGCCACAGAATACTGCCTATCAAATTGGAACAGGGCATTTCCAGCAGAGGCCTGAGCTTAAAAATTCCTAGGGCTGATTGGAACCTTTGAGGATAGCCACAACTGGCTTTTAGTTAAGCAGTGCTCAACTAAACTGACCATTTAGTTAAGCACTGCTTGGGGTACAAACCTGAGGGGAAGGTTAGGTTGGGTCAGAAACCCTCCTGGCCACTCATCTTTGCTACAGGCACTCCCTTAAAGAAAGCGAACACCCCTCCTTTTCTTTCTATACTACTGCTGATTCGACACATAGATGTAACTGCAATTGTTATGTCTCACATCTGAACATTTTGGTAGTTTACTGTGATGAGTAAGACTGGCCAGAAAGCTCTTGGAAAAAAGTCCTTTGTCCATCCTTCATGCTGTTACCCACTAAAAGATCTGTTAAGGGCAGGGAAGCACGGTCCGGCCCTATCCCAGAAAAGGACACACAAAAAACAAAAATCTCAACCCGAGCTGTGCTTGCACAGTGCCGTAGTGGTCAGCAAGCTGAATGTATGTGCTTCACTTACAGCCTTTAAAAAATGACCTTGAGGAATGCTTTGTTGACTTAAAGCTAATGCTTCAAAAAGCTGCGTGGGGGGGGGGGGTGTTAATTTCTAAGAAATGTAGAATACTGCAGTTTTGAATATTAAATCTATTGCAACTATAAATCCCTCCGTCTCTATCCATTCAGAAAAACGAAGCCAAAGGAGAATTTCTTGGAAAGAACTGGGGATTTCCCTAGGTGGTTAGCTGAAGAGGCAAGACTTCTTCCTCTGTCCTCTCTCAAAAGAGGAAGCCACAGTAGCAGTTTGTGTCAATTTAATGTGACTGCTACTCTGGCTTTTAAAAAGTGACAGAACTTTTGTTTAGGTCTTGGATGGTTACTCTGTGTAGAGTCTAAAGCCCATTTAAATGAATTAAACCTAGTTTCTTAAATAAAAACAGCTACATAAAATTTTATTTATTTTTCTACAGTTAGCAGTCTTTTAGTTTTAGGTGCATGGACCAAACCCAAGACACAACCTTGCCTGCTTCCCACCACGCAGTCCAGAACATAACTTCCTTCCTCCACTGGGAGCTCGGGAAGCAGGGAGGCTAGTGCAGCAGCTATCAGGAAACAAGGCACAGGGAGGGGCTGGGTAAACCGAGCTGTGTGGCATTAGGGTGCCACTGACAAATGTCATGGAGCCCTAAGCAGGATCACTCTCAAGTTCTCCCATCCTTTACAGTTGTATCTTTTAAAGGCACATTCAGACACGTTGCAACTAGAGGCTGGGGTTAGCTGCACACAGCTGCTGCACAGGTTAAGGGGCCACAAGGCTCCGTGGCACAGAGCGGCGAGGGAAGGGGAGGCAGCCTACAGGAACCCAGCCTGCTTTGGTGTGGAGGCCTAGGAAGGGGCCAGCAACAGGGAAGACCAAGGCCGTGGTCAGTAACGCACGTACTTCACAGGTTTTTGGTATTTGTGTAGCAGCAATGATCCTCCTTATGTACAAAGGCTTTTGTAGCCAGCAAAGCTGGGAAAAAATACACTTCTGCACACAGCTGGCGGCCTGGCTCCTCTCCCAGCCCTGACCGTCTGCTGCACAAGGCACAAAGCAGAGAAAGTAGGGAGTCAGTCTAAACTGCAGTGAATATACAAATAGAGTTTAGAAAGGATTTCCTGAAGGGTTAGACCTGGGAGGTTTTTACTTCCCTCTCAGGTTCTACTGAGTATCCTAAGACACTCGGCCCAAGCCCTACCCCACAGTTTTGCCTCTTGGTCATCCGCATAGATGAGAAATTCTTAGGCTTTCCTCCCCAGATGTGAACTGAATTGAAAGTGTCCCTCTGGGGCCTGAGCAGGGTGCAGAGGTTCTGAGGGCCCCAAGAGCTGCCCACCTCACAGGCCCCTGGGCTCTAGGACCAGCCAGTTCTCGGTGACCGTCTGCATATCCTGGCCACTCAGAGGCTCCCGCAGCCTCACCTTCACCTCCAGCTTGCCCCCAGTGGGCTTCCTTCCATCCAGGACCTGTAAGAACCGTGGAGAGGGGGATGGTAATGATGGGATTAGAGGCTGGGAGCAGGCAGCGCCCTATGGTCACAGGTGTAGAAAATGAGTTAAAATAGCAGTATCAACACAGGAATCTCCATTTCTTGACAACCCTGGTTGTGGTAGTGGTTTTAGGTAAGTCTTAGTTAAAAGAAAGAAAAGAAAAAGAAAACTAGCTCTGGCTGGTCTGGCTGAGTGTTAAGCACCAGCCTGCAAACCGAAAGGTTGCCAGTTTGATTCCTGGTTAGAGCACATGCCTGGGTTGCAGGCATGCAAGAGGCAAACGATCAGTGTGTGTCTCACATGTGGATATTTCTCTCCCTCTCTTTCTCTCTTCCTCTCTCTTAATAAATAAATAAATAAAATTTAAAAATAGCATGTGAATCTAAATAAGCATCAATGCTCTGAGGCAGAGACGAGAAACCTAGAGTTCTGCCTACTCCATTTCTGCATGGCAACTCCTGGGAGAAATGCTCTGGCTTCAAGGTGCAGCCTGAAAACAGAGCCTCAGCCCAGACCCTCCCTTCACAGGTGGCCCAGAGAGAGCAGATACGTTACACAGCCAGTGTGGCAAGGTCAGGACTAGAACCCAGGCCAAGGGTTCCTACCACCCACCATGCTGTCTCCCTGCTCACAGGGAGGGGCAGCTGGAGTACAAAGCAGTGAATGCTGAGGCTCAAGAAGTCTAACCACCATCCACCATCAACGTGGCCAATACACAGTAGGCCCCACTTCAGAAAAACTACCCAAAAAAGGTGGCAGAGGGAGGGAGGTGCACAATAGCTGGAAAAGCCCCACCTAAGACGGCAGCAAGGGTCTGGTCCACACTCTGCCAGGTGTACACCCGTCTCTCTGGACCTTAGTTTCCTCATTGGTCAGAGGCAAGCTTTTAGTCAGTCACTTCCTGTGAAATCTGACAAGTCACAGAAACTTAAGGAGCTGTGTGGGGCCAATTCCCAAACACAGAGTATCTTCATTGTGGTAGGTCCCTGATTTTGAAAGACCTTTATCAACTTCATGTTCACAGCTGGTTCCACTTCATCAAGCTGCCATACATACAACTACCCCAACTGCAGCTCTGACCATGCCAAAACTTAGAGGAGTTTCCGTGTGCCCAGCTGACAGCAATGACCAGACCCCTCGAGGGCCCTGCAGTCCACCATCCCTGGGAACACGAGTGGCCCAGAGGGTTGTGGAAACACTAGCTACTTTCTGAATGGGTGATGCTATAAAGTTTTGTCAAACCCTCCGAATCTCTTCATTTGTGAAATGGGAATAACCTATTCTACAACACATTTACAGGTACTTTTTAATGGGCACAAAAACCCTCCAACAGGGACCGATGTTCAATTAATGTTGGCCTTCCACTCTTTTCACTTGCCAAGTCCTCTGGTTCACCCTCCCAACCTCCACAACCTCTGAGTCCTACCTCCAAAATCTCTCTGATCTCACACTCCTTCTCCAGCCGCTCCAGTTTCAGGTGGGCTGTGCCAACCAGCTTGTCACTTCTGAAGAAGGATCTGGGGAGCCAACGGTCAGCAGAGGATTGGACTAGGCAGGGACGAGCTGGCTGAGCCCAGCACAAGAAACAGTAGCAGCAGCAGGAGCAGCAGCAACAACAGAAGTCTTTCCTTCCTCCCAGCCCACACCTTCACAGCATGAATGGCTGACAGAGCCTCACCCTTTGTGGAAGATTTCAAACTTGATTCCTTTGCTTTGGATCACCCTCCTGAAGCCCCGGTGGTTTCGGTTGATGTTTAGTTTGAAGAGTTGATCAAATTCTGCAAGGATGGGAGAAAAGGGGGCTTGATGCCCAGGGATTTCCTGGGGAGGAACTGGCCTCCCTTCTGGATGGTTCTGCTTGCAATTCAGAGAGACGACCACTGGAGAGTGGTAGAGCCTCTAGGTCCTGGCCTTGGAAGTCAACTTGGACAGTTCTTGATAGAGATTATTATACTGTGCTCTTAATAGAGATTATACTTAAGTGGGAGGAACTTGGAATTCAGAGTCAGGATTCCTGAATTCAAGTTCAATTTCCAATACCTCTTTGCTCAGAGGCCATAGGCAAGTCCCTTTACCTCTCTGAGCCTCAAGTTCCCCAACTACATGAGAGGAATGGTCGTAACACCTGCCCACATCTTCCAAGTTGAGCACCAAGTAAGACAATAGATCTGGAAGTAAGTGCTGCACACTCGCACACCTGAGAACGGGAGGGAGGAGAAGGCCGCCCTCACCTGGAGAGTTTGTGTTCTTCACCACGGCTGTTTTGTTTTTTTGAGCCTGGTCCTAAAGTGGTAAGAAGGGAGAAGTCGGGACAGCTTGAAAAAACAGGTGTATCAAGTCCTGAGCCTGGGCTAAGTCAATGTTGAGGGAAGGGACACCTATAAGGTGTGGGCCTGGGGGTCTTCAAGCCCCTCCCTTCAGCCAGACCTCCCAGGGGTGGGGAGAAACTGAGCACAGGGTCCTGGCAGGAGTTAAGAGGATCCTACCTCTCCCTGAACCTCACCGAGTTAGGGTAGTGAAACTCAAACCGCACAAACGCATCCAAGTCATCAGGGGTCACCCCTATAAAGGAGAAATGGGAGTCGGGGTCAGAGGGAGTAGCCAGGGGCCCAGCACTTGAGGTGGAGGGAGAGCCAGTGTCCCCTACTGGCAGGGGTGGAGTGTCTGGGCAAGAGCCCACTGGAGTGGGAGTGGCCCCAGGGCTACCTGGAGGGGCTGGGAGGTTCATTCCCCGGACAACGATCAGATGCATCTCAGTGCTACTGAGTTCTGAGAAGATCCTACAGCCAGGAAGCAAGGAGAAAGAGCTCGAAGTGAAGGAGCACAGTGGGAAAGGGTCCCTATTTTCCAGGACTGCCCATCTGCCTGCCAGGGGGTGGTCAGGAATACAGTGAGGGGGGGGTGGAGCTTGTCTGGGTGGAGAGCAGCAGAGCTGGTACAAAGACCTCCCTGCAGAGCTCCTTCCCCAGCCACCCCGGCTCCGAGCTCCTGGGCAGTCACCATGTCCCACCTCCCACACCCAGAGGCCCAGTGCCTATGGCAGGGCCACGCCTGGAAATTCTTACTAAAAGCGCCTAAGTCTTCAACCTCGGCTCCCAGCCTCTTGGTACATCCCAGCACGTAGCCATTGTCTCCCTAGGCTAGGGTACCTCACAGTTTGGAATGTCTTCAACTCGAAGTGGTGGCTAGGAGGGTCAAGGCCCTGGGCCTGGGCCAGCTGCAGGATCTCGAGCTGCTTCTTGCGGTCCTGAGCAAGCTTCTCAAACCTGACAGGGTTGTGAGCACACTTCAGCATGACAGGGCTCACTGTCTGCTCCCTACCCCACATGCCCCGGCCCCTGCATTTACCGAGTCGTCTCGGCCACATTGCCCTGGTGCATGAACTGCTTGGAGAACAGCAGGCACTTCTGAAAACAGAGGCCCAGAGTGGGTCCGGATTGGCTTTAGAGGCCCAACTTCTGAAAGATCCAACCTTCTAGTCTCACCCTTCTCCCCCAACACGTACCTCTTCCCCAAGACCACTGTTTCTAAGACCCAAGTTTTTCCTGTTTTTTTATGATAGCCATTCCCCAAAATTCACTTAGCAAACTCCTACTCTTCCTTCAAAAGCTAACAGAAACATCACTTCAGAAAGCAGACCTGCAGGCAGTTCAGATTGACACGTACAAATACACAAATATGTACATGCTTTTCTATATGTGTCTATGCATCTGTGTCCCCTAACACTGCCTCTGATCTTCAAAGCGCTTCCCCCTCCAGTCTGTTGTCTGAACTTCATTAACTACCCAGTGGTAGTAGTAATGTTTTACAGATGAAAATGCGGTTCAGAGAGGGGAAGTGCCTGCCCAAGGTCACAGCCAGTAAGAAGAGCTAGAAAATGAATCCAGGTCTACTTGGTCTGAGCCCACGCCCTTCCCCCAAGGGAGGCTGTGGGCACTGAACAGAGGAGAGACAAGCAATCAACTGACCTCGTGTTGCTCTAGAAGCATTTTTTGTAGCTGGGTGTACACCTCCTCAGCCTTCTGGGAGAGGTGCAAGTCTTCATGGTGAATGAGGATGAAGTCACCCTCTTCATCCATCAGGGGTGAAGGTACCTGCCCAGGTCACAAGGCCCCTCAGGGGCCCCAAGGGTCAGATTATCCCTCTACTGAGCCTACCAAAGGCAGGAACCCAAACAGAATGCTTCTCCAACTCCAACAACCAGTGATGGGAACTCACTGCCTCCCTTTGTATCCCAAGCTGCCGCAACACTGCCTCCCACTGGCCTTGCTCTGCCTTTGATCTCCGACCAGAGGCAGCCCACCAGGCCTTCACCTGGCCTTTCTTGGGGCCACAGGGTAGAGAGAGGCACTAGCCAAAGGCTCTTTCTCAGCAGTCTCCATATCCTACCCATGTCTCCTCTCTCAGGTCAGCCTGAGGGCCTCTCAGGGAAGGTACGACCAATGGCAATGGGCAGCGTCATCCAAGCAGCTGCTTTGTCCATAGTCCTGCTGTCAAGCTTGCCACCCGCCTCTTTTGCCGGAGAAGTCCTCCTTAGCTTAACCAGGTGGACTTACCTTGGAAAGGTCCAGCGGTTGGCCGGCTCGGACCTGGATAATCTGGGCTTCAAGGCATTTGGCCAGCCGCAGATGAGCTTTGGCTTGTTCCAGGTCCCGGCCACGCTTGGCCTGCAGGGCTGCCCGCTGGTACTGCAGTTTGCGGGCCTCCAGCAGTGCCAGCTGCTCCCGTACTGAAGGGAGAGCACTGCTGGTTAGAGCCACGCCTCCCCCTCACTAGAGCCTTTAGTCCTCCATCCGTCTTCTCTCAACTCACCGGAGGGGCTCAGTGACTCCTTAGAACTCGAGGCCTTGGGCTCAGGCAGGGAGCGGGATGAAGGGACCAGAGGCTTCTTGGATACTGGGGCCTGGGCTGGAGGCTCATCCTGCAGGTGCCCAAGAGGAGGTCACAGGGAGTCTGTTCCCACCCCGGTTGTGGCAGCTCAGACAGGGACTCCCTTCCTAACACTGCACTGACCTGCTGGGTGTACCAAGATGAATGGCTTCCCTGTGTAGGTCCCAGAGAATCTCAAGAGCTACGAAGAGCCTCAAAAGCTCTGAGCTAACCTTCCCAACAGCAGACACCAGGATTTTGGGGATCAAACCAGGGCTCTGGGGTCAGAAAGACTTCGGTTTGAATCTAGCTCTGCTAATGCCTATCTAGATGCCCTTGGCCAAGTTTTTTTTCTGTAAAATGGCAGAAAGAATGGCTACTTTGCTGGACTTGTCAGTATGGGCAACAGGATCTGGGTTTGCCCCTCATCTGCCACTTCTTCCCAACCCCAGGAGTCTTGGGCCCTCAGCCAAACCTCATCCTCATCCCCATCTTCCTCAGCTGGAGCTGTATCCTCAGAGGAGGCTAGTTTCTGGGCAGCAGCTAAAGTGGCTGCTACTGCATCCTCTTCAGTGCCCGGAGTGGGCTCCAGACCAGGGATGGGAGGGAATCCTGTGGGAGAGAGCACTGGGTGGGGTGGCCTCGGGGAAGCGCTGGGCTGCTGTGGGCTTCGGCTGGGTCTTCCTGGGCATGGGGAGTAGGGGGCTCCCGGAGTGGAGGCAGACACATGAGGGACCATTCCCCGTCTCCCCCTCAGAGATCATAAAGACCTTAAGTCAAGTACCACGTACCTGGAGGAACAGGCAACTCTGAAAAGTCAACCTTGCGTCCTGCTCGATGCGCTCGAATGGCATCTTGATATTGCTGCAAGGGAAAGGAGGGAGGGGCCTGTGGTGGGCAGCAGTCTGCAGGATCCACACAGGGGGAGACAGGGAGAGGAAGAGTGAAAGCAGCCCCCAGGGGAAAAAGAGCCCGAGGCAGCAAGAGCTTGAGAGAGAGAGAGAGAGACAGACAGACAGACAGACACTGAAGGACCAGGGCTAACTACAGGAGCAGACAGAGAGGCTGACACGGGCAGGGGGTCTCACGGCTGCAGACCCACCTTGGCAATGCGCTCGTGCATCCGGGCCTTTCGCTCGTCCCCACTGCTGCGGGCCTGGGTACCTGCCTCACGGTACTTGTTCAGCCTCTGCTGCAGGGCGTCCAGCACTGTCTGTGGCTCGGTATGGGCCACTAGAGAGAAGGAAGGAGACAGCATCAGTTCTGCCTGCCTCTCCCCAGGTCCCCACCCCACAGTCCCACATCCCATACTACCTGGGGTCGCTGGGCTGTCAGGGGCCATCACTGGCTGCACTCGCTCCAAAGCTGAGGGTACAACTGAGGGTGCTGTGAGGGCCTTGGAAGCCTGTGGGAGGTCTGGGGGACCCAGAGAAGAAGTGTAGGTGGGGGTGCCTGGCAAGCCTCAGCTGGAGCAGGTTCCCCCCACCATCCCCACACTGACCCTCAGGTGCTGGGGGCATGGCACTCAGGTCCACAGGCTGCCCCTTCTCCAGGGCCTCCAGCACAACACCGAACCTCTGCAATAGTAAAAAGAGCAGGCGTAGGCATAAGCCAGGGAACCCCATGACCCTGGGCTGAAAAAAAGACTCTCCCTCAGGCCAGTCTAGCTGCATGACCTTGAGGGGGTCACTACCCCCAACTGTGAAACAAGGGGTTGGACACAGGGCCCATGAGCCAGACGTCTTACCTTCCCAATCCTCATGAGCTCTCGGGCTCGGTCGAGGTCTCCAGCCCGCTTGGCATTCAGCGCAGCCACTTTGTACGCCCTCTGTCGGGCGGCCAACAGGGCCCGTGGGCCAGGGTCTGGGTCTGAACTGGGTGGGGCAGGGCTGCCCGAGGGGCTTGTCTCAGGCTGAGAAGGGTTGTCTTCGGAGAAACAAAAAGCCCAGAGAGGGGGCATCAAGGTGAAAGAAGCAGGTACTCACCTTGGGTTCCCAACACCCACAGGAAGGTATCACTAACGCCAATGGAGTGGCGGCGGGGAGCTGGCCGGTGGGGGGTGGGGGAGGCCGTGGGCTCTGACTGGGGAGAAGAACAGGGTTTGAGTGTCTCCAGATACCTGGCAGCAGGGTTGGGGGAGCAGGGAGGTCTGCCTCAGGGTTCCTGTTGGTTGTCTCCTGGGGGGCTGGGGGCTTCTTGCCCAAGGCCACTGGAGGTGGTATCTCATCCTCATTGATCTTCTTGCCTTTCTTCACAGCAGCCAACTGGGACTCTAGAGTCTGGGGGGAGAGGAGCCAGAAACCTAGCCAGCCATCTCAGCCTGGACCCTGCTTGAAGCCAGGCCAGGGATCCTTCACCTCCATAAGGCTAAAGGGGAGGCATCCCCTGGACTGGTGCAGCCTCCTGCTGCCTCCCCACTGCCCTGACCCCACTCCTCCCAGCCCTGCTCCCTGGCGTGGCCCCACCTACCTTCAGGCCACGTTCACAACGCCTGGCTTTGGCTGCTTCACCCGCCTCTTTGGCGCTGGCTGCAGCTTCCCGGTAATTGTGGATCCGATCCTCCAGCAGAGCCTGCAGCCCCTGAGGCCCTCCAGCCTGTAGATACTCCAGTTCAGGGCCTGACCACTCCAGGGCCAGCTAGGCCCTTGCTGCTCCCTCCCTGCAAGGAAGCTGCCCCAGAAAACAGAGCTCTTGGATTCAAGGAGGATGAACCTAAAAGCCTCAAAGAGGAGGCAAAGACTTACTGGAGAGGCCAGAGGCCATATCAGAAGCAAATACAGAGGCCCACACAATCTGTGGACGGCTGGAGGGGTGGCCAGGGAGAACAGAGAGGCCTTTGAGGCCAGCCAGGCACCAAAGAATTTCTCAGACTCAGTCGCTGCTCGGGGCACTGCTGGAGGAGGTCCCTGGGAAGGGTTACTGCGGTCTTCCTATGCACACCATGCTGTTAAACGTGGACACGCAGGGTTATCAAAGGCACACAGGATCCCTCCAGAACCTACCTGAGCCACTGGGACTGAAGCTGTCAGGAGAGCTGTCTGCACTGCAGGTTCAGTGTTTTTCTGTCCCTTGTCCTCCTCAGAGCTACCCAGGGCGGCTGTCTCATCATCATCCGGGGACCCAGCTCCCTCATCTGTGCCCAGGACCTCCTGCAGCTCAGTCTGGGGAGACACAAGTCCCAGGAATGTGGGAGCCTCATGGCCACAGCTATGACGGAATCTGAACACAAAGAACCCTCTCCCCCAGCAGGACCTCCCGACATCAGTCACTGTGCCTAAAAGTCCCCGTTACCAAAACACTTGTTTAATCTAACTGAGGATAGGTAGCCTTGGAAACAGTGAAGACTACACATCTGAGAATCTTCAAGTACAGCTTTCAGACCAGGCATCAAAGGAAAGTAGTCTCACACTGTACAGTCAGGAAAACAGGCCCAAGGACAGGGCAGCCACTCAGCATCAGAGCATGCACAGGGACAAGTCACAGGCCTCACCCGCAGGCTCGACCACAGAGTCCTCGGCCACCACCAGCCTGGCAAACTCACCAGCAAGTCTGTATCCTCCTCCAGCCCTTCTTCCTCCTCCTCCTCCTCCTCCTCCACATCCCGCATACAGTCCTCTGCCAGCTTCTCGATGTGGGCCATTGGCAAGGGCGCTGGGGGAACAGAGGGTCAGGGCCTCAGAACCGGTCCACGAAGAGCAGAGTCTTCAACACAGTGTGTTTCTACCTCCAGGGAGAAATTTTGCCCTTCCTGGGCAAGTCAATGTCCCAGCTGTAAAACTTTTGCTCTTCCTGTACGACCGGGCTCAAAAGACCCTCGCAGCAGGGAAACCTTCCTGGAGCCTCTAAAAGTCAATGAGCTGCTCTCTTCTCAGCATTTTTGTTGTAGTTCTTCACAGGCACATTCATCCATTCCTCCTAACCACACCTTTCACATACCTAAAGACTTTTAACATCTATTTGAACTTCACAATAATTCTGCAAGATAGGTCATATTATCCTCATGCTGTAGGGGAAAAACTACCAATATTAATTTTCCTAGTACTGCAATCCTATTGAGTGGCAGAGCCATGACTCACGCCCAGGCTGGTCTAACCCCAGAGCTTTGGCTGAGAGAACATGGAGGGCCATGGTGCTCCCACTATCCTAGCTCAGGGGCACATGGGATTGTGGGAGGTTCCCTCTGAGGGCTCCTGGTAAGAAGAGAGGAAGCTTTAGGTCCTCTGGCCCTCCCGGACTTCAGGTCTGTGTCCTCTTCCAGGCTGGGGAGGAAGATTACCCTTATTCATTCACTAGACACAACTTCTATGCACTAAGCCCCTTTTCTGTATTGGACCCTGGCTAGGGCAGAGCACAGGGACCTGAGCCATGAGGGAGCATCCAGGGAAGCAGTGAGCTCCCCATCACACAGGTGTGTGAGCAGGGCAAGACAGCCTCTTGGTAGCAGTACTACAGGAGGGACGTGGATAGCAGAAGACCAGGTGATTTGGCTGGATCCTCTCAGCTGGCGGGGAGGACCCTCTCCACCACCTGCCTGAGCCCGTCTGGTCCTAGCGCCAAGTCCAGCCCAGCACCAGAAACTTACCTTTACCCTGCCTCTTGGCTGGCTTCCTGCCTGTGGTCTCTGCTTCTCCAGTGAGGGCCAGCAGCTCAGCCTCCAGGTCCCCATCATCTTCCATCTCCTCCATCCCCAACAGCATGTCCTCAGGGCTGAACTCCACAAAGAGTCCCAGCTGAGAGCAGAGAAAGTTTCTCAGGAAGCACACAGTGAGGAAGAGGGTGTAGCTGAGCCCCGGAGCCAGTCTCCCAGGGGTCAGTGGCTCCTTCACTGTCTTGAGGCCAAATGCGCAGAAAGGGCAACAGGCCTGCAACAGTACTCTTTAGGGTACTCCCTGGTGACTCTACCAAGAGCCCTATACAACTACAATGCCATTATTATTCCTCACTAGCTGCCAGGCCTTGTACTTAACTACAGTAATGTAGTTAAGTAACTACATTACTATCTTAGTTAATTCTCACAGTCCTGAGGGGTAGGTCCTATTTTTTTTTCATATTTTAACACATATATAACATGAAAATTATCTTAACCATTTTTTAAAATCCTCACCTGAGGACATTTCCGTTGATTTTTCTTTGAGAGAGAGAGAGAGAGAGAGGAAGGAAAGAGAAGGGAAGGAGAGAAAGAGAGAGTGAAAGAGAAACATCGACTGGTTTCCTTCCATATACACCCCAACCAGGGACTCAACCCGAACCTGCAACGTAAGCATGTACCCTGACCAGGAACGGAACCGCAACCCCTCGGTGCACAGATGACACTCCAACCACTGGTGCCACACAGCCAGGGCATCTTAACCATTTTTAAATATGAAGTTCAGTGGCATTAAGTACATCACACTGTTGTGCTACCATCACCACCATCCGTCCACAGAACTCTTTCCATCTGGCAAAACTGAAACTCTACCCACTAAACAGTAACTTCCCACTCCCCTCTTGCCCCAGCCCCTGGTAATTCCAGTCTACTTTCTGTCTCCATGAATCTGACCACCCTACGTAAATGTAGGTCCTCCATATATCTCCATGTTCAGAGGATTCCGAGACAGCCTTGTTAAGTGGCAGAGCTAGAATTTAAAATAAGATCATGTGACTTGAGTCCACGCCCATTATCCTACCACCTCCCTACCTGCCTATTTTAAGATAATAAAAATGGAGTAAGAAGTCTCAGGCCTTGGGCCCAGTGAAAATAGAGAGAGTAGAGGACAGACCCCTAAGGATGCAAAGCTCTCCCGGTAGACTTTGCCCTCAAGCCCTGGCATCCCTGGCTGGCAAGCAGAGTCGTGGCCTAAATGAGGAAACCATGAGAGTGCTGAGGCCCCATCAGCACACCCTGCAGATCACTTGTCCGGAGGTAGCCATGGCAGGGGATTCCTGCACTGAGACACAGAAGAGTTCAAGACTCGTATCCCTCATGTGTGTGGCAGGAGCTCGTCAGAGTATCTCTAGGGGCGCTGACAACTCCAGGAGACACCTGCTTCATGTCTCTGGACTGATGAGGATACCATACCGGTGACCCAGTTTGCCCATGCTATTTAGGGACCTCCCAGCCTGGCTCGGGGGTGAAGCAGCTATATACATACCTGCTTGGCAGCTGCCACACCCTTACCACTGGCCTGAGGGCCCTTCCGAGGTCTCGGCCCTGGCATCTTGGCCGCCCAGATACCTGTCTGGTAGGGAATGGAAGACACTCAGACTGGAGCAGCCTATAAGCCCTTTCCCCAACAGTGCTACCTTAGTAAGGTGTGGTTAGTACACTCCCAACTTGGAGAAAAACGTCAACCCTTAAGACCAAGGGATAAAATACAAACACTGGAAGTGAAGCACTGAAGCAGGCAACACAGGAGACAGAAGGGATGGAGACCACCTGTCAGTGGGCTTAAGTGGGGAGTGTGGGCACACAATAAACGTTTACTGAACTGATGTGACAAATTTGGATTAAACAAATGGAGAGGAGCTTAGGAAGACAGACTCAGGGAAGTTGCTCTAGGTAAAGAGTTGGGTGGGTAGGATTCAGGAAGGCTCTAAAGCCAGGCTTTTAAATACGGTAGCCAAGTGTGGCTATTTATACTGGAATTCATTAAAATTAAAAATCCAGTTCCTTGGTTATTAACCATTGGTCAGCACAAATATTAAACATTTTCATCACCAGAAATAGTTCTATTGGACAGCTCGGCTCTAGAGAAACCCAACTCAGTATTCTAATTCTCTCAGAGTTCACAACCATTCATAGGACCTACTATGTGCAGAGAGACCTTGTGTTTAGGCTCTGGCAGAGCAGGGATGAGCCTGACATGTTCTCAACCCTCAAAGATCATCTACACGGTGGAGAGCCTGATTCATGGACAAAAAACGACACAGGACTGCTCCAGAGGCCACGAGTGCCCAAGTGCAGCCCCTCATCCAGCACCACAGAGAAAAGACTTCTTGGAGATGATGCCTGTGCTGAGTCACGTATAAACTGGAAAAAAGGATTCCAAACAGATGGAACAACCTGATAATGGACCTAAGGCAAAACAGGTTGACCTACACAGGAAAGTAAAGACCTGGGATTATTGGGGCATAAAGTGTGAGACAGAAAATGGTACCAGTGAAGCTGAAAGTGTGAGCAGGGGACAAGGTAAACTTTTAAACATTACGGGATTTTGGGCCTTATTCTAGGGCAATGCATGTGGCGGTATCAGATCGACTGCAGAAGGGAGACTGGAGGCCGTCACTTCTTGCATCGGTGCAGCCAAAAGGGGAGAGCTGCGGCGGCGTAGAGGTGGCGGGAAGCGTCCGGAGTCCCGAGTTCGGGGTGAAATCAACAGGGCTCTGAGGTTAACTGGATGTGGGCGCGCAGGAGGGGGCGCTCAGGGTGACTTCAGGAGTCAGATTTCTGTGGCTTGGGTGAGTGGCGGGCTGCCCACTGAGCAGAGGCACTAAAGCGCGTTCAGGAAGAGACCAGGTCGGTCGACATGCCAACTCTGCGCGTCCGGGACTACCAGAATGGGGGCATAGGTGCTGGGCCCAGGTTCAAGATGAGAGAAGGGCAGCAGAATTCCCAGGAGAGGCGAAGCCAGGGGACCCCGCTCCCTCGCGGCAGGACGCGCCTCCCTGCCCCACCCCAGCTGACTCCATCTCCCACGCCACCGTCAGGTCACCTCTCGCTGGGAGTGGGGGCAGGTACACAGCATACCTCGAAGAGAATCCGAAACCAACCCAGGCCTTCTCTCGCCCAACACCGCCCGGGGCTCCCGTGGCCACCGGGCGGTGGCGGCGGCAGCCGTGACAGGAAGCTCCCCCTACGGACTCCGCTCGCGCCCTACCACGTGACTCCACGCCTCTGCGGTGCGTAGTGCGCATGCGCAAGGCGAAGTGGGTGTGGCGCCCCAACAGGTGATTCCAAGGGTGGAGTTCCCAGTGCATCGGCAGTATCAGGCTCGATTTGCGGGCGGTAGGTAGTTCCGGCCTGTGCACCAGTTTACGGAAGAGCAGGAGGTGCGTCATCTGTCCTTGCCCAATTACAACTTCCCGGCCAAGTTCCTCCCAGCCCGCGGCTAGCGTTCAGAAGCTGACCCCCAAGCTCAGCTCCGCCTTCTCGGTGTGGGGGCGGGTGTAGCACAGACCCCACCCCACCCAGGGGGCTGCTTCTCAGCTTGTCACCTTCTTAGTCATGTCTTTTATGTCTCCAGGGAAATGTAAATGTAGCTCACCATATTTTTAACCATTTAGCATATGAACGTACGTACCTTTTCCAATTAGAAGGTGGATTAAAGACTTAAGATGTGACAGGCAGTGGGTGCTCTTGCACCTCTTGGTGAAGTCACTTCAGAGATTTTAACACCAAGTTTTTATTCCTCAGCCCTGCAGGGCAATAAGTTGGGGGTACAGAGAATCTTCCATCTAAAACAAACCTTGCAACTCATTCCTTATCTCAACTTTGAAATTATGTTCTGTAGTTAGCGGTTTGAAAAACCTTCCAGTTGCCTTGGACAAAGAGCTTTTCCATCTGTTGCTTTTGGGTGGTTTCCCAAAGAAACTGACTTGAGCATTTTAAAATTGAAGTTTCACTCCCACTTTTTTCTTTTTTTTTTTTTAAATATTTTATTTATTTATTTTTCGAGAGAGGGGAAGGGAAGGAGAAAGAGTGGGAGAGAAATATCAATGTATGGTTGCCTCTCATGAGTCCCCTGCTGGGAACTGGCCTGCAACCCAGGCATGTGCCCTGACTGGGAATCGAACCGCGATACTCTGGTTCGCAGGCCCGCGCTCAATCCACTGAGCTATGCCAGCCAGGGCCCACTTTTTTCTTATGAAATATTTAACATATATCCAAAGGTACATGATATTTCACATTTGCTAGAATGCAAGCTCCACTATTCTCTAAGTCATCTCCGGTGTTTAAAGAAATGCATGGTACATAGTAGGCACTCAATTAAACATAGTTCTTATTTCTGGCATGAATTAACATAAGCACCAACTACAAGTTTAGGGAAAAAACAGTACAGTGCAGTTGAAACAACTTATATACCTTTTATGTTGCAAGCCTTTCCTAAAGAACTACCTACTCTCCTGAGTTTGGTATTACTCTTGAGTATTTATTCCTAGTTCCATTATATATATGTGTACACACACACACACACACACACACACCCACCCTTAAATAACCCATGGTTGTCATCACAAGTTTTAACATTGTATCATTGGTACCACTACATTCTTCAATTTCTTTATGTACTCAACCATTTGTAAACTTTTATCCACACTATTTAGGATTTATCTAGTTATTTTTCATTTCTGTACTTCATAGTATGAAAATTCATTCTTCCAATGGCTTGCCATTACAATACTATGAACAGTCTTGTGTACAACTCCTAGGTACATATTGTTTTTCCGGAGTATATACCTAAGAGTGGAATAGCTAAGGATTACTGCACTTTGCAGATTACATACCAAATTATCTACAAAAATATGTTTACACTCCCATCAGAGGGGCAGTTGGGTTCCATTTCATATCACCATTGAAAGGTTTTCTAATACATGTGAAAGGGTTTTGAATTGCAGGCCTCTTTTAGTATATTTCCATTTTGTTGGTCATTTGTTTTTATTCTGTGGATGACTTACTCATTTTCCTTTTTAAAAATTGTGTAATTCTTTAAAATATTCTGATACTGATCTAAGTCCCTATATGTATATAAATATTTGTACATAGATCAATGTGAATTATATATATATATATATATATATTTAAAGATTTTATTTATCTTTAGAGGGGAAGGGAAGGAGAGGGAGAGAATATCAATGTATAGTTGCCTCTTGTGGGTCCCCTGCTGGGAACTGGCCTGCAACCCAGGCATGTGCCCCGACTGGGAATCGAACCACAATCCTCTGGTTCTCAGGCCCGTGCTCAATCCACTGAGCTACACCAGCCAGGGCTTATATATATATATATATTTTTTTTAATGTAAATTTTTCTTGAACCATTAGTTGTAGGCCTTTCACTCATATATTTCATCATGATTCTAAAAAAACATTCTCCTACACAATTTATCACTCACAAAACTTAATATTTACATACTAGTATACCTATCATAAATGTTCATATTTCTCTTAAATATACAAATCTAATCAAGATTCACAGTGCGTTTAGCTCTTATTTCATTTTCATTTAGTTTAGAACAGTTCCTCCATTTTATCTTTTGTGATATTAACATTTTTGAAGAGGGACAGTTGCTTTGTAGAATACTTTCCCCGCAATTTTGATTTAGCTAATTTTCTCATCAACAGATTCAGGTCAAAAATTTCTGGCAGTACTATTACATTATATGGGTGATGTTTTTCTCATGAGGATGCTTGAGGTGTCAGTCTGTCCCATTGTTGGTTTCTATGTAAATATTAGAATTAACTTGCAAAGCTATACAAAAAACCCTGCCAAGATTCTGATTGGAACTGATTTGTATTTAGAAATTAATGACCTCTTTTTACTAGCTTTATTCCTAGGTACCTTACATCGCCTGTGCCATCTAAGTCTTTTTCATTTAAAGATTTGTTTTTAGGGGGGCGCTGGGATGGGAGAAACAGGCAAAAAACTGTACTTGAAAAATAACTAAATAAAATGATTGAGAAGAAAAAAAAAGATTTGTTTTTAGGATAAATGGTACTTCTTAAAATCTACATTTTCTAGCTATTTGTTGCTGGGGAGTCTTTATCAGTAGTAGTATTTCCAGCATTTCTTTCTCATATACTAAGTTTGTTTCACTCATGTTGTTCAAACCTAAAAGATATGTAAGGACATAACAGTGAAAGTCTTCCTCTAACTCCTGATTGTAGCTATCCATTTCTTTCCCAGAGGCAACCAATAAACCAATTTCTTATAGTCTCCCAAAACTAGTCAGTACAAGTAATTGTATGCAGATATTTATATGAGTGGGGCCAAAAAAAAAAAAAAAAACCCCTTGGAACTTAATTATAAAAAATTGTGTATTTATTCCTACATGTTTAAACTTGTTACCTTCAAAGTACTCTCCATTTGATGCAATACACCTATGTAAGCGGTTTTTCCACTGATCAGAACAGTTTTTGACTTCTCAATTTTGATGCCTTTTGGTGCTTCTGACATTTTTTTTTTTTTTTTCACTTCTTCCACATGGGCAAAATGTTTCCCTTTGAGGACTTTTTTCATCTGGGGAACCAAAATGAAGTTGTTCGGGACAAGATCCAGTGAATAGGGAAGTGAGGCACGGGATCATGCAGTTTGGGGTCAGAACTGCTGAGCACTCAGAACAGTTTGGGCAGGTGCACTTGTAAATCACCCACCATGAAATGGGCAAATGCACTGAGTCTTCAAAAAAATTCACTGAAGCTGAACGCAGCTTCTCACAATGCCAGTGGTACAGATACAGATGGGTTCCTAGAACACACTCAGTGGGGGAAGCTTGTACTACACGAGGCCTGTCCTTCAGAAAATAATTCCAGGTTTTTTTAGGGTTCCCCCTTGTATGTGATATGTTACCATTAAATAAGTGGTAGGGCTTCTAACAGAAATAAAAGGATGGTATGCTTTTATAATCTGATGTTTGTAATGACTATACATTTCCCAAACACTGTGACAAAAGAAAATTTGTTAATAGAAAATTCCAAACTACACAGTAGCCATTTCCCTTCAGTATACTTTGCCACAATTTCATGTGCTTAGCAAAAGAAAATCAGGCTCTTTAAAAAACAGCAGTTCATAGTCCTTCCTTTGAAGCCCTTCACTCTTCTTTCAGGGCATACAGCACATCACCCTGGCTAACGTTGAGTCGCACACGAAGGAGCAGGTCATTCCTGCTGGGCTCCACTAGGAGGAGGCGGCAGGAGCCCAGGTGAGAGCACACTGCCATGGTCTCCGACATGGTGGGGTACGGCAGCCCCTCCATCCTGCACAGTTCCACGTGTTGCCTGTACACCTAGAAACAAGAAGCAAATCCAAGGTCAGCTCCTGGAAAAGTTAAAGACAGATAGTTCTTGGTCTATACTGGATTTCCTCTTTCAGGGAAATCAGACACTTCTTGGCCAGGATACTTAATACCTGAAAAGGCATCTGTGGGTGGCCCGGTGGGGCACAAATGAGGGGCAGAACAAATACAGACTCTGGAATCAGGAGTAGCATCTGGTTCTACCAATTACCTAAGCATGACACCTGGGTGAGTTATTTCAGTTTCTGAACTTCAGTTTTATCTATTAAATGTATTGTACCTCTTGAGTTAATGGACAGGAAATGTCTATAACTGAGGCTGTTATACACAGTTCTAGTATCCAGGGCTGAGAGTTCCACAATGGAGACTGTCATAATTCAAGTCAAATTTTGCTATGAGGCATTTTCCTTAGACACAGTATAGAGGTGACGACATATGGCCTTGCAAAAGCACAGAGGCACAAAGACAATAACGAATAAAGAGAAGCAGGAGGATAGCTGAAAGCATAGATTCCTACCTAAAACCCCAGGTAGGTCAGACAAGTCTATAGTACTCTCTGGTTACTCTCTCTTTTATTTATAAACCTACCCTCTACCCCCAAACAATTCCAGAAGCTTTTCAGAGCAGAGATATTAACCAATGTAGCCTGGGGGCCCCAATTCACATCACAGGTAATGAAATATTGTAGATTTCCAGGAAGTGTTTATAAACAAAAATGAAAGTCACTCTGCAGAAGAGCTGTTTCAGGCTCCAAGAAGGAGAAGAATGGGCAAAACACAGTCAGTAACTAAATGTTTAATAAAGAATTTAAAGCTAAAAGGAAGTCAAGAAGTATCTGGAAATAAATGTTCTCCTGCATGTCTGAAACACACATACAGACGTACACACTCCCGGGTACACACTCCAACACCTTTCACAGTTCATTTTCTAAGGGAGCCATTGCCTGTGGACTCCAGTTTTAAGTAAACCACTCTAGGGCATGAGCCCGCACACTTCCTTTTACTCTATACAATTGAAACTATGCTCAAAGAATGTGCAGATAGACCTTTGTGATTTTCAACACAGCTTATTCTGAAAGTCTTGCCCCTAGTATACCGCATAAGCTGTATTATGGCAGTAACTTTTGACGTGTTCATCTTTGAACCTCCCAATCCTAAAATAGTATCTGGCACATAGTAAACCTTCAATTGATTATGTAGAAACCAGGTGCTAAAGGTCTCTTCTCATGTAACTCAATAAAACATCACATAAAAATAGGTGCTGGTTTGAAGTTCTTTAGCATTATTATCAGGTTGTCACAAATTGTTACCCAGTGACCGGAATGCCAAATGCCCGCATATTTTTAAGGCACCAGACCAAAATCTAGAAGGATTTGAAAAAAGATCAATTACCTGTTGAAATGTTGCTTCCTCCAGTCCTGATCGATGGAATTCTGCAAGGATGGCTCTCAGGAAGCTCTGTTCCATAACAGAGGAATTTCTTAAACGAAATGAAGAGATGTGAATTCTCAGTAAGCGGCTACACCAACACGGAGAGGAAAGCCAAATAAAACTTTTCTGCATCTTTAGCGAAAGAAAAAAACTGGGGACTACTTGCTCCTGTATTATTCAGTAAGGGTCCCCCCAACCTCCTAAAAGTCTTAAAATGACATAATAAATGCCACTTTGGAAGCAAGGGGCACAGCAACTGCATCTGGAAAGGCACCAGCACCCCCATCTTATGAGCCGAGCACATCAATCAGTGTGTGACAGGTAAGCCTTCTTCTTGTTCCCATAGCACGTCCCTAAACGCCTACAGTGTAACTCAATTCACGGAAATCTCCTACTATACTAGGCTTACATTCCTGACTACGCCCCTTAAAAGGACAGCATCTTCAGTAAATGCAGGCTGAATGAGTAAAAGCATTTGAAAGGGAAACATGCTTCCATGGCCTTCCCAGACTGTGGCCCTCTCCGGTGGTCTTCCAGAGAAGGCTCGGGGTCAGGAAGCAGAAGCATCTTACTTGATGGCAGTAATGTATGACGATGAAAACATCTCATCCACTGCTTCCAGGACGTGGGCTACAGTGACCAGGCCAGGGGAGTCGGGCTTCCGGCAGGAGAACTCGCAGATCTCTGTGGCACGCCTACAGATGTCGAGGCAGCGCCGCGCATCTCCGGAGAGGGCTGCTACCTACAAGAGGGAACATTTCATCCCTTGAGGTCCCCTTGCCATATCAGCCAGGAGAAAAACCAACAGATTCTGGGTTCAACTAAAAAAGTAAAGGCAATGCCGGAAATGGACTTAAGCCCCGAAGGTAAGCACTCAGCCCTGGTTGGGAACCCGAAGGAAGCACAGATATAAACTACCACAGGCACGTGCTGCTTAACAATGGGATGCGCTCTGAGAAATGCCATCAGGTGATTTCGTTGTTGTGCAAACATCACAGTACACTCACACACGTATATGATATAGCTTCTTAGTAGAAAAAAATACACCTAAATTAATGAATAGTAAATACATAAGCTAGTTGAAGTCTTTTATTATCAAGTATGGTATGTTATAAATTATTGTATATGCTAAACTTTTACACAACTGGAAGCACAATGGGTTTGTTTACAGCAGTATCACCACAAACACATGAGCGACGCATTGTGCTACAACATCACAATGGCTACGAAATCACTGGGCAATAAACATTTTTCAGCTCCATTATGATGTTACAGGTCCACTGTCGTATATGTGGTCCTTCGTTGACCAAAATGTTATTATGCAGCACGTAACTCTGTACTGTGCCTGGGACTCTTTTCTAAGTCCAAACCTTTGTTTCGGTTTTACAAATAACTCCACAGTGGAAAAAGCAGAAATTCTTGGCTTTATTTATATTAGGGACCCATGGCCCATGATCACACTGAAACATCTGAAACACAAGGGTCTCATTCCTTGCAGGAAGAGAAAAATGTGACCTCAGAAGCAGCCAGCGAAGGCCAAGAGACAAAATTGGCAGGGCCTATTCTGGAGGTAAAGCCACAGCCGGGACTCCCTCACAGCATGTGGTGACTTTTGGAGACCGCCTGGTCAATGGTTCAACAGCCAGCATCAAGAGGGAAGGAGGCCACAAATCTGGGGAACCTGGGGAGTCTGTGGTTAGGTGAGGCAGAGCAGCCCGACTGCCAGCGGCTCAGCTGCTGCTCCTTCCTTTGCACGTGCACGGAGGCTGAGGGGCTCCTGGGCTTCCTTCACAAGGAAGCTTACCCTCCCTCCCAAGCTTATTTAGGCCACTTGCAATTTAAACTTCACTGAGGGAATTCTGGGACTCACTTTGGCCTGCATTCCCAGTACTTGCCAACAGTCCTGACCATTTGCCTCATAACCATCTCAGGCGACGTCCTGCCTAACAACATGCCAAAATGATGATTTCTTTCCAAAATCCATGCTACATTCAGTTCGAAAAAAGGAAATTGTATAGGCATATATATATACACACAACACACGAAGACAAAAAATACTCCTGGCTGGTGCGGCTCAGTGGACTGAGTGCTGGCCTGTGAACTAAAGGGTCACTCGTTCAGTTCCCAGTTCAGGGCACATGCCTGGACTGCAGGCCAGGTCCCCAGAAGGGGGCACGTGAGAGGCAACCACACATTGATGTTTCTCTCCCTCTCCTTCTCCCTCCCTTCCCCTCTCCAAAAATAAATTTAAAAAAAATTTTAAACCTTTAAAAATAATAATAAATTGTTTCTGGGAAGTAGGATTATAGGAGTGTTTTAATGTTTTGTGTATACTGTCTTCAGAATTTAAATTTAAGACATTCAAAACAAAAACGTCACTTTTCCAGTAACCCAAGACAGAAATTGAGTATCAGTTTACATTCTTCCCTTCCTGTAATCTCCCAGGTCCAGGTGGTAAGGACGTTTCCACCTGGTCGTGTCTTTCTTCCAGTTACCATTCCCACAGCCTTGGGAAGCAAGCAGTACTGTGTTAACAGCATGGACTCGAGCTGCAGCAGAGGCCTAAAAACAAAATCCACGGGGGACCCTGGGAGGCAAGAAAACACCCCAAACAGTCCTCACCCCGAGACTATCTGTGAACCCTGGTGACTGTAAGCATCCTTTTTGACTGCTGCCGTGATGACAGAGACAAAAGAAAAGGCTTCGGCCCACTCAATAGTCAGTGTAAAAGAAGACCCTGTGTGATCTCTGGAGTAGACCTCAGTGTAAGGGTGAATGACAGACCCATCGTGCAGAAGGAATGGCAAGAAAAATGACCTGTTTAGACCTTGGTCAAGGTGATGAAGAGTAAAAACACTCTGGGTCTTTCCAGTCACAAGCTTTCACATGGATTTGTTGCCCAAACTTATATGCATCTCCTAAAAACCTCAAGTGGAAAATTTTTGTTTCAAAATGGTATCAGTGCCGCCTGGTAACTGACAGAAGCAGTAACAAATTGTGAATGAACAACTTCAACCGAGGCTTCGATTATTAGATAAAGCTCTAAGGAAAACACGAAACAAAACAAAACAAAACAAAACAAAAAACTAGACAGAATAACAAGGAAATAAGACCATATATGCATGAGAACCAGCAATCAATAGAAGTGGACTCACAAAGACTTTCTAATTATAGGACACAAAATAGATATGTTTCTTTATATATAAAGAAATAAAAGAAAGGTTTGAAATTGGCAACAGTTTTGGATGAAAACAACATTCAAACTGATGCCATCTGAAACATTATTAAAAGACCAAGAACCATAAATAAAGGAAGCAACAGGAGTAAAGAATATAATTCTTCAGTCAGAAAGAGGTGGCATAGTGGTTGATTTAGCAGACTGAAGAAACACAGTAATAAGTAAGCTAGTAATGGGGAATCTAACAGCAAATCTAAACTATACTGAAAATCTACAAATGCTCAGGTTTAGTGGTATTGGAATTAGAGGTAAAGGGGGAAGTCTGACTAAAATAAGGAGCAGTTAAGAAACTGATGCCCTATACCAGGAGTCAGCAAACGATGTCCCGCCACACATTTTTGGAAATAAAGTTGTACTGGAACACAGCTATGCATTTCCCTTTACCTACTGTGCACAGCTGCTTTTGGTGATGCTAGGGCAGAGATGAGCAGTAGGACCACTGAAGGGAGGGACAGTTTAGAGCTCTGTAAGAAAATTTTGTGCCATGTTAATTTGTACTGTTTGCCCCAGAGAAGGTCCCTCTCATACTATGGCAGGAGACCCAAGATTTATTCTCAAGCAAGAATGAACAAAGTCTCTAGGCCAGGGACACTAGGAATCATGGCAGGGAAGGGGATGTCCCTCAACATTTCCATGCTGAACTCTGACTCCAGCCCACCCCGCCCAGACCCAGAACACTGCCCTCCAGGCATCCCACAGGAAGCCTGCTGTGGGAAATCTGACTATCCCAATGAAGCTACTCAAGATACAGAAATTGGCCAATCGGATTATCCCAGTGAAGCTCCCAGTGAAGCAGTTCCACTCATGTGCTCAGAGCTCCCAATTAACTTTGTAATCTCCATTCTTACACCTGAGTGGACAACCTAGACATCTGAGGAAAGTAACAATGCAAGAAAAACCAACAGACAAAAGTATCTTGGAGGAAAAGGAAGAAGACAGCCTCAATTAAATAGGGTGGCATAAAAAAAATGACCATTTGGAGGAAAAAAAGAACTTTTAGAAATTACATAACAGCAGAAGTAAAAAAAATCTCTACTCACTAGAAGGGTTTGATGGTAGCTTTGGGGATCTGAGAAAGCAAAGCTTGCAGACAAGTATCTGTCTGGCTCACTGGCCCCAGAACCTAACACAGTAAGTGGCCAGCTCTGGGCAGGTGTTTTATACAGAGGCACAGGAAGTTTTAAAGTATTAAAACTTTCCTAAAACTTTCCACATGCCTATTAAGTGTTAGAGCCAGAATTCAAACCTGGGATCTATTTAACTATTCTTCCCTTTTCATTCTGTAAAGCTTCCTGCTTCCTGAATCAATTAATCTTCATTTGTATATAAGCCCACCATAGTCATAGCCTTCTAATCAATTATACAGTAAGATTTCAGGAATTTTTCAGAACTTTGTTTCTACATTTTATATCTGTTTTTATAGGATTTCTTAAATTTCTCTTTATCCCTGGAGTACGCAGCACAGGGCCTCACACCGACAGGTGCTTAGCAGAGAACTGCCAACTGCTTTGTAGGTACTACCAGGGACCTCTCGAGAGTGACTTACCTTCCTGGCTACCAACTGGACGGCATCATCCTCAAAGGCCTTTAAATGTCTGAGTCGGGACACTAGGATCTGCTGCAGCTGCCTGTAAGTGTAAGGCTGGAAGCACATCCTGGTGAGACCCTGGGGAGCCAAGATGACAAAGGAACAAGTTCGCTGATTGCCCTCTCTGATAACCCTGGTGGAGAGTCACCCAGTAGTCCCCAGACCTGATCTCTAGGTCCCATATAACACTTTACAGATTTCATGCTGGGGCAACCACTGCTTCCAGCTCTTCGTTACTGACAATGGCCTGTGGTATCCTATAGAGCAGTAGTTCTCAACTACTTTTCATTTAGTTTAAAAGATCCTTTTATTCTACCAAATCATTGAGCAGTAAATAGAAGTAGAGGCACTTCTGTTAAAGCGGGCGGGAGGACCTTCAGCTCTACAATCCGTGCAGGCACAGCCCCTGGCTTCACTCGTCATGCTTGTAAGTACCAGATGCCGAGCTTCCCGCTGAACCACGCTCGGGTCCGGGAGAGCAGACTGCGTCTGCCTTGTTCACTGCTATGGTCTAGGCATCTAACACTGCGTGGAAAGGGTAAGGACTTAGATATACTTTAAAAATACTTAAACCTCCAGGGCTCTGCAGTTCCAGAGTGAACAGGTTAGCAAAACATCAAGATACATTTGTGGCAAATCATGTAATAATGACATATTTAATTCCAACTTAAAATGGTAAGAAGTCAGGAACCATAATTTCTTTCTTTTTTTAAAAGATTTCCTTTATTTTTAGAGACAGGGAAAAGGAGAAGGAGGTGTGAGAGAAACACCAATTGGCTGCCTCTCACACGTCTACAACTGGGGACCTGCCCCACAACCCAGGCATGTGCCCTGACTGGGAATCAAACTGCCAACCTTTCTATTTGCAGGCCAGCGCTCAATCTACCTAGCCACACCAGCCAGGGCAGAAACCATATTTCTTACTTTTCCCACTTATTTTAATTTCCTATGTATTCATTTTGACCCACCTCCTGGATCTATAAGAACAGCTTGAGAATGGCCCTAGGACCTACCAGTCGGCTGGACACCCGGTTCATCATGATGCGCTCTGGCAGGTCCATGGTGTTGGCAATAGTCAGGACCACAAGCCGGGCCTCCTTGTGAGTGGGCCAGTCAAAAAGATTGTACATTACATCTTGTTTCTGAGTCCACAGAAGGTCAAGCTGCCAGGGAATTAGGAGCGAGATGCAGGGTCAACCACAGAGACTGAGCCAGGGCCCCAGAATATGGGCCTGTTACCATCACTTTAACTGCATGTGCTTCTCAGGTCACGACACCAGAGAGGCAAGGAAGTCAATGGACATGTGCCTCTTGTGACCAGAGAATAGATGAATGAAGAGGGGAGCCAGGACTTCCCTCCCACCCAGTTATTTGCCCCCAGAACATCACAGTCAAGAACCACGCCTCTTCTTTACCATTCCTCCTTTGGGCATCTCCTTACCTCGTCCACAAGCAGCACAGTGGTTTCCTGAGCAGATCCTTGGGTGCAAAATCGCCTTGCCAACAGTTCTACTGCATGGTTAGCTGTTGCCTTTTGGCCTGTCATCTTCTGCATTAGGGGAAAATAAGTGGTAAAAAGGTAAGGACTTTCCTCCCCTGGGCTTAAAGTCAAATCTGCAAATGGAGGATGCTATTTAGTCTGAGGACTTCAGGATCCTGTACTCTGACTCTGCTTACTACTCTGGTCTAACCTAAACACAGAAGAGATGGCAGTAAAACAGGAGATAAAGTCTATGTGATTGAAATGCAAATGAGCCACAGACTGGTCCTAGAAGACACTCCAAAATCATTACTGCATGACTCTATTTAAAACTGGACATAATTTGTTTAAGATAACAACTTACGAACAGAAGAGTGAGGTTCAAACTCTGGCCTACCTCTAACCCCTTTTCTATTTTTTGCCACACTGCCTCTTACATGCAAATGGTTTCCACCATGTTAGTAAGTACTGGTTTCTAGTCATTCATATCGAGCTCCTAGACTTTAAGATCCTTGAGGATAGGAATTCTGCCTTCTTTGCCCTTGCTATTTCTACACAAAGGGCAATGCCTGGTATGTTGAATTTATTTTCGGCATTGGCTAGTGTGACTCAGTGGATTGAGCATCCACCTGCGAACCAAAATGTCGCTGGTTCAATTCCAGGTCGGGGTTCATGCCTGGTTTGTGGGCCAGGTCCCCAGGTGGGGTGTGCAAGATGCATCTGGTCCATGTCTCTCTCACACATCAGTGTTCTCCTCCCTGTCTTCCTCCCTCTCCCCCCCCTAAAAATAAATAAACAAAATCTATAAAAAATATTTTGAGATTGGCCAAAAGTTCTTTTGGTTTTGTAAGATGGCCCTAGTAGCACTTAGTTGTCTTTAACTTCATTTGAAACAATTTTGTTAGATTGTATTGTGACAGCTGTCCTATCAGTGCGCATAAAAAAAAACCCAAAACCACCAAAACTGGTGAATTTCTGTGTAGCCATTTTAATATTGACGATGGAAGAAAATAAGCAACATTTTCAGCTTTACTCTTTCAAGAAAGGTAAAAACGCAACTAAACACAAGAAAAGATTTGTGCAGTATATGGAGAAGGTGCTATGATCAATCAAACATGTCCAAAGTGGTTGGCCAAGTTTCATGCTGGAGATTTCTCGCTGGACGATGTTCCACATTCAGGTAAACCAGTTAAAGTTGATAGCCATCAAATTGAGACATTAACTGAGAATAATCAATGTTATACCACATGGGAGATAGCCAACGTACTGAAAATATCCAAATCAGTAAAGTTATTGGTAAAAATGAAAAAATGTGCCTTTTATTTTATGGAAAAAACTACAAGGACTTTTTGGCCAACCCAATATGTCACATGTACAAAATTAAGTAAATATTTCTCTTTTCACGTGCCACAAAGAAACTGTATTTTCCAAAAACTGCTTTGCTTACCTGCAAGATTTGCACATAGACTTGGTGGGGCTCTGTCAGCTTCATGCCATTGACTTCGACGTACTGAAAGGGAGGAACATCCTCTGCTCGGGCCGCCTGCTGCAGGCAGTGTATCACCTCGTGCACAGTGGCAGTCTTCCCCGTCCCAGGCACCCCGGAGATATACATGCACCTAGGAAAGAAGGGGAGACGCACGGGTTAGGTCTGTGCCAGCTGCCTCACATTATCACCAGCTAAGAGTGTGCAAATGTGTGCTGCAGGAAGGGCCGAAACCCCTGAAACATGGAGGTGGGGCAGTAAGGGCCATTCTTGGAAGCTGGTCAGAGCAGGACCTGTTGCGATAGCACCATTCATTCCATAGGTAATGCTGCACGTGAACTGCCTATCCAAAGGCCGGTTTCATTTTTCTCTAAAAAACAGAATTTCTCTCCCCACAGAATGGCTTTTGACAACAAAAGCTGCTTCAGAAGCTTAGGCTTCAGCAACAACTCTGCCTGTTCTCCTGACACTGGGGAAAGGCCTTGTGGTTGAACTATGACCCCTGAGGGGACGTACTAGTAGGAGCGGTCTCCCCCCATCATCCTGCCTGGCTCAGCAGGACTCACCCTCCAGTATGGTCAAGGAGTTTGCTTTCCACAAAGCTGTAGATATCCTGGAATTCCTTTTCCCGACAGGGAAGCGAGTCAGGAACAGCAGAAACATGCAGACTAAATAAAGGAAAAGTAGGACTTTAGAAGCATTGCACCATCTACTCAATAATAAATGGGAAAGACTTATCTATAATTCCTATATAAAACCTTGACCACCAATCCAAGGGAATGTCTTCACTCTCAATTCACTTCATGTGGCCTCATAATTAATCCCTTTTTCCACCCAAATCACCAACTCAGTGGTTCTAACCAAAGGTACCTATCACCTGGGAAGCTTTCTTCAAATCATACCAGTAGACCTCATCCCATAAGAGACTCTAATTCAGTTCATTCCTGGCAGGATGTATGCTTGTGTGTTTTGAAAAAGTCCCAACATAATTCTAAAGGGTTCCATTACCTGAGAAGCAGTGTCCTGACTAATCAATCACCTTCCATCCCTGAGAAAATGATGGCAGTAGACTGGAAGGTTACTCCTTTTAAAACCTGTCCATATTAGCTGACCCAGACAGTACTTGAGAGGTTCCTTCTTTCCCAACATGGAAGTTCATTTTACTCTATTTCATGTGAATGAGGGCGAAGGTCCGTTTCTTCCTATCTGACAGGGGCCCACGAGCAGTGTTACCTGAGGCGGGCCTCCTCTAGCATGCTGGCTGGCTCCGGGGCAGCCAGGCTTCGGCTGCGGATCCGGGGGGTGGCAGAACGTGGCATTCTAGACTTGGGCTTTATTCAAAAGAGAGAGAGAGGGAGAGAAAGAACATATTTCAGTAGGAAAAAAACAAAGAAAAATATCATTCAGGACACATCAGCAAATCTGCTTCCAGATGACCCGCTAAAAAGAGGTGGTGAATTCCTTAGTTCTTGTACGTATAGAGCACCTATAGCTGTCCACCTCTCTCCTCACATCACATATACGCTTTGTTCACAGTCCAAACGTGGTCGCTTTTTCCTAATTTATACCCAGGAATTAAGATTTGAAAACAATGTTGATCTGGGGAAAGAATGGATGAAAGTATGGATTAAGTACTATTTAAAAGTAACATAATACTTTAAAAGAAAGACAAGAAATTACAAAGAAATCCTAAATGCTCTACCCAACTATAGTGTAGAGCAGGAGGTAAAAAGTTCATTTATAGGATCCTTCTCTAGATTTGTTTGAAAATATGGTCAAACAAATAGCTCAGGACTTCCCTAATACAGATTTGGAGAAACCGCACCAGATTTTTCCACCCCAAACCCCAGGGTCACTGCTCGGTCTAGGTTAAAGCCCTGTCTTCTCACTGTCCTCGCTGCTGGCTCACTAGAGCAGGCCTGCTACCCCTTCTTCATGGTGTTTCCGCAAAGCACTCCCTTCTGTGGGCATTTCACCTGCCCGCTCTCTGTTGCCGGCCAGGCTACAGAGCAGTAACAATCTCACCACCTCTGGTTTAACATCTATTAACTTTGGAGAAAACAGGAAAGGAGGAAAAAAACCTTGCTGAGAAGGCAGAAAAAATTTGGTGGACTTCTGACCTTTTATTATGTAAGATGCCCTCATACCCTATATCTCTTCTTCTGGGTGAGACCCGGGAGATGAAATCACCCTAGAAGGTAGGTAAACTGTTTACTTAATAAAGAATCCCAGGTAAGACTGCCTCACATCCAAAAGTGACCCATGGAATTTCCTTTCCCAGAGGGGTTCCAAAGAATATTATGCTCCAGAAAAAATGTTAACTGGTTAAAGACATACTCTAAACCTCTCCTTGAAGGTCACAGTAACATTAGTATGTTAATGGCCTTGACAAATCATGTGATAATGAAAGCAATTTAACTTTGTGTAATCCAAACATTTCTCACACACATTTGAACATGAGAAGACTCTTTTCTTAATGGCTTTCAACTTTCTACCAAAGCTCCACAGGAAGCACTAGACATCCATTTATTTCTTTAATCTTACCCACTGTGCAAGTCATTACCAATACCTGTGTAATGCTCCTGTTTCTCAGGTGTAGCAAATGGTACAAAACCAACGACATGGTCCCACAGCCTTGGATTCAATACCTCCTGGGCACTGATCATGCACAAAGCACTCTGAGGGGTTTAGTGGGAAATACAAAGAGGAGGAGCCAGTCCTTGTCCTTCCCTCTGGAAGTTCGGCTCCTGGCCATTGGATTGCAAATCTTAATAGGAACCTGGATTCAGAAATCACTATCTACTGGATTCACTTTCAGGCCTAGGGTTCATGAATATTCCAAGTGTAATAGCTTTGAACACAACAGACCTGTGCTCAGAATCCAGCTGCTACTAATACCAGTGTGACCTAGCCATCACAATTTTTGAATAAAGAAAGAGATGCTTCACTGGAAAATGAAGCTAAAAGAACCTTACAGTTTTCTTTGGTGTCTTGGAGGGGGTCTTTAAAGACGACTTCATGGAAGAGTGTAGGTTCCTGGGTGTTCTCCTTGGAAGGGGGGGTGTCGAAGCCTCTTCCTTCTCACTGTCAGAGTCTGAAATCTCTGCTGCCGGCAGAAACTCTTCCTCTTCTTTGTCATTTTTACTATTACCTAAAAACCTGAATGGTGGGGCACATTTTCTGATACTCAGTGTTTGAAGTCTAAATAACAAGTGTAAATTAAAGGTGCCACAGAGTTTCTCCCCAGGCTGAGCAATATATAGGACGTACCCCACTTCCTTGCTACTGAGGTGCTCTACTAAAGGCATTATTTATAGTATTTTTGTAACTTGTATATTATTATTGCCATTTTATACATAAGGAAACTGATGCTTAGAAAGGTTACATAACCTCTCCAAGGCTACACAGATAATCAACGCCAAAGCTCAGTCTCAAACCCAAGGCTCTCAGAATCGAAGTTCAATCATACCGTAACAGTCTTGCAAGGTATGATTATGGGGCCCTAAGATCCACCTATGCCAGGGGCAGTGTTTCTTGCCCCTTTCAAACTATCACACTTATGTGAAATTAACATAATTCCAGACATACTAGGTAAAAAGATGAATTTCAGTGGAATAACAAATAATAACCAAGAACTATATAAGAAGATTGTACATATATATCATAGATGGCAGTTATAAACATTTTTCTGCAGGCCAAGGAGCACTCTTACCGCAGTTGCTGCCTAATCCGATTCAAAGTCAAGAGAGAACTCTTTCTGCGGATCCGATGGGGAGTAGAAGTAGCTTCATCCTGAGCTTCTGGTTGTTCCGCCTCCCTGCAAGATACCACAGCAAGGTTACAAAGAGCAGTTTTGGGCACTAGGGATCAGCGGCAGACACCAGAAGATAGTTAGATGGCCTGACTTGCTGCTACTCTTTTTACAGGAGCTAATCACTTTGCTAAAAAGTTTATGATTTAAGTTTGACTCAAACCCAGAGATCAAAATTTGCTTAAAGCTTATTAGTTAAATCAGACTCACCATCTCCCCACCTAGAGATCAGAATATACCAATCCTGGGGCAGAGTTACTTGTCTCTTTTTCTTTCTGATATATTTATGAACTCATGGTCCACCCAACTCAAGGTTAGCAGAAAGGTAGCTATATATTAAATATAAAGCATTTATAAAGCAAACCTTAACGTTTTCGGATTCTGGGTGCTGGAGTTTCCAAGCAGGAAACACTGAAATGTGTAATTTCTGGCCTCTCACATTATTTGTGCGGTCCATTATTTACAAATATTGTTGAGTAACAAACTGTAAATTTTATTCTAGATGCATTATCTTCTTGTACTACATGTATTTGAGAATGGCTTTTTAGAAAATACTAAGAAAATGGCTGTTAAAATGTGGCAAAGAGCCCCAGCAAATAATGAAATCCAGGACTCTGAAGCAATTCAGGTTTGGAAAACCGTCTTCTGAAGCAGTGACTCCAAAGGACAGGTAGGTATACCAGAATCATCCAAAGAGCATTTCAAAAATGCAGATTTCTGGGCCCAACACTTGGAGATTGATTTGCTGTTCCTGAAAACAGGCTCAGAAATCTGTATTTTGGAAAAGTGCCTGGTGATTCCACGACACATTCAGAGTTGCGACCCACTGCTCTAATTTTATTGACTGTGACCCAAACATACCCCATCACATGAGCCACCTCCTCTGTGGAGGGAGAATAACATCCCAGTTACCTCTTTTTGGTCTCTTCTGGTTTCAGAATCACAGAAGGCACCACTGAGGACCTCTTTCCACCGCTGGAAGGCTTCAGTGTTATTTTCTCACTGATTTCTGTGGTTTTCAAAGCTGGAACTCGGGTTCTCAGGGTCCTGTGACACTCGTGTGAAGCCTTCTTGTCCTCTTCAGCATAAGGGCGTCGAATCTCCCCAGTTTTCTCTGGGGCTTTTGGAGCTGGAGATGAGGCCTGAAGTCCATCAAGCTGAGACCTCTTAGAAGGTGAGGTGATCTCTGAGGCCACTTTCCGTTTAGTTCTTCCAGGAGAATCCAAAGAGGCCCGGGACTTCTGCTGGGAAATCCCGGTGTTTGGTGTTGCAGGGAAACCTAGGCCCAAGAGAAGCCACCACAATGTGTGAAGTTCATAACCAGCACCGCACACACTCCCAGTCTGTGATAGCTAAATTCAGCCACTGAAGTTCTACAAAGACATGAGTTATCCATATTTTCAATTATTCCATGATTCTGCCCCCCAGGCGAGGTAGCTATATGGTTTTTAATCCCTTTTCTATTCCCTGGGTGATTTTCCCAGTTAGAACTGTAAGTCGACTATTGAGTCAGCATTTGTAAATAATGGTTAATTAGATTTCTCTGAAGTACTTTACTAGAAAAGTGGTTTTTAACCAGGGGTAATACGGCACTCCTCAGCCCCCACTCAACAGCATTTAAAAAAACTATACCAGAGGCTGTTAGGTAACACCAAGGCCTAGCTTTCTCTTAACTCAGATGGCACCTACCATAGAGAAGACAAGGATCCGGGGGCAATCGGCTAGATTTGGCAGTACACAGAACCACGTGGGAACCACCTTAGCATTTGCTCCTGTTACTGTGACCACACGCACCAAGACCCTCCACTCATTTACAGACATCAACTGAGCTCTTAAAATGACAAGGTATGTGCCAGGCGCTCAGATATAAGCCAATTCAATGAGACAATCCTGGTCCTCAACTGCAAGACACTCCAGTCTAACATGGAAGGTGATATACATGGATGTCCACAATATGAAGTAAAATATCGTCCCAAAGTACCTAAGTGCTAATAAAGATGGCTTTTCGGGTAGAACATAAAGGCAAAACTTCAACAGTGTTGAAAAGGAAAGGAGAGGGCTAAATGAGGAGAAAAAACGAGATCCATGTGAACTAAGATAATGAGGCAGGAATGCACTGGGCATAGAGTTCACTTTAGTCACAGCATATGGTCCATGGGGAATAGCTACAGAGAAGACGAGAACGGTCATCTAGTGCCCACATATGAAGGCTTACAGTGGCTTTCTCACACTCACGGAAAAACTAGGAACAACACAAATGCCTTAAACTGGGAGTAGATAAACTACAATAAATCATAACGGAATACTACATAGCAATAAAAAGAAACAAATTCCGGACACATTCAATAACATGAATGAATCTCAAATGCGTTATGCTAAGTTAAAGGAGTCAGACTCAAAAAGCTATGTACAATATGAGTCCATTCATGTGCTATTCTGGAAAAGGCAAAACTATAGAAACAACAAACAGATCGGTAGTTACCAGGAAGTGAGGGGAGAGCTGGCTGATTACAAAGAAACACAGGGAATTTGGGGATGATAAAACTTCTATATCTTGATTAGGGTGGGAGTTACACATTTTTATGCATTTGCAAAAACCTATAGAACTGTTTTTACACTTGTATACCACAGAGGAAAATTTTGCTATATGTAAATTATACCTCAATAACACTGACTTTAAAATGCTATCTAGAGCCAGATCTTACAGATCTTTGAACATGAAGCTAGAATCATAAAACCTTTTTGTAAATAGGAGGACAACTCAGGTATCAATTAATACAAAAATGTCCCAATCTCCTGGTCTCCTTTGTACTTCATTTTCCATCTTTCTGTCAAAAACAATTCATCTAAAATATTTTTATCATATCCTCCCTCCTCTAATTATGTTATTGGGTCAATTTCTCACTCTTAACTTCAATGTCCTGCAAAATCAACAGTCAAAAAATGCGGCAATTATTTCTGAATGATGGTATTACAGATTATTTATTTATAATTTTTCTGCATTTCCCAAATGTTTTATATATTTATATTCAGTCCCTAAATACACACTGTAATAAGCAGCTATCAAGAATACAAACAACTTAAACCCAGCAGACTTGGCATCTAAGCAAAAAAATTCAAAAGGACTGACATATAACAGGAAAAGCTCTCAGAACAGCCAGAGTGGCTTTCAGATACATTGTAAGTGAAAAAAGAAAGATGGAAAAGAATATATCCAGTATGCTACCCTATGGAATACTAAATAAAAAAGAATGGAAAAATTATATGCATGTTTATATGTATGTGTGTGTATGTGTTTATAAATGTATCTGATTTTTGTAAAAAATAAAGCAAAAAAAAAAAAAGAGAGACAAGATAAACCAGAAACTAATAAAATTGATCACCTATAAAACGGTAGAAAGAGGATGTGAGTATAAAGGAATGAGGTTTCTCTGACTACACTTGTTTTAAATAGTTTTGACTCTTTTAACCATGTTAACATTTTACATGTCTAAAAAAATTAATCAAATATGGACAAAGCCCTAAAAATAAACAGAAATAAAAGAACCTTACTGTATACCACCAACTATATAAATAACAGAAGAAAAAGGTTAATCAACTTCACTTCCTCAGTGGAACATATTCTAAAAGCAGAACGCACTGCCAATATATTTTTTCCTTTTCCTCGGGGAGTCTGCTGCTGGTAGTAGGGCTGGCATAGCTACTGTGAAACTCCTGTGCATCAGGCTTGCTCCTGGGAGCCAGGGCGCTTCCTCCCGAAGAAGGGTGATGCAGTCATGGCTCACGGGAAGAAGGGGAAGAGCCCTACGGTCTATACACTAGTCAGTATGATTTCAAGAGTTTTAAAATATGTTTCTTAGCTCTTCTGCTAGGGATCTAAAAGCAATGTCACCTTAGTAGCAGAGATCTTGAAGAAACAGCTCATTACAGGACTCAGTGTCACTAACCACAGGGAAACACAACAAAGGAAACGTACCATCTCACACCTGTGATGACAGCTACTTTCAAAAACAAAAAATAACGAGCGATGGGGAAGAGGCGGAGAAATCGGAACCCTTGTGCACAGGTGGGGAGAATATAAAATGGTACAGCTGCTATGCAAAACAGTATGATGGCTCCTCAAAACATTAAAAACAAAATTACCATATGATCTAGCAATTCCACTCTGCGAACATACCCAAAGTGAAAGCAGAGATTCAAGCAGGAGGTTCTGTGTACCTGTTTTCACAGCAGCATTAGTCACAAGAGCCAAAAGGTGGGAGCAACCCAAACGTCTCCTCACAGACTAATGGATAAACAAAATGTGGTATGTACATACGTACAGTGGAATATTTATTTCGGCCATAAAAAGACAGGAAATTTTGACACATAACATGGATAAACCCTGAGGACACTACACAAACTTAAATAAACCAGTCAGAAAAGGACAAATACTATAGGATTCCCCTTATATGAAGTATCTTGAGTGGTCAAATCAGAGACGGAAAGTAGAATGGTGGCTGCCAAAGGATGAGGGAATGAGAAGTTATTGTTTAATGGTTGGCAGATGATGATAGTGGCTGTACAACAGTGTGGATAGAGTTAATGTCAGTAAACTGCGCACTTAAAATAAGTTAAAATGGTAAGTCTTTTGTTATATACATTCCAAAATGTGTCCAATCAGTACCTGGCCCACTGCTGCATTGACTTAATACTGTAGTATGAATTAGTATTTATCATTTCCGCTAGCCTCAGTGTTGCCACTGTGACCCACTCCACACTTACTGCCAAGCTCTAGCCTCTTCCTTGCCCTTGGGGTAACAGTACGGGTACGAGTCTGGTGAGATTTGGAGATAGAGTGCCTCGATTCAATACTTCTGACCACACACTCCGCTGAGGTCCAAGAAGGGCTTTCTGTGCTATTCGTCTTGGCTTCCATGGGCTTCCAGCATCTGGGACTGCCTTCCTGTAGCTTATCCAAGTCTGCAAGTAATTCTGGGGGTAGTGGTCTGAAGTTCTTCTCATTCCAAGACAGCTTCACAAAGAACGTCTTCTCATTTTTCAGATTCATAGGTAACACTTCATCTGGAGCTAAAGCCAAGACCTGAATTTGGGAAGAATAGGTAAATAGAAAGCAGTGAGGACCAAAATAGCTAAGGAATGCCCCCAGGAGAGCTATGATTACAAAGCATTTAAGTCTGCATCCTTATCTGGAACGTTACTTGTCCAAACTAAAGAGGCACAGCCATGGCATAGCATATTTCTGCAGACTTCTCCTCTCTGATATCCACACCCCATGCTGCTTTCTTTTCCAGACCGTTCTATTCAGCTATGCCAAATTTCCCCACAAAAACTCCTCTAAGCATGCTTCATGGCTCAACAGCCTATAACAGCCCCCACTATAGTGAGATCAGATTATTTAAACTGATTTTCAATGCCTTCTAAAACCTGGCCCCATTTTACCTCCCAAGTGCACACTACTCTTCAAAGTGGTTTTCCATCACTGGTTGAGTTTGGCGTGTCACAGTCCTGCTTACTCCCACCATCACGCTCCTGCCTAAACACCTGCTTCCCTCTCTGCCTTTCCAAATCTACCCATCTTGCTGTGCCAACACCTACACCTGGCTTTCACTTCTTCACTCTGGACCCCCAGGTTGGAAAATCCAACTATAGCCATGCCAGACCAAAAGTCTTTCTGCACTACCGGGAAACCAACCACCTAATTGCCATGAGACCACACTTCTCACCGTGATCTAATCTCATTTTGGGCCTGAATTAGTTCAAGGAATAGCCCATATCTCAGTCTCCAAACCAGTGTCTCAATTTAGCCTACAGCTCACTGGAACCTAAGTTATCATAAAGTCCGTAACACAAATGTGCCTAGTACCAGTAACTAGTACTCTTTGTACTGATTTAAGCAAGTGTATTCAACTTCTCCCAATGCTTCATGCCTACCACAATTATAGCTAAATATAACTTCCCACTGAGATACATTTGCTAATTCCTGCTCACCCCTCAGGTCACAACCTAAATGTCACCCCCTCCAGGAGTCTCCAAACACATGATTTGTTCTCCCAACAAATATCTGTTCAAATGAAGTAGGCAGACAAGGAGAGAAGATGACGAACAGCAAAAAATTCATTTCCATGGGGTAGAGTCAGCAATAATCCTTAAGTCACGCAGTTTAGGATGCAGACAGAAATAAATTCAACATAGCACTGAGAATCAAGGGACCACCTACCTGCACAGAGCCAATGATGGTCTCAGCATCAATGTTGCTGTCACAGGCAGGGTAATCATACCAGAATATCTCCTGTGCATCGGGTTTTCGACCCAGCAAATGTCGTCTACTGACAGGGATTTCACAGAATCGGATGAACCACTGTACTCGAGCACGTTTCTTGAAATGATGTTCAGCATCTAGGAGGGACAGGTAGAAAAGGTAAGGTTAAGAAAATTCAGGAATATTTTATTGGGCACTTCATATGTATCAGACACTGTTAATAAGCACTCGATGGTACTCAATTTAACATATTATTTTAATCCTCACCATAGCCCTCAAGGTAGGGGCTATGGCTAGCTCCCTTATACAGGCGAAGTAATCAAGTTACAGGGACCTTAAATAATCTGTCAGTGGTCACGAGACCAACCATCAATAATCTGACACAACCCACTTCCTAACGGTGGCTACCCGTCATCAAAAAAACTACAAAAGGCATTTGAAAGGAGCAACTCTAATCAAGGGCACAGAACAAATCTTACAAATAAGTGATTATAAAGAAGCCATCAAACAGCAGAAAAACAAAAGTCCTGGCAAGAATCAGAGCATCAGCCACTGAGAAGACGTCTAGCAAATTTACGCTTGCAATCCTCAGTTCTATCGTGGTGTACACCATTAGTACCACTCCACACCAACACTAGCTCCAAGTGAAAGGACACGCACTCTAGTGCTGCCATCATCATTGCCTCTTCTCCTTCTTAGCTCTTTTCAGAGAAAGACTGAAGCACCACACAAGGATTCTAAAATCCACACACAAGGGCCCACACTTCAAATGCAGAGGTCCGTACTGCTGAAGCACTCCTCCCCCTAGATGTCAGTTTGATGAGGTCTTCCTCTAACTTGCCAAATAGCCTTCCTGTTTAGGTAATGTAAAAGCATCTTTATCCACCCACTCTATCAGTTCCTTATTTTAGGCATACAAACTGCCACAGAACTAAATACCTCTCATTCCTCTTCTAGCTCTTGGAAGAGGCAGTTCTGTGTGGTTTCGAATTCACCTTAACCCTCCTTTTGGAGCTCTTCCCCATTCTCACCTTTTGGGCTCTTCTCTGCTTTGCAGATAGTTAAAGGCTCAGAGAATCAGCTGAAGCAGTGATTGTGGACTTGCAGGCTCTGGGTAACACTACTTTCCCTTTTGCTCTTCCAGTTTTAAGGGCAATAGTGGCTTTCTGCACTTACCGATCTCTGGGTAACAACAATATTTTTGTTCCTCCAGCCTTTTCAACACTTATACACAACTCCCTCTTGGTAAAACACCCACTAAAGTGTTTGTTACTGACTGTACATCAACTCAAACCAACTCAGCTTACCTCCTCTCTCATTAAGAATTTGAATTTGCAAAATTCATTACTAATGTCCTCAGGCCAAAATTGAAGGCCAAGTCTCTAACATTGAGTTAATCACCTATTTTTTTCTTCCTCCTTCTTCCTGAATTCATCCTTTCGCTCCATTCCAAAAATTCTGCCTTAATGGCCATTCTTACCCAGCCCTAAAAATAACAGAAAAGCTAAATTCTTGAGCCCCTCCCCAGCCCCCTTTTATCCAGTATTAATCTAGTGAGTAAAGAAGTTCACTACTTTAGAGGAAGAGGGTATAGCTAGTGCTAAAGTGACCCCACCTCAGAATCCAGGGTTCACACCCTAACATGCTGCTGCGAACAAAGGAACCAGTATCTGCCTCTCTTCCCACCTAGAACTTCCCAATTATTCATGACAAGGAATGGTTTTCATTCCAACCCAAAACTCACCATCTTCAAACAGCTCAATCAATTTAGCAACATATGGATTTTCATCATCATCTCCTTTAACCAATACAAACTGTCCAACTTGGATGTGACTCTCAGTCAAACAGCCTTCTGATGTCATGTTCTTTTCTCTAGGAAATAAAAGGAAAATGTTGAAAATCACTTAGTGTAGACCAACTTCTTCAGACCCTCTGGGCACAAAGGAAAGTGCTCTCCAACTAGAAAATCCCGTAAATAATTTCTCTCTGCTGACTAATTCTAACAGAAAACCAGTTCACCCAGTTCTATGTAAGAGTAGACAAAAATGGGTTGAATAAATTGTTTCAGGATGAATGATTATCTAGAAGCCTTAATATGAACCCTACTTCTCTCAGTTATTAACAAAGAACAACAAAGTCTTCCAAAAGAATGAAAGCTACCCAATAACTTACCAGATTAATCAGGGATCTCTAGGGCTGATAGGACATAGTGACAACATCTAATCCTACTCTGTTATCATACAGAATTACACAGAATCCACTTTAAATAGATACGACATTATCATACATATCAAACTTATTAGCCTGCCAACGTCTTCCTTTATCACTAACTGCTATATTTATGCTGCCATTTTCTTGCATCAATTAAAGTATCTCCCAGTTCATAATTACTGTCCCTCAGTCCTCAACCTGTAGTAATGAGAACAGGCTAGATCCAAGTTATTAACCATTTAGCCTGGAGAAGTTGTATTCCCCGGACAAAACGAATCACTCACTTGTAGGTTTGGTACTGTAGTTTCCGATCCAATGATGGGTTGCCAGCCCACGAATAAGTCTGTCTGGTCTTCAGCCTTGTAGGGCAGTATGCCATGACTCCTGCATAAAAGTCACTCACCCAGAGTTAACACAACAACGCTCTGATGGATTACAGGACACAATCCCTGCCTCAACGCGTTCAACCTTCTCTTCTGCCCCAGCTTACTTCTACACATTTTAGACTCAGAAAACATTTTATTTTTTGAGGAAAAAGTCAAGCTCTATGAATATTAAGCAAAAGCGATTTAGAATCATCTGGGTTTGTCTTATACCATTGTCTATCTCTTCCTATCCAGGAGAACAGGAGGGTCAATATGTAAGAAGTGAAACTACAAGATAAATGTTCAGAAGTACTTCCTAGGCACAAGATACAGCGACAGGTGTGAAACATCTAACAACTTGCAACTAAAACAGTGATACAGTGGTTGGTTTTAAGTGCCTCTGTAACACAATCAAGAAAGGGATAAACTATAAAAGCTCTAAAGGACAACTACTAGTGTGAAGAGCGAAGAGAAAGAGCCAGAGGGACTACTGCAATCAGAGGACCAGGTCTTGTGGCTATTTGGGGAAGGGCATCCTATATGGGTTTCCTGAAATGAATACTTAATAATAAGCAGATATTGATAAGATAGAATGAAATGAGGGATTCCAAGACATGGAAGCAAAAACATACAAGAGGTATTTAGGGAAATAGCAATGGGTTTTATTAAATGTATCATTCCACTTACATAAAAGAAAAAAAAAGTTATTTCCCTGACTGGTGTGGCTCAAGTTAGTTGGGTGTTGTCCAGCAAAGTGAAAGGCACCAGTTCAATTCCTGGTCAGGGCACACACCTAGGTTTTGGGTTCATTCCGGCCAGGGCGCATACAAGAGGCAAACAATGGATGTTTCTCTCTCAGATCAGTGTTTTTCTCCCTCTCTTTCTCCCTTCCAGCAAACCCCCTCTCTCTAAAAAAATTTTAAAAATTAAAGTGTCACTAACCCGTATTGCTTTGACAGTTGTTAGGGGTATTCTTTGCAGCACACAGGTCCTAGATGTAAATACGTATTTCAAATAGCTGAAAAAATACGTATGTATTATTAAAGTACATGGGGAAAAAAAGACATTTTTGAATGAAAAACTCAAACACATATGCCACTCCTCTTCAAAATTTGGAAACTGCAATCTATTAGTCCTAATAATAACGCTAACCTATTACCTTAAGTTTGAATAATTAAGAAAAGAAACCTTATATAAATGTCTAACCACTATGCTAGCCCCTAAAACAAATATAGAATTGAGAAAGAAAGAAAGAAAGAAAGAAAGAAAGAAAGAAAGAAAGAAAGAAAGAAAGAAAGAAAGAAAGAAAGAAAGAAGAGCGGGAGGGAGGGAGGGAGGGAGAGAAGGGGAGAGAGTGGGGCAGGAAGGAAATAAGCCTTTCCTCTAAATTGAAGGCTTTTCCTATGGAGCTGAAATCTGACAAGAGGGTAAAAAACATTATTTAAATCCAGTATAACAAAATTACTCTGAAATACTGATAGCGGGACCAATAATTGTAGTTTATGTTAAAAACAACAGAATTAGAGTAGTATTTTAATATTCTGATTAAACAAGCTGGTTTCCTAAAGTTCAGTATCATTATGTCCTACATAATTCTCAGGAACATTTTAATCAAGGCTTTCTACTTTTAAAAAAATGATTTTTTTAAAAAAAAGATTTATTGGGCCCTGGTTGGTGTGGCTTACTGGATTGATTGCACCAGCCTGCAAATTAAAGAGTTGCCAGTTCGATTCCCAGTCAGGGCACATGCCTGGGTTGTGGGCCAGGTCCCCAGTAGGAGGCACTCAAGAGGCAACCACACATTAATGTTTCTCTCCCTCTCTTTCTCCCTCCCTTACCCCTCTAAAAATAAATAAAACAATTTTTAAATCTTAAAAAAAAAGATTTACTGGTTTTTAGAGAGAGGGGAAAGGAGAGAGAAAGAGAGGGAGAGAAACATCCATCAGTTGCCTCTCCTACATGCCTGACTGGGGAACAAGCCGCAGCCCAGGCATGTCAGCTGCCTTGCACTTTGCAGGATGACACCCAACCAACCAATACACACAGGTCAGGCCTAAAAAAGTAGTTTTTAGTATAGCTTATGGAAACAAATTAGCAAAAAGAAGGGAAGATACTGAGTCATTAGTATACAACTTACAAATGACATCTGAATAACTGCCATTAAGAACGTTAATAGTATAGTTTAGCCCTGGCTGGTGTGGCTTAGTGGATTGGGCGCAGGCCTGTGAAGCAAAGGGTCAACGGTTTGATTCCCTGTCAGGGCGCATGCCTGGGTTGTGGGCCAAGTCCCCAATGGGGGACACATGAGAGGCGGCCACACATTGATGTTTCTCTCCCACTCTTTCTCCTTCCCATCCCCTTGCTCTAAAAAAATAAATAAAATATAAAAAATAAAAAAAAGAACATTAATAGTATAGTATAACTCACAACACAGTACTATTAAAATCAATCTGATTTCAATCAAGTGCATTCTAGAAATAACATACAGCAAAGAGGACTGATGAGTAAAAACAAGGAGAAGATTATGCTCAAGTAAAAAGTGAACATGGTTTCATACAATCTTTTGGTAAAAATTAGTAAACGTGTTTGACTCTTAATAAACATTCGAGGAAATATATAGCACTAGCTTACCTTCAATACGTTTCTTTTAATGGACGATGTAACACAGAACTGTCAGAAGCACACTTGGAACTTTTCACCTGTCCACAATAAATCAGGCAAAATAGGCTATTGAGATACAAAAGATGGAAGTAAATTTCTACAACTCTTAAATAATAGAATTATAGGATAAATGGCCTGATTTGTCACTTTGACTATGATGTTTGATTACACTGGCACAATGATCTCATTTTTCAAAGCAAAAATAAGCATACAGGACAATCTGCACTCCAGTAAGGTACTCATGTAACTAAAGGCATCAAATCTATACTATCAACTCTTTTGAATCCAGACTACATTTTAGCTTACTAAATCAGGTATCCTTCAAAACCATGTCAAGATAAAATTCAACATTCCTTTCATAGGAGATCATGAGCTGTGTTCAGTGAGATTAGTATAGCAATTCCCCTTATCCTCAGGGAATACCGTATTTTTCTAACTGTAAGATGCACCTAGGTTTTAGAGGAAAATAGGAAAAAAAATTTTGAAGCAGAAAATGTGGTAAAATATTTATTAACCCATGACTCTGCTCCATTGCTGCCCCCCCCAGCAAGCCAGGTAAGTTACATTCAGACTATAAGATGCACCCCTGCACAATTTGGAAGAAAAGATGCGTCTTATAGTCTAAAAAATACGGTATGGTCAAAGACCGCCCCCCACTCGATGCCAGAAATCATGGATACTCAACACTATACATATATACTGCTTTTTTCTATATATACACATGCATGATAAAGTTTAATTTATAAACTAGGCACAATAAGAAAATAATAAAACAAGACAATATACTGTAATAAATTATACGAATGTGGTCTTTCCCTCTCTCTCTCAAAATATCAGATAACGACCCTGAGAACCGAGCTGGCTAATGTGTACAGAGTGTGCACAGCCTGAATACGCTGGACGAAGGATGATTCAAGTCTTGTGTGGAACACAGCATGAGAATACAAGATTTCACTATGCTACTTAGTACCATGTGCAATTTAAAACATAAATTTGTATTCCTGGAATTTTCCATTTAATATTTTCAGACTGCAGTTGAAGCAGGTAACTGAAACCTTGGAAAGAGAAATGGCCAACAAGGGGGGACTACTGTATAGGTATATATGTGTGCAACTGTTGGTGTTTCACTATAGGAAAGAAGACTCTCTGGGCCTGGACGACATAACCTCCTTCACCTGGGTCTATCACTCTGCTCCAGGCCTGCTGTTAGTGCCCACAAGCTTAGGTATGCTATTCTCTCTTCTTGCAAATCTTTGTAGGGATGGCTCAGGTCTCAGCTGCAATGAAACTTTCTCAGAGGCCTTCACAATGGAAAGTTACCTACCCCTGCCCTTCATATTCCCCCCTCAGAGTCACGTTCCATTACACCACTTTATTACCAAAGCAATAACCAATACACTACTTTCTTATTTAGTGTTTCCCACATTTGAATCTTGACTTCCAAGAGGGCACATTGGGACCTTGTCTATCTTGTTCATAACTGCATCTCCAGGGCCTTGGTTAAGACTTGGTACATAGGTGAATGATCAAATGAATGAGCAAAAATGGTTGGGGCAGTACCAAGTATGGTAAGGATGTAGAGCAGCCAGAACTCTCATTCACTCCTGAAAGGCATGTGAATTGGCAAAACCACTTTGGAAAACTGGTATTATCTACTAAGTCTGAACGTATGCACAGCCTATGACCCAACAATTCCAACACAATATACCTAACAGAAAAAACATACCTATCATCAAAAGACATGAATCAGAATGTTCACAGCAGCATTATAAAGCAATGCAATTAAGCCAAGTACAGCTGCACATAAAGTGGGGAAAATCTCTCAAAATAACAATAAAGAAATCAGACATCAAAAGAATACATACTATATGGATTCCACTTATATAACATTCAGAAATAGATAAAAGTAACCTGTGGTGTTAGAAATCTGAACAGAGGGCAACTTAGGTAACTGAAAGGGAGCATAAAAGGATGTTTCTGGGATGCTGGTCATGTTGCTTCCTGATCTAGATACAAGTTACACAGGCATGTTCCCTAAGAAAACTCACTGACATGCTATTTCTAAAACTGGCAGATTAGCTGAGATTATAAAATAAAACATTCAAACAATAAAAACTCATTGAGTTGCATATATATGATTTGCACACTTTTCTGTATGTTTGCTATTTCTCAATGAAAAGTTCAAAAAAATTAGCAGGAGTCCTAAAGAGGCAGCATGAGAAAATCATAGATGTCAGGCCTCTACCGTTTCCCGACTGTCTTATCCTTGACCCAGCATTTCATTTTATCCACCATCAACAAAGATTCCCCAAGACGGGGTGATGAATAGGGTAAAATGGGAGGCAAAGACTCTGGCTTCTAGAAGATACCCACTGCAGGCTCTCGGTGTTGCAGATAGCAGAAGTCTGGAACACACACACACCCAGTTCAGGGTCTCACCCAAGGAAAACAGATAAGAGAGGTGCAGTAAAAATAATGATAGCATGTATTTATTGAGCCAATGTGACAGAAAGTGGAACCAAAACTCTAAATATATTTATTTCATTTAATCCTCCCAATAATCCCAGAACAACGTTAATACATAGTACCAAGTGCACAGAAGCCTCTCAATATTTGCTGAGTGAATATCATCACTTCAAGATGGTTTTTTATCCCAATGTTACACAGAATGGCACAGCCTTAATTCAAACCATGAGCAGCCAGATTCCAATGACTGTGCTCTTAATCACTTCACTGTATGTGAAAGTAGATAATGTTAAATATATACCAAATAGCTTACTTACTGGTGTGCTTATTACAGTAAGAGAGGCTTCCCAGACACTGACTGGAGAGGTCAAATGGGCCCAGGTTCCCTTATCCATAAAATGGGATAATAGAATCTTCCTTTTATTCAACCAATATGTATTAATCACCCATTATGTGCCAGGCATTGTTCTAGAATTACTGAGAATTAGGTGAAAAAATGCAAAATGGTAAGTTCACTCCATTACTTCCTTAATCCATTGCTCTATTTGTAAGGCACAGTGATTCTTGGTTTTTTTGTTCTTTTCCTTTAAAAAAAAATTTTTTTTTACTAATTTGATGAATGTTATGAAACACATACAAATCACATAAAATTTTGCATTCAATTTTAGGGGATTCACAAATCTTTTGGAGTCCACATATTGCCCTTCGTTATGGTTAAGAACTATCGCAGAGGAACTTGGTACACCATGTTCCCACATCGGAAACCTCCAAAGGCATTCCCAAGCACCCATTACAGCAGGTAAGAGGGTACCGTCTTTTACAGATAACTAAAATCGAAAACTGACATTTAATCATTGCATTTTCAGAGAGAGCAAACCAGGGTAGGCATCTTGCCATCTCATGCCTTTAAGTCAGTGTTTTCCAACTATCAAGACCGAAGGCCCCTCTATTCTAGGATTAGACTACGGGAAGTAGCAGAGGTGCCATTACACTTCTTTCCTGGAAAGGTAGATGGATTAAGAGCAGCTCAACTAGGGGGGTAAAACAGCGACCTAGATAAGTTTCTGGGCGCAAATGCTACAACCGTAACAAGGTGTAGTAACTTCTGTTGCTCCTACTTCCCTGTGGTGCTTCCTACACTATGGCTAAAAGGCGGGAAAGATGCGCCTCTTTACAAGCGCAATCTAGAGAGAAGGGGTGGTTACTATCATCACTGAGTCTCAGGGCGCTGTGGACAGGAATGCTCACGCTTCTCTGCTGTTGGCTCCTGGCTTTCCCTTTGCAAACTCACGGCCCCTGACGGAGCGGGAAGCCTTTTTGCAATAGGGATGTGGGAAAGAAACGCTTCTGATGGACTTAGAACGACGCCTTGCACTTAAGAGTCGTTTAGTAAATACCTGCTGAATTAATCAATGACTGAATGAGTCTATAAATAACAACCTCCTCTGTCCCCAGGGCTCAGGTTCTCCTCCAGCCCATGGGACGCCACATTCGTCCCATGATTCGCGAAAGATTCCCAAACTTAGGAGTAAGTCCTCCACTTCCCACCGTCTCCACTTCGGGAGTTTGTGGAGTTGAGTAACTCTCACCTGAACCGGCTGGACTCCTCTTGCTGGCAAGGGGCCGCACACTGGAAGGAAATGGGAAGCTAGCAAGGAATGGAAAGAAAGTGGAAAGAAAATTTCGCGCCAAATGCTGCGGCCCCGCCCCCATGGCGTCCCCACGTCGCGTCACCAGTCAGCCCGCCCTCTCCTCCAGCTCACCCAAAAGTGAGCGCATGACGTACTTACGCCAACGTGCAGCGGCCATCATTGATTCTATCTGCGCCGCCGTTTGCGGAAGGAAGTTCCTTACTCTGCGCCTTTCCGATTTCAAGATGGTTGCCTGGTCTGTTTAAGTGAGATCTCCTTCACCTTTCTCCGTTTGTGTTTGTGTTTAAAAGCTGGATATGACGCACTAAAGGACCCGACGGAAATAGAACTAAAGGGGTTCTAAAATGGCGAACCGCACGGTGAAGGATGCACACAGCATCCACGGCACCAACCCTCAGTATTTGGTGGAGAAAATCATTCGGACTCGAATCTATGAATCCAAGTACTGGAAAGAGGAGTGCTTTGGGTTGACGGGTGAGTGGCAGCGTACCGACCCCAACATCGGCCGTGTTGTGGCCCAGTTCTGACTGGGCGACGGTCCCTGGGGTGAGACTGGAAGGAAACTGACTTTCAGAAAAATTTGTACCCCTCCTATATGCCTAGACATATGTTGGGCTGTGGGCACACAGGTGGTAGGGTCTTACTACGAATGGTGACTCACTTCGGTTTTGGGAGTTGTTCCATGTTTAATGATAACTTCCGGGGTTCCAAGCAATGATAAACTCGGGGACCCCGAAAGTCTTAAAGGCAGCATTCCCCCACCATATTCATGATCTTACTACCCCCAAATGTAAATCATTTGCAATACTTCCGCGATCGGGCCCCGATATGCGTATTCTTTAGAGAAGTCTCCTAGGTAGTCTTTTAATCTTTGTTCGAATTCTGGCTCCTCTTTTTAGTGTTTCTTAGTTCGAGAGCCGTGGCTTCCTCTGTTGTGAAATAGTGTGATACCCATCTCAAAGAGTTGTTCTAATCATTAAATGCAATGACATATCGCTGGTAGTCATCGCTGGTAGTGGTGGTGCTAGTTTTTACAACGGTTAAATATTTTTCTGTTATAATGCTGCCACCACCGCTTAGCTGTGTGTGCCCACGAACCAGTCCTATTGTTGCTCTGAGTCGCCGTAAAATTTTACAGTCTTGTAAAGTTTACTTGTGGACCCTTTTCTCGTTACATAGTTATGTCCTTGAATGAGCTCTGTAACTACATAACACAGTTGCTTCCTGTGTATGTAGATGCCTGCAAATTTATCTCCACCTTAGATCTCTCCTGAGATCTAAATCTCTAATTCCAAGACATGTTAACTCAGTAGTTCAAAAGTAAACGCGAGACCTTTTTGTCCTCTATAAGGTTACGTTTTCTTGTATATTTTCATCATATTCTGCATCTTCATTTAACTACTCATCAATGTAAACTCCATAAAAATACTAATTGTGTCCCTCTTCTTTATCTCTCTATCTGTATCTTTAGTAAGTTGTCAACTGTAATGTTGAGTGAATTAATACAGAATTTATCCTAAAGGAACTTGTAGTCTATAGACTTGGAGTCTATAAAATGATTTCCCATTAATGAATGGTAGGTAACATTTATTATTTGCTATGTGTCAGGTTGATAATAGCATTTATTTGTATTGTCGCATTTGATTCTCACTATAGCCCTTAAACTTTTTGTCTTTGTTATTTAAATTTTGACTAGTTCAAACAGAGATGAAGTGACTTGTCCCAGTTCACAGCTAGTGTTTGATTTTGACAATGGAAAGTTAGCATCCCCATTTTATAGATGAGAAGAGGTTTACCCACTGTATATAGTTATTGAAGAGTTATTAATTGTGCTTTTTTCTTTTTAGTTTTTTAAAGATTTTATTTATTTATTTTTCTTTAGAGAGGACAAGGGAGGGGGAAAAGGAGAGAAACATCAGTGTATGGTTGCCTCTCACACATGCCCAAATGGGGACCTGGTCCACAACCCAGGCACGTGCCCTGACTGGAGATCAAACCTGCCACCCTTGGTTCATAGGCTGGCATTCAATTTACTGCTTGGTTCATAGGCTGGCATTCAATTTACTGAGCCATACTGTCCAGGGCTGCTTTTTTTCATTTGTGAACACAAAAGGGGCTTTGTAATGAATCTGACATATTCAGTGACAGAAAGTAATTTCACAATGTGATCTAATCATAAGTTCAGAATTGGGCAAGTAATTGTAGGTAGTCTTGCCCCAGGTCTGTAACTAATTTAGTAAAAGTTTTAACTTCACCTTCAGCCACCCCTGCCTGTTGTTCTTACACATCTAGCTTAATACACCTTTAAAATGTCAGAGTGTGCCTCTTTTTCAGAACACATAATCTTAACTGTCCTTTAATACAATCTGAGATTTCCCAATGTCATGTAATCTTCCTTAGTTTCCTTAATTCTAAATGTGTAAAAAATGCAAAGCTGGTATTCTCCAGAGCATCTGAGATCTTGCTTCTTGGCATATCACCATTTGGCCTAAAAAAAAAACTCATAAAAATTCTCTATGGGTTTGGACATTCTTATATCTCACTGTTAACTCTAAATGTGGCTATTTTCCCTCTAACCTGATGGTGACAGGTATGGACCCTGAAGTTATACTGCTTAGATTTATATCCATGCCTTGCTACTTTCTGGCTGTGGACCTTAAGCAAATCACTTAACCTTTCTTAGCCCCACTTAACCTTCCTTAGCTGAAAGTAGGGGCAATGCTAGAACTTAACTCATGGTTTGCTGCAAAGATTAAATAAAATGATATGAAATGTTTAGCTCAGTATCCAGCATATAGTAAATAGTACCTGTTAGCTGCTGTCATCATTATTATTACTATTAATGCATACTTGTTCTAATATTAAGCTGGTGATGAGTATTCAAGAGCACAAAACCTTGAACTAATTTCTCTCCTTTTTTAAATCTGCAAAAGCTTAGCCCTAAAATGTCTGTTGTTTTTGTTCTTGTTTTTAGCTGAACTTGTAGTCGACAAAGCCATGGAGTTAAGGTTTGTGGGTGGCGTCTATGGTGGCAACATAAAGCCAACACCCTTTCTGTGTTTGACATTAAAGATGCTTCAGATTCAACCGGAGAAGGATATCATTGTTGAGTTTATAAAAAATGAAGACTTCAAGTGAGTGAAGTATTGACCAGCTAATATAAAACCTTCAATTTCAGTAGTCCAGAATTTGGCTTTGGTTAAGAGGAATGTTAAGCTATCTTTTCCATAAAGTTCTACTCTAGGATTTTTGCTTTTGAATTCTTGAGTTTGTGTTTTGTCTGTCTTGATTGAATTCATTCCTTTACTTTTCCAGTCTTGGTAACTTTTCCCCAAGAAAAGTATTTCACAAAGTCACTGGATGCTCAGGAGTGAGGAAAACAACATATTGTGGGACGATAAGAGGGAAAACTTCAGTGTTAGATATAGGTTGTGTCCAGACTATTACTTATTAACTGTGATCTTAGAGTAGCAACTAAATTTTCTCAGCTTTCTTAACTATAAAGTGGAGGCAGCAACATCAGCTCAGTATTGATGTGAGGATTACATAAGGTAGTGCTATAAATCTCACAGCAGTGTTTGCTGCATAGTAAACATCGCAAATAGGTGAGCTGCTTTTATTATCCATTGATAAGTATGACAGATACATAGTAGTAGTTTACCATGTGCCACCCTCTGTTCTAAGAGATTTACCTCTTAGAACAGATTTAAATAATAATTTAACCTTCACCACAGCCCTGTGAAAATATTATCCCCATTATAATAGGGGAGGAAACTTGGGTACAAAGAGGTTAAGTAATTTCCCCAAGGTCAGACAGCTAGGAAGTGGCAAAGCTGGCTTCGGATATCGTATTCTTTGCTACTGTATTATGTAAGTGGAGATTTGAATGGTTAGTTGGATATAAAAGAAAGGGAAAAGGAACGAACCTTAAACATTAATAGCTAGAAAATATCTAACTTTCATTTGGTACTTACTATGTGTCATATGCTAGCCTTAGTACCTTACACATTTTTTTTTTTTTTTTTAGAGGGAGAGAAAGAAATACTGATTTGTCGTTCCACTGATTATACATTCACTGATTGATTCTTGTATGTCCCCTGACCAGGGATCAAACCCACAGTCTTGGCGTATCAGGACAATGCTTTAATCAACTGTACTACCTAGTCAGGGCCACATATTTCTTTTTTTTTCTTTTTTTTTTTTTTAAGATTTTATTTATTTATCTTCAGAGGGGTAGGGGGGGAGGAGAGAGGGAGAGAAACATCAATGTATGGTTGCCTTTTGTGCGTCCCCTGCTGGGAACTGGCCTACAGGGAACTGGCCTGCAACCCAGGCATGTGCCCTGACTGGGAATCAAACCGCGATCGTGTGGTTCGCAGGCCCGCGCTCAATCCACTGAGCTACACCAGCCAGGGCAGGGCCACATATTTCTTAATACACCATGCCAGCAAATTAGGTGCTATCATCAGCATTTTATGTAAATTTGATAAAGCAAATAATTTGCCCAGTGTTACAAAGTTAGTAAGTAATGGAATCAGAATTTGAAACAAGATGACTTGGAATTTTTTCCAGGACAACATTCTGTTGCCTATCAATAATTTATATATTCATGCCTGTATGTATTCTTTTATTGTTAGTAAATATATGTTACATTTTCTGTTAAATTTGGTATCTCATTTGACTCTTAATCATGTGAGGTACCTAGTTTCTATCTTAGTTTTGCAGTTGCTATAATAGACTCTGAAAGTTGAATAATACATCACAAATTCCCACAGTAAGTAAGTGATAGAATGGGAATTTGAACCCAGGTCTCCATATTTTAGCTCTTCCTGTTGCCTCATGCTGCCTCCAAAATTGCAGCTTTCTCATCTGCCAAAGGAAAGAAAAAAAAACTTTTGTATTGAATGCTGTCATGAGAAACACCAGTTGTAAAATTCAGGAACTTTCTAGGATGAACTTCTACAATGTTTTAGAACTCTTTACAAACTGTTGTTTCACTGTCATTTATCTGTCAGGTATGTTCGCATGTTGGGAGCACTTTACATGAGACTGACAGGCACTGCAATTGATTGCTACAAGTACTTGGAGCCTCTGTACAATGACTATAGGAAAATTAAGAGCCAGAATCGAAATGGGGGTGAGTATGGTGCCATGTGATTGAACCTTTATCCTTGAGCTAGTTTTTATTTCACAGATATCTCTGCCCTCACATTGTCACATACATTGTGTGAGTGTTCCTCTTTATCTCTGTAATAGGGAGTACTCCATTAGACTGTTGGCTTTTTCTTGGCCTTAACCAGCCAGCCCTGTCTGCCCACTTTTCCAACTGCATCTTATATTAATCCCAGCCTTATATCATGTGCTTTCTCTACATTTGCTGCATCTCATAAGACCTAGCTCTGGAATGAGCTCCATAGAAGCCTTCCCCAAACTTCCCAAAGTCAGTTTTCTGTATGTTACATCTTCACAGTTCTTTCTACTGGCCTCTCCTCTAGCACTATACTTCATACTGCAGTATACAGACTTAAGAGTACTTACGCATACTTATGTAGTAGTCCCACTGAAAAATAATAAGTATATCCAAGAAGTGCAGCTCCATGCCTGTTACAAAGAGACACTGTTAGTGGTAAAGTGGGATAATGCAGTCAAAACCTTTTCTCACTTAGTGTCATAAAAGATTGGTAACTTTTTTTCTCTTTTCCCCTTTCTACTGCTACATTTATTATTTAGCAATAGAAGGTTAAGAATTTGGAATTACACTTTAAACTTTTGTTGACTTATTAATGCATTCATTGAGTAAATACATATTAAGCGCCAAGTCATGCCAAGTACTGTGCTATGTACTGGAAACGTGAGGAACAAGATGGACATGGTCATGGCCACCATAGAATTACTTACTTATGATTGCATTATGTTAACTAAACTAAGATAGGGTTTCTTAATCTTTGGCAGTTTGGGCCAGATAATTCTTTGTAAGGAGCTGTCCTGTGCATTGTAGGATGTTTTTCTGACCTCTATTCACTAGAAGTCAGTAGTACTCCCCACCCTAGTAGTGATGGAGGCAAAATTACCCCTGGTTGTGAACTACTGAACTAAAGTAATGTTTACAATAGAGATTCTGAAACTGCTCCATTTACCATAAAACATACATTTTCTACAGTTAGAAACATAGTGGTTCACACAAGAAATTACACTTTAGTTATATGATTTATTTAAGAACATTACCCCAATACAATTCACAGCTATTTGTGCTTGCTTTTGTGTTTGTCTCTTCTGCTAATTGGGACAGCTTCATTTATCCCATTCTCCCCAGCTCCTAAATGGGGTCTGGCACATAGATGGTCTCGTTATGGTGAGTTGAATGAATGAAGATAGATGGTGATGACAGGTCTCCAAAGGACTGAAGTTTAAGCCCAAGTTTCACAGTAGTCCCCTCTGTATAATTACCACACTCCAATAGCTTTACTAATGAAAGGGAGGCTGCAGAGAATTGACACTTTTACTTTTTGACCTAAATTTTTTTCCAAGTTGCTTGAGGTTATGATTTTTTAAAGATTTTATTGTTATTTTTTGGGTTGGGGGAAAGGGGACGGGAGGGAGAAAGATGAGAGAAACATTACCGTGAGAGAGAAACATCAATCGGTTGCCTCTTGCACACCCCCAACTGGGGACTGGACCTAAAGCCCAGGCATGTGCCCTGACCAGGAATTGAACTGGTGACTTTTCACTTTGTAGGCCAACGCTCAACCAACTGAGCCACTCCAGTCAGGCCTTGAGCTTGTGACTTTTCTTTCAGAGTTTGAACTGATGCACGTAGATGAGTTCATTGATGAACTACTGCACAGTGAGAGAGTCTGTGATATCATTTTGCCCCGGCTACAGGTAAGATACACTCTTCTACCCCCCCCCTAAAATAGGCAGACACACACATACACGAAGCCACTAAAACCGATGGATTTCAGGAGTCTCCTTAATAAGTAGTCTCTTTAAAAAAATTTATTTGTCTGTTTATTTATTGTATGGGGGGGAGGGAAGAAGAGAAGGAGAGAAACATTGATTTGAGAGAGAAACACCGGTTGGTCGCCTCTTATACCTGCCTTGACTAGGGACCGAACCTGCAACCTGGGCATGTGGCCCTGATGGAAAATAGAACTGGCAGCCTTTTCCTTTGCTGGATTATGCCCAGCCGTGCCACGCCAGTCAGGGTTATAAGTAGTCTTTATGTCTGTGAAAAATATCTCTCACAGAGGGGTAAGGGGAAAGCAGATCATTTGAAAGGTAGGGTTTTAAAAGTGAACAATTAACACAAGAAAACTTTCTTCCATAAAGTATTATATCAAGGAGACTATAGCTAGGGCAGATTTTTTTTAACTTTTTTTTTTTTTTTTAAGATTTTATTTATTTATCTTTAGAGGGGAAGGGAAGGAGAGTGGGAGAGAAACATCAATGTATGGTTGCCTTTCGTATGTGCCCTGGTTGGGAATTGAATCGCGATTGTCTGGTTCGCAGGCCCGGACTCAATCCACTGAGCTACACCAGGCAGGGCCTAAAACTTTTTTTTGATAGTTTAATGTATTTTATTAGCAAACATAGAGGAACAGCACAGAAGACAACATTAAAAATATACTTGCATGTATGACAACTCAGAAAAGTAGAGTGAATGGATAGAATCTACTCTGATAGAAATACTACAAACACCATTTAGTAGCCATCAGTAAGAAATTTACTTGTTTCAAAAAAAATCCAAATGCTGGCATTGTCCAGAAAAAATTTTAACAGGTTTAACTATCGAAACTTGTTCACTGAAATATCTTGACTTGCATCAATGCTTTATGCCTCTACATTTATATTTTAAAAATTCACACAAAAATGAAAATGAGAAAGCTGCCAACGCCTGATTTCTGTTCTGTTTTTAACTTGCATTTATATACTTAGGTGCCTCTCGACCCCATGGAAAAAAGAGATCTAACATTCAGAACTACCAATAACAGGAAGAAGAGAATTTTTCTTTTAAAGAATGAAATGCTTTTCATTATAGTGGATTCTTAAGTACATTCTCCACATATGCGGCATGCTAGCTGGATGTCTTTTGGCATTATTGTTACATGTTTGGCATGGGTAGCACACAGGTTGGGTCTTCAAAAAGGCCAGCTAGATAGGCTTCACTTTTCTCCTGCAAAGCACCAATAGCTGCACTCTGGAAGTGCAGATCTGTTTTGAAATCCTGAGCTATTTCTTGCACCAGACACTGGAAGGGAAGTTTGCAAATCAGCAGTACAGTGAACCTCTGATAACTTCTAATTTCATGAATGCCACACTACCAGGCCTATAATGATGAGGTTTCTTCAGCCCTCCAGTAGAGGGTGCACTCTTTGGAGCAGCCTTGGTAGCCAGTTGCTTCTTTGGTGCTTTACCACCAATTTGCAGGCAGTCTGCTTTATACAAGCCATGGTATAAAGACCTCTTTATTTAATGCCCTTCTCCTTTAGCTAGAGCTTGGTAAACTCAATTTTTTAAAACTTTTTAAGCAACATTTCTCAAACTGAGCTTCATATAAATATTCAGGATATAAAACAGGTAAAAGGAGGGTCAAGAGTGGGACACTAAAACCTTAACCCCTAAAATAGCATTGTAATCATCCTGCTTCCCTTTCCCAAAGATAAAGGATTGTCCATGAAGCACCTTTCAGGAATGGCTTTTACAGAGTATGATTTTAAAACTTGAAAATACAAAGGGAAAACAGATGCAGTAGGTAGCTTGAAGAGAAAGGGAGTGTGGGGATTTCTAAAGAGAGAATGGAGAGATGAGTGAACAGGGAATTAGGAGACCTGAATTTCTGGGTTATTATTACAGCTTTGGGGCCCAGTCTTATTTTTCCCATTTATAATGTGGAACAGTCAGACTACCTCAGTGGTCTCTAAATTGCCCTATGGGACTGTTTTAAGGCTACTGAAAGGAATAAGAGAAGACAACCCTACATATCCCAGCCAGGGTAGTTCCTTGTTCTCTAAGTTACATATGGAGCTTGAGATGGAGATTTTATTTGAGCAAAGGGTTTCCTTTAAATAGCTTTATTAAGGTGTAATTGGCATGAAATAAACTACATAGATTTAAAGTGTTACAATCTGGTAAGTTTTTACCTATGTGTGTATACCCTTTAAAATGTCAGCACAGTCAAGATTAGTGAACATATCCATCACCCCAAAGTTTCCGTCTTCTGAGTAATCCCTCCCCTTACCTCTTAGCAACCACTGATATGTATGCTACCTGTCACAATAGTTTCCATTTTGTAATTAATATAGTACACTCTCATTTTTATCAGTTTTCTCACTTAGCATAATTATTTTGCAATTCATCTGTGTTGCATTTGTCAATAGTTGGGCTTTTGTTTTCTTTGTTTTTTGTTTTTTTTGTTTTTTGTTTGTTTTTTTTAAATTGTTGAATGAGTGCCGTATCTCTCCTGTTCCACACTGGTTGCTCTAGACTATATAGTGAAGAAAGTGAGATGTCAAATTAGAAACCCTGACTTCTGGCCAGGATGGAAACGTTAGGTAGATACACTTTGCCTCCTCACACAACCAAAGGACAACAAAAAATTAAAAAAACCAAAAATGAGAACTGCCAGAAAAATCAAACTGTATGGAAGTATAACAACCAATGGGTTAAAGAAGAAGCATTCATACAGACAGGTAGGAGGTATGGAGATAGGCAGTCAGGGTGGAGAGGACTCGTGGCAAAGGGGCGGCTGGTAGTCCCACATTTGCGTGCAGATAAACCAGGAGGAACAACTGGAGAGTGAGGCAGACTGCACAACACAGACTTCCAGCATGAAAAAGAAAGCCTCAAAATCTCTTGCTGTAAAAACCCGTGTGGATTGTGGCAATGGGAGAATCTCACAGCCTCAGAGGGAGTTTGTTGGAAAGATCCACAGGATCCTAGAATGTACACAAACCCACCCACTTGGGAAGCAGCACCAGAAGGGCCCAATTTGCTTGTGAGCAGCAGGGGAAGTGACTGAAAGCTGGTGGAGAGCCGAGCAAGTGGCATTGTTCCCTCAGACCCCTTCCCCACAGACAGCGCCTCAATGCAGCAACGTGGCTTGCCCTACCCCTTACAACCTAACAGGTACACCAAGACAAAGAAAAATGGTCTAAATGAACAGATAAAAGCTCCAAAAATAGAAGTAAGCAATGAAGAGATAGCCAACCAGTCAGATGCACAGTTCAAAATACTGGTAATCAGGATGCTTACAGAAATAACCGGTTGAGTATGACAACAAAATAGAGGAAAAAGTGAAAGCTATGCAAAGTGAAATAAGGAAATGTATACAGGGAACCAACAGTGAATGGAAGGATACCAGGACTCAAGTCAATGATTTGGAGCAGAAGGAAGAAATAAACATTCAACCAGAATAGAATGAAGAAACAAGAATTAAAAATGAGAGGTTTAGGAACCTTCAGGACAGTTTTAAGCATCCCAGCGTCCGAATCAGGTGCCAGAAGGACAAGAGGATGAACAAGTAGTTGAAAACATAATGAAGGAGACCAGAGAGTCCTAAAGAAGTTGAATCCAAGGAAGGATACACCAAGGCACATCATAATTACATTATCCAAGATTAAAAATAAGGTGAGAATCTTCAAAAGAAAAGGAGACAGTTACCTACAAAGGAGTTCCCATAAGACTATCAGCTGATTTCTCAAAAGAAACCTTACAGGTAAGAAGGGGCTGGAAAAAAGTATTCCAAGTCATAGAAGGCAAGGACCTACATCCATGATGACTCTATCCAAAAAAGCTATCATTTAGAATGGAAGGGCAGATAAAGTGCTTCCTAGGCAAGGTAAAGTTAAAGGAGTTCATCATCACCAAGCCTTTTATTATATGAAATGTTAAAGGGACTTTATTTAAGAAAAAGATCAAAACTATGTACAGTAAAATGACGACAAACTCACACTGAACCTAAATAAAAAACCTAGAACAGGAACAGAATCACAGAAATGTAGATCACATAGATGATAACGGGGGCAAGAATGGAGGAAAAGGTACATGAAATAAGAAATGTAATTAATAGGTACAAAGTAGACGGGGGGAGGTTAAGAATACTATAGAAAATGGAGAAGCCAAAAACCTTACATGTACAACCCATGGATGTGAACTAAGTGGAGGTGGTGAATAATGAAGGGGGGGTGCATTACAGGAATAAAGGGGAGAAATAATGGAACAACAGTAATAGCATAATAAAATATAATTTAAAAAGAAAACTTGCTTTTGGGACCCAGTTCTCACATTACTGTGGGTTACATTAGTTGTTATTACTATTATCTGCTCTTATTTTTGAAAATACTCCAAGAAATGTAATACTTGGAATTGCAGTCAGGTTGTAGCAGCTAAGGGTTCTGAAGCCCTGTCAGCTATAAGCAGCAAGCCTACTGTTAAAATGAAGTTATGTGCATGGAGGCCAGAAGACTACAAAACAGGACTCACTGAGGAGGAATGGAAATGACTGATGTATATTACCAGCAGATGTTATAGTATGGGCCTCTTACATGTCCTGGATGAAGTGGCCCTTAAGAGTACCTCTTTCTCTGATTCTGTGATTATTAAGCCACCCATTGGTTATCAGTTTAGCTTCTGATGTGCCCTGGCATTGGCAAGGAATTGTTGTGGAATGAATTCTAATTTCATCAAACACAAATGCTGTGAGTTAGTATTTAAACTTTAGTCACTTCCAACTCTGAGCATTAGGGATTCTGGGTACCCTCTCTGTTGCAGTCCTAGATTCCCAACTGTGGTGATTCTGTGACTGGAAAGCACTTTTCTGAAGGATTGGCTTCACTGAGTAGCATCTTTGTCACATTTCTCCCAACCTTTATAGAATTTTATTAGGAATTAATGAGAGCTAAATAGAATAGAAATCTTGCTATTCTAGGGCTATCCAACATTCTTTACATGCTTTACACTAGGAAATGATAAGGGATCTTATTACCCAGCTAGTCTATTTGGCAATTTTGAACTTACTCTTGCTTTTCAGGTTCTCAGTTATTCAGTAAGTACTGCTAAGCCGTATCTCAGTGAAAATGGAACCAGATGAATTGTTTATGTGCTGTGTTAAAAATGCACAATTTGGGTTGGGTGGGGCAGGGGAAGCAGTGGTGGGAAGATGGAGGCAAGTGTACTTGAACAACAAAAAATAAAATGCATGACTCTAGATAGCGCTCTGAATCTTGGGTGTAATAGAGAATTGGTGCTACTCTAAAACAGGGCCTAAGGTACTCTTCAGCCCTCAAAGTAGGCTGAGCCTCAGTGGATCTCTTGGTAGATTCTGATCTGAGCCTCTCCTGCAGAACTGTCAGCCATACAGTCTAAGCCATGAACTTACCGACCTTGTATATGAAGTTCACCGGGTTTTTTTGTATTTGAGACTATACTTGCCCTGATACCTATCCCAGTGACCTTAGAGCGTAAGACCACAGGTAGTAGAGCCAACAGAAGATGGAGATGTTCCTTCCAGCTTTGTATCTGTTTATAGGGCAACTTAAAAGACTATGTAACTTTCAGGTATGTTAAACTCCTTAGGACAGTCATAAACTGTCCAGGATATCTTTAAAATGAAATAATTGGGTTGGCCCCCAAAATTATTTTTTCCTGTAACATGGCTCTGGTAGAGCATAGTTGTCTTTAACTTCATTTGGAATAGTTTTGTTAGATTGTGTTGTGACAGCTGTTCTATCAGCATGCTTTTTTTTTTTTTAAAAACTCACCAAAACTGGTGAATTTTTATGTAGCTATTTAATATTGAAGGTGGAAGGAAATCCACATTTTTGGCATATTATGCTTTATTATTCCAAGAAAGATAAAAAACTGAAAAGCAAAAATAGAATTGTTCAGTGTGTGGAGAAGGTCCTGTAATTGATTGAACTTGACAAAAGTGGTCTGCAAAGTTTCGTGCTGGAGAGTTCTCTTTGGACAATGATCCACAGTCAGACCAGTTAAAGTTGATAAAAAATTAAATCAAGACATTGAGAACAATCAGTGTTGTACTATGTAGGAGATAGCTGACATACTCAAAATATCCAAATCAGTAAAGTTGTTGGTAAAATGAAAAATGTGACTCTTATTTTACAGAAAAATCTAAATGGATTTTCAGCCAACCTGATACTTCAGCTGTTGCTCCATAGTTTTTCGGCAATCTCAGAAGCCCAGTGTTGGGTCTTCAGGACACAGAAGAAATAAAAAGGCTCCCTAACACTCTTGTGTTCTCTTTAGAAACGCTATGTGCTAGAGGAAGCTGAGCAGTTGGAACCTCGGGTTAGCGCTCTAGAAGAGGATATGGATGATGTGGAGTCCAGTGAAGAGGAGGAAGAGGAAGACGAGAAGGTCAGGTACCTGGGAGCTTAAGGGTAGAGGAGGGATAGTTACAGGAGATGGGAATGGTGCCTTTTTGTTTTGTTTTTGATTTTTAACTTTAATTTAAAAAATACAGTATTTAGTAACAGTATAGGCTTTAGAGTTAAGTAATCCTTGGTTCATAGCCTAGCTCTGCTATATATAGTAGTATAATCTTGTACAAATCATATCATCTCAGTTTTCTCCTATTAAAGGATACTGATACAGAACTGTTTCTCTTAGGACTGTTAATGAGTATTAAATGAGATACTATAAAGTCCTTAACATAGTTTTGGGACATTGTAATTGCCCAACAATTTTGATAGTAGTTATTCATTAAATACTACTTAATAAAATATTATTAAATGAAGCTATTAAATATTTCAGACAAAAATAATACTGTTTATAATTGAGCTATCCTAAGAACTAAGCCTGGGTTAGAAAAATAAGTGCCTACTCTATGGTCACATTCTTTCATATTAATTACAATACTGAAAAGTTGGAGACAATTGAAGTGTAAAGGAGCAATCAAATAAACTAACATATCAACTCACCAGAGTATTAGGCAGCCATTTAAACTGTTAGGAAAAGTGTACAGTAATGTAGAAATGCTTATAAGTTAAAAAAAGAAGGCTTTAAAACATTTGTGACTAAAATTAAAGCAACAGTATATGTATACAAAAAGACTAGGGTGATACAAGAAATGCCGTCTTATCGATACTGGGACATTATAAATGGAAGTGTCGCTCCGAGCCATCAGTCTCCCTTAAAGTTTAGTGCAAAAGGAAGCACAATCATTCATGAATTGAAAGCTATATAAGCTAAGGTGTTCTTCTATGGTGAGGGAATGGAAAATTTTAATCACATACCAAAGTGAAGAGACTGTGCCAAAATTTACCTGTCAGCCTAGCTTCAACAGTGATCAACTCATAGCCAGTTTATCGGGGTTTTTTTTTTTTAAGTTTATTTACTTTCAGAGACAGGGGGAGAGAGGGAGAGAAACATCAGTGTGAGAGAGATACATCGATGGGTTGCCTCTTACATGCCCCCAACCCAGGCATGTGCCCTGACTGGGAATCTAACCAGCAACCTTTTGGTTCACAGGCCAGCACTCAGCCCATTGAACTATACCAGCTAGGGCTGTTAATGTTTTTAAAATAAGTTGATTCTTCAGTGTCCTCCCAAGATGATGCCTTTTTGTTCCTGGTAACTTGGTGAATTCACGGGTTTTCTTTACTTTGAATCATTATTATTCCTCTTGATGCTCAAATTATCCTTTTTGGCGGGGGGGGGGGGCTCAACTTGTCTCATGAAATACAATCATAGTGTCAGCCTTCTCGCTTTCTGTTATGACAGTATGTCCTTTTTTAGAACTTTTATTGTGCTTTTTCCTTAGCATTTATTCCCCTTATACCCACCTCTCTGTCATGATCGCCAGTTTCCATGTCCCTGAGTACTTTTTTCCTTTTTGCTCAATATTTGGACCCCTTAACACCCCCCTCCAAGAGCTGTCAAGCCTGGTACAAATGTCTCTCTGTTGCTTGTTTGTTCATTAGATTCCACATATTAGTGAAGTCATAATGGCAGTATGTTATAGTCATATCTTAATAGCCTCTGCCTCCAACTTGGAATTATCCCTTTTCCATGAGCCCTTGATTCCATTTACTAACAAGATAGGATATTTAGATACAACTTGGGCACTTTTTAAGTGCTTGTTGTTTCATCAGTGTTACAAGGCCTTTATTAGTTGGCTGAGCTTGGGGAAAACTTTTGTGTGTGTGATTAAAGTACACTAGGAGTTTTACTTATGTCTTTTCTTTCTTTCTTTCTTTTTTTTTTTTTTTTTTTGCATTGGAAAGCCAACTTCTTAAGGAATTAAATGTAATTACTTACCTCTCACTGCTCTGAAGAAGACCCAGAATAGTTGTACCAACACTAAAACAGTAATGAGATTATTGAGAAGTTTGGGGGGTGGGAATTTTTTCTCCTCAGGGTTATCCCTCTGTATTCAAATTACTATTTTTAAATCACTCGAAGGTAGGATTTGAGACAGGATGGCTAGGGTAGTGTAGAAGTGTTTCTGGATGGCTCTCTGTAAGTTTGTGCTCATCCCTGATCCATCCATCTCATTTCCAGTTGGAGAGAGTACCATCACCTGATCACCGCCGGAGAAGCTACCGAGACTTGGACAAGCCCCGTCGCTCCCCCACACTGCGCTACAGGAGAAGTAGGAGCCGGTCTCCCAGAAGGTAAGGCCCTACTCATTTGCCTCTTCAGAGAGACTTTAAGCACTGGAGTGCTGTGGACTTCAGAGAAGGGAACATGCCAAGTCTGTGGAGAATGTTTGCTTGCCCAATATTAGTTATTGGAAAATACCCACAAAACTTCGGTGTCACACAACCACCATTTATTTAAGTTCTCATGTCTGTAGTCAATGATATAAACTGGTCTTGGATAGGCATTTTTTTGGTATGTTATCTTCACTCACCTGTTTTTCAGTCTGTTGGCAAGTATAGAATAGCCTTCCTTGAATAACTGAGGCAGTTCATTTCTTCTCTGTGTATGTCTCATCATGATGCTAGGCTAGGTTAGGTTCGTTCTCATGGCAGTAGTAGGATTCAAGAGCAAACAAGACCAGTCATGCAAGTTTCTTTCCACTATATGGTGGTATCACATTTGTAAATACCCCATTGGCCACAGCAAGTTACTTGGAGTGGGAGGGTGCTAAAAAGTTACATGACAAAGCAGCTGGATAACAGATGGGTTAAGAATCAGGGCAGTTTTTGCAATCTATAACATCTAAGGCACCTACCTACTAAGGCTCTCTTTCTGTTTTCTTTCCATAGGCGGAGTCGGTCTCCCAAAAGGAGGAGGTAAACCTTTAGGGATTTGTAATGAAGGCTAGGGATTTAGGGAGGGAGGCTGTTGTGATTATATTGTCAGATGTGGGAGTCTGACCAGTCATTTCCACAGCCCCTCCCCTCGCCGAGAAAGGCATCGGAGCAAGAGTCCACGACGTCACCGGAGCAGGTCCCGAGACAGACGGCACAGATCCCGCTCCAAGTCCCCAGGTATATAATATTTGGGCCTTTTGCTATTGGTTGTCATAACAAAGAAATGTAATAGGAGCATTAACCTACTGGAGTGCCTGTGTTACTTCTTAGAAGAAAAGAAAATTGGGCTTAGAATTTGAAAATCACAGTTCACATCTTGACACTCACGTACAAGCTTTGCTCACATGATGAGCCTGTTTCTTCATCTGAGATTTTAGGAATAAGACTTAACAGTAGTGGCAAATAACCAATGTAATTTTGTATAATTAGCCATGAACCCCTGGATGCATATGAAGTGGGTTTAGTTCTCTTCTTACCATACAAGCAGTACCAGTTCAGAGATGTGCTACCAAAATAGAGGTAATCCCTAGCATAAGGCCAAAAAAGTGTTAAAGCAATGGAAGGGATTACAGGAGGTGAAAAGGACTCTCCTACTTCTTGTAGGAGAGCAGAATCTCATTCATTCATTGGCCTTTTCTTCCCCAGGTCATCACCGCAGTCACAGACATAGGAGTCACTCAAAATCTCCTGAAAGGTATAGACTGACGTTTATTTTGACTTAAGACTTCCGCTCTTTATTTAGAAATTAATGCCCCAATCACAACTAAATTTCACCTGAAATTTTGTTTTGATGAGAATAGTTAGGAATTTTCGTTAGAATAAAATTGGCTTGTTTTCCAGAAAAATCCTAGAATCATCTAAGTTTCTATTGTTTTGTTTCTCCTTGTAGGACTGTAGCTTTGGATAGTGATAAGGGTGTATGAGCTTTGGTCTCAGGAGACCTTCTCCTTGTAGGACTGTAGCTTTGGATAGTGATAAGGGTATATGAGCTTTGGTCTCAGGAGACCTGGGCTTACACCCCAACCTTTAACACTTAAGAGAGTGACATTGGCTAAGTTACTCACATTTGATAAGCTTTCATTAGAAACGTTTATATGCTGTACACTGTTAGGTACACTCGATCTCTCAGAGGTCATTTCCTCAATGGTATATTTTGGATAGTACATTATGTTGCTGTGAGACATAACACTAGGCACACTGGGTAACGTCTCTGTCCCCATCAGTGTCACCATACCCTGGTTTTCCCCCAAAGTCCTTGCCTAGATCCTTGATGTTAAACTTAATAGTGTGTGTGTTACCATTTCAGATCTAAGAAAAGCCACAAGAAGAGCCGGAGAGGGAATGAGTAATGGACTCCGTTTGGGTTTGGTCCAAATGGCCTACTGGAGATATGAAAACGTCTCTGTATGTAGAATGATTAAGATCTATTCCCAAGGCAGCTATGAGAATATTTTAGTTTTTGATTTTTTTTTTTTTACCTAAAAGTGTCTCCACAAGAGGTGCTGAATTTTGTATCTCTTTTTTAATACTATTCCATGTTTGAGGGATTATGCTCCCCAAGAGCTGCTTTTGACCTCTTTGACAACCAACACTGAGGATTTGAGGATGTGACCACCTAGTGATCCTTTTGTTACTAAATTTCAAGCACCCATTTTCCATCATTCTGTAGTTTAGTTTTTGGTTTGCTTCATGATTGGAACTGTTCTGAGAATCCTAAGATTTGTGTAGCTATTGCATTGAAAGGCAAGTTAGGGTAGGTATAAGGGGACTAAGTGGTAATGAAACAAATAATAAAATAAAATTTCAAAAAGTTAAAAAAAAAAAAAAGAAAGGCAAGTTAGTAGAACGTGTAAGTGCCAATTTTTTCCCCAGCAGTAGCAAGTGACAGTAAACATGAGAACTGACTGACTTGCAGCAGCTTTATAAGGAAAGAATGCAAATGTGAGTCTTACGGATTGTTTAACTCAGATGCATTGAACATTTCAAAGTAATTTAACACCTTTTAAGAGTATTCTTTCAATGTTTCTTCCACACAAACCTTGAATTCCAGGTTAAGATGCTTAGCCTTTATTTTACACGCACTGACATTATTCTAGTCTAGGCAGTGGCAGGTCAACAAAATTGAAAAGATTTGACAGAGACAAAAGTAATACCACTCAGAGTTCTGATCTGAATTGTTGGAAAACAGTGCTATTCACAGAGCCAGAAAATACAGTTGGAATATACCGGGTTTTAGAAGGGGCAGTTAGAATTGTGGTAGTGAGAATACATTGCATTCAGGTCAACTTAGAAGTTAATTTGAGACAGCTGTGTTATATCTAAACAAACCTCAGACAGTTGGAAATAGGGAATGGAATTGAGCATAGTGATCTAGCCATGAATTGACAATGTTTAGGTAATTGTGGATGTGTAGAATTGAACAGATTGCCCAGGGATTGTGTGTTTATGTAGGAAAAGCCAATAACAGTCATAGGCAAGAGCAACACTGGTAAGAGGAAGAAACGCAGTCACGATTGAAAACTGAAATGAACCATTCAGAAAGAATGAGAAGTTAGTTGTAAGGATGCAGAAGCAAAGTAAGGACTAAAGAATGTCCATGTGCCTATGAGCACTGATAATCAAAAGGGTGTCAGGATCCTTGCTAGAAAAAGTTACGTTTACCTGTACGTTACCTTTCCTACTTTAAAAATGGAAAAGTGATTGGATGGCTTTCTATATAGCTCTAGTCCCAGCAAAAATTGTGAATACCAACAGCCTCACACAGGATGGATCCAGTTTCTTGGGAAGCTGTATATGGCCACAGGATTTACATTCTATTGCTTGCTTGACCTGAGGGACTTTTGCAGCAATACTGACCTATTTAGGTATCATGCTGTGATTTCAGATTTTCCAGTGATTCTACTCCTGATAATACTTTGGCTAATAAAAGTTGTCCACCAGAGCTACTGCGGTTTATCGTACCACTATATGTGACTGTCTTTAAAAATTAAGTATAAGCACCTCTATTTGCATCTGTTACAGAGTCCCAGCAGCTATTTCTTACCAATGATTTAAGTAGAAAGGAATGTCTTGGCTACATAACCTGTGAAGCAACCAAGTCATCCAGTGTATTATTAAAATATTTAAAGTTCACTTTAAAATGAAAATTTTTCATTGTCTTTAAAAAAACCACAATTTTTAGAAACAAAATAAACCTCCCCAAACATAAAATTAAAGCATACTTATTAGGCATATGGTGAAATCTGGACCAAATTGGGGCAGCAAGCCAATCTGTAGTAGGAAGCAGACCGTCCCTATCCTCTTGTTGGTGCAAAGACAACAGTTGGTGGATGTGATGAACATCAATCTGTAGATAGTTTTGATAAATTTGCAGATCAAATATGATAGATTTGCAGAAGAGATGGAGCTTGCTGAAGGCCCATTTCTGTCATCTATCTACTAGTTAGACTAGTAAATGAGGCCTTGAAACTGTAACTTTATGGCTTTACCTCTGGCCTATAAAACATTTTTTGCATCTTATCAGGAAAAAATTCTTATACCATAGACAAAATACATTCTGGTGTTTTCTATATAGTAACAGTTTTTAATGTTGGGTGCAGACAACTAAATTGAATTTACTTCACACAATTTGAATTATACTGCCTTAAAAGCTTTGCCATTGGGCACAGTGACTTGTCAATACTAAAAAATGAAGGGAAAAGATTGTTCTGAGAGGCTTATGACATAACAATCTAAGTCAAGTCTCATTCCTCCTAGCCCTTTTATATTATTTTCAGCAGACCTAAATTTAAATAAGCATTAATCAGAAAACGAAGATCACAAGTGCTGGCCACCCTTCAAAAACTTAAGGTAACAATTTCTCCACACACTCAGAAACCATATAACAAAATGATCTGTTTCAGAAAATGCAAATATAAAAACTAAGAGATTAAAAGAGATGGAAAATTAGCTTGGCAGAGTATAAAATGAAGATGTGAAAAACTGGAAAAATGAAACCTTAGAAAACAAAATGTAAATAAGGCATTGAGAAAATAGGCTGGAGAAAATTAAAAATGTAGAATAATAAAAGCTGAAGATAAAACAAAACCCTGCATGTGCATAACTGGCATTCCTGATGAGAACTGTTAGCAGATCAAACTTAAAAATTCAAATAGAAAAACATCCTGAAATAATTAAAAACAGCCTATCAAGAAATACCCTGATAAGTTTGAGAATATCAAATCATGCATAGTGAGGAAAAAATCAAAGTCTCAGATCTTACATCATACTTCATGTGGCAATGACAGTGCCAGGAATTTTATACCCAACCCAAGTTGTCTTTAAAATACAAAGGGAGTGGTCATTCTTAAGGATGCAAGAAATGAATCAAAGTAAGGACCCAGGAAAAAAGCAGTAAAAGGAGTGGTAGTGAACATCTTAGAAACTTTCAATAAATATTGAGAAATTATTTTAAGATCAAGTTATGTATTTGAACATTTGTTTATATAGGAATAATACTGCCAGGAAGGAGAGACACTGTACTAGTTTCATTTCTCATAATAGGAGTCATATATACTGTCTAATTAAAGTAACTATCCTCAATTTTCAGAGGAAACTTAGAACTACATTCTCATAGAAAATTTTAAAGTGGAGCATTTTGCCACCTTTATACTCTTGTTAAATCCAAGTAAAATTAATTTGCTATATTTACTCAGTACAGCATAGGAGCCCGGTTTTTTTTTTGTAAAACTATACATGTGTCTATGTTTAAGAGAGATGGCTGGAATGAATAAAATCCTCCAGATAATAGTATTTATTTCTGGCTGATGGGCTATTGCTTGTTTTAGCTCACCTTATTTTTTATTTTATTTTTAGATTCTATCTATTTGTTTTTAGACAGAGGGGAAGGAAGGGAGAAAGGGAGAGAAGCATCAATGTATGGTTGCCTATCATGCGCCCCCCCACTGGCAACCTACCCTGCAACCCAGGCATGTGCCCCAACTGAGAATTGAACTAGCAACCCCTTGGTTCACAGGCCAGCACTCAATCCATTGAGTCACACCAGCCAGGGCATATTTTTAATTTTTATTATTTGCTGGAAATGCAAATTGGTAGCCACTTTTCTGGATGGTGATTTGGCATTACGTCACAGGAATCTTGGGGTTTTTATCCTTTTTTACCTAATAATCCCATGTGTAAGAATTCAGAATATAAAAGCAAACACAAAAAATAGCTTTACTCCAGAAATAAAACTAGACCACTTACACCATATACAAAAATAAAAAATGAATTAAAGACTAAAACTGAAATATAATACCTGAGACCATAATACTCCTAGAAGAAAACATAGGCAATAAACTTATGGATGTGGTCCTAGCCACATTTTTAAAGATATATCTCATAAGGCAAAGATAAGCAAAAATGAACAGGCAGTACTACATCAAAGTTTTCACACTGCAAAGAAACCACCTACAACAAAAAGGCAATCTACTAAGTGGGAAAAATTATTTGCAAATGATGTATCCAAATAAGGGGTTAATATTTAAAATACATCAAGAACTCATACAGTTTAGCATCGAAGATGAGTTGAAAATGGAGGACATGAACAGGTGTTCCTCCAGAGAAAACATACAGGTGGTCAACAGACACATGATGTTCAACCTAACTGATCATCGGGGGGGAAAAGCAAATCAAAACCATAGTGAGATATCATCTCCATCTGTCAGAACGGGTATTATCAAATCGACAAATCTGTTGGCAAGGATATGGAGAAAAGGGAACCTCATTGGTATACCCACTATGAAACACATTACAAAGGTTCTTCAAAAATTAAAAATAGCTAATGTGACCCAGCAGTTTCTCTTCACTTTTGGATATGTATCTGAAGAAGTCCAAAAAACTAATTTAAAAAGGGTATGTGTACTCCTATGTTCATTGCAGCATTATTTACAAGAGGCAGTTAAATGGAAGCACCCTAGGCATCCATTGACAGATGAATGGATAAAGAAGATGTAGTGCATAGGTACAGTGGTACAATAGTACTTTTTACTTAGCCATAATAAAGAATGAAATCTTGCCACTTGGGACAACATAAATGGGCCTCAAAGATATGCAAAGTGAAATCAGGAGAGACAAATAGTGTGTAATACATTAAATCTAAGAACAAGCTCAGATGCAGAGAACAAACTGGCAGTTTCCAGCTGAGGGGACATTAGAGTGGGATGAGTGAAAAAAGTGAAAGGGATTAAGTAGTACAAATTGCCAACTATAAAAATAGTCATGGAGATGTATAGGGAACTATTCTTGTCAGATGGGTACTAGACTTATATTGGTGGTCACTTCATAAGATATAAATGTCTAATCACTATGCTTTACCCCTGAAACTAATATGTATGTTAACTATAATTGAAAAATAATCCTAATAAGTAGCTTTAACCTGTCAACATTTTACATATATTTTTATCTATTAAAAAAAAGAAATAGTAAAAATGTTCACTTCGGGGTATTAAACTGTTAAATAACAAGTGAAAATATTGTCTTCATGTCATTAAACATTATACAGAACACTGCATATGACTAAATTTTTGCCCTTTTCAACTGCTCTACAATTAATTTCAATAAAAAACTTTTAAAGTTTATAATTTCTATAAAAGGTTTGCAAACTTGCCCTAACTGGTGTGGCTCAGTGAGTTGAACGTAATCTTGCAAACGAAAAGGCCACTGGTTCGATACCCAGTCGGCATATGTCTAGGTTTTGGCCGTGTACTAACACATAAATTACAAACTTAAGAGCCTTCTATTTTTCAATTAGGAACAGTTTTGCCAATTATTCAACACTGGTAATCCTGAAGGAGGGACAAATGAGATGCTGAAAATTACTATACAGTATAAACACTGTCTTGTATAAGTAAAACCTACGTTCAGTGAAGTTTATTGCCTGTTAAATTTATCTTGTCAAGTCACATGGTGCTTGCTTTTAGGAAGGAAGGCTGAGTTAGGGGTGGTCTCTAGTTGCAGACTTTTCTTTTTAATGAAAATTTCAAATATATTCAAAAGTAAAATTAGCTGAATACCCCGTACACCTCATAACTCTAAAGCCTGAAATGGAGATGAAATACTTGAATACAAACTTTTAAAAGAAAATCTTCAATGCTCCAAGTTACATTTTAACACAAAAGCATACATTGGACCAGGTATCTCATTAACAAATAAGTTAACTCCACCACTTAGGATTCTTAGGGATGCTGAAGCTTTAATATGAAAAAGTAACAGTAAATACACCTGATCTTAATTTAACATTTAATAAATACCTTTTCAGGGCTGTAAATATAGCAGGAAACCCCTCAACCTCCTGCAATAGATTTCAAGCATCTTCCATGTTGGAAAATATGGCAAAAGCCCAGGAAGTCTCCTATTTTAAGTAATGCATATCTGAGGAAGCAGAACAAAGATAGTACACTCACTGTCCATAAAATACATTTCTTTTTACTTATTCTGCACATTTCCAAAGAAATCTTTAGCATCATTTGGCCTAAAATCCCTGGCAAATCTCCTTTAGGGATTTTTTTTTTAAATGATTTTATCTTAATGTACTAATACCCAAAACAGCTAAAAAAAATCTACCACCAATCACACAAAAGTTTGATTTCCAACTATAATTACAAATATGACTGGTAAACACCATCATGGCAAGTGTACCTTTTAGGTAGCAGTTTAGGACTCTCAATGGTCTGACCAGTGTTTCTCAGTCCATAAGAATTACCTTCTTTTAACTTTAATTGCTACTATCAGTTTCAGTGTTTAAAAACTCTCCTTTAAAAGATGTTTCCATTTTATTTCCAACATGTTTAATTGTGCTACCTTTGAAAATTTTCACTTTATAGTTTTGCACCTTAGTTTTACTCAATGATAAAATGGAGACAGCATTTGCTTCTATCAACAGCACATGGGCCCTGGCTTGGTACCTCAGTTGGTCAGTGTCATCCCAATACACCGAGGCTGCAGATTGAATCCCCAGGCAGGACACATACAAGAATCAACCAATGAATACCTAAGTAAGTGGGGCAACAAATCAATCTCTCTTTTTAAAAAAAAGACTTAAAAATTTTTGCATATGGGTGTTGAATCCAATAAAATAAGGGACACCAAAAAAAATCCGATTTCTAAAATATCTGTGAAAATATACTTAATGGGAGTAAAACAAGTCTGAACTGTTACATTATATTTCCATCATCTAAACAACCAGATGAATTAACCAAATCTGACTCTTGTAAAAAAGATTTATTAACTTAAAATAGAATTACTTCAAATACAGATAAAAGCGACCTTCTGTTCAAGTTTGAATATTTTCAATATACAAGAATGTAAAAAAAAAATCTGAATATTCAGGTTGTAGTTTTATTTTATTTTTTTTACCTTTTAAAAAGTTTTTGGCACTACAAGGTTCTGTAAAGAATAGAAGTGACAAATTTAAAACACATGAAAGTCTTTCCTAATTCTTAAGAACAATATATAAAGTCTGAAGCAACCAAAGTATGAATACAGCTAATAGAAAATAAAGAATGTAATTTTTAAAATTCTCTCTTTATACAATTCATCAAGGTTAAACAAAACATAAAATTCCCTTAAAAATAGGGTAATAAAATAGATGAAATTTGTATCACTCAATTTGGTGATACTAGTAAAAACTATAGTTCATATTTATATACAAATAATACAGTTCTTAAAAACAGTCTTAGAATTTAAATAATCTATCTAAACATGTTAAAAGTTTAAATCAGGACCTGATTTGTTTTGCTTTCCATTAAATGTCACTTTTTCTGCTGAATGGAACTGACATTGAGGTACGGATACCCTTGAGACAGCAGGATTGGCTGGTTGCTGTGCATCGGTAGACCAGCTGAAAGAAAACGGACTTGCATTACTCCGACACGTTTCCTCTTGGTGGGTGGGGACAACGCTCTCTACACCGACGGGCAGCACATCTGTCTGTTGGACACAACACAGACAGGAAACTGAAAGGCTTATTGCCTGTTTACCTGATAATCCCTTAGAATTAACTTGTAGCTATTCTTTTTTTTTATATATAGTAAATATGTGATGACACGTGTCAAAACATTTGGCTGGGGTGAGGAGGGAAGGGAAATGTGGGTATTCTCGAAAGCAAAGAGAAAAAAGAGATGGAGGGGAGGAATCAAGGCAAACAAACCCACCAGGGAAAAACTTTAGACTCTCCCCACTAAAATAGCTTGTATGACCAACAGTACCTTCCCTCAGCCCGAGTTCTTTGCTAGAAGATGAAAACAGTCATGGTCAAGGTTCTGCTAATCTATAATAGAGGGGATGCTTCATCGGTGTATGAGTAGTTGAAGAAGACTGAATGTATCAAGACCAACAGTCATACTATACTAGTGGCTTCCCCTTAAAATTATTTCATTCAGTCAGTATTTCTTGAGTATATTCCTTTAATTTCTTGAACTCCTAAGTTTGTGTTTTTTAAAAGATTTTATTTATTTTTAGAGAGAGGGGAAGGGGAGAAAGAAGGAGAGAAACATCAATGTGTGGTTGCCTCTCACATGCCCCCCTCTGGGGACCTGTACCGCAACCCAAGCATGTGCCCTGACTGGGAATCACACCCAAAACCCATTGGTTCACACTCAATCCACTGAGCCACACCAGCCAGGGCTTGAACTCCTAAATTTAACTATAATAACTATGATTCTAGTTTTCCTAACTATTTAGGTTAACCAAGAGCTGAAGGCCAGACTCAGACATCCCCTGTTGGAACTGAGGTACCTTTGAGGCAAGCAGGCTAGATGAAATGCTCCAAGTTCCTTGGCATTCTCTTTAGTTTGTAATAACCATTACTTAGATAAAAGTCATTATTGGTACCGATAATGTACATCATTACCAACAGAATATAGTGAATTTTAATGTCATTCAAGTATCAGTTTTACTAAACAAATACGACCACATCACTACTTGACTCAAAAATGTCTATTAGGGTTTGACTTCATATTAAACTGAGTCCACTCTTTTATGATATGGCTTCAGCCTACCTTCTCTAGTCTCATCACCTATACATCTTTCCCATTTACCTCATACCCTAGTCCTATTATTTTCTCTCCTCTTTTTCCCTCATGCCAGGAAGAACTAAGAAGACTCATTATTCCTTCACCCCTTCCCCTCTAACCTCTAGAAAATCTCTAGGAAAAAAATCCTGAATCTCTCACGATCTAGTTCAGCCCTTATATCTGTGGCTCAACAAAGCAAAAGGTCACCAGTTTAATTTCTGGTCCGTGCACATGCCAGGGTTGTGGGTTTGGTCCCTGGTTGAGGTGTTTGAGGCAACCAATCGATTTTCCTCTCTCACACTGGTGCTTCTTTCCCTTTCTCCCTCCCTTCCCCTCTCTCTAAAAATAAATGCAAATTTAAAAAAATGTTTCCATTAAAAAAAAGTTTAAATGTAAAAATCGTGGGTGATTTGATCCCTAGTGTCCATATTCTGCTCTCTCTGCCAGAGCAATATTAACTGATTCCTTTTAGCCCCTATTCTCATTTATTTTACATTTCTGGGTCTCCTAATAAAATATGCATTAAGTGTGGGGATTTTATTTGACTCTTGCTTGAACAACAAAAACCTAGCATAGTCTAACAAGGCATGCTCTCAATAAATGTTTACTGAGTACCTAAATTTTCCCTCTTGTATCCTGGCCCTCACAAAGCCTTCTTTGTCCCAAAACAAAACCCACCCAGCCTGTAATGAAATTTGTAAGCAATGGTACCTTGAGTGTAGAAAGGTTTGTTGGGCTGAAATCTGGCATTTCCCTGATGCATGAAGTTTTGATGCAAACCATAAGGCCACGAAGCTGGGACAAGTGGGAAATGGGGACGTGGTGCATGTTCCCAAGGAATTGGAGGATTTAGTCCTGGAAAGCCTGGCTCTGCATTTCAATAAGAAAGAAAAGACATATTTTAAAACATCAGCTTTTCCTTATATATAAACTCATACATTCCTTCATTCCACAAAGACTTACTGAGTACCTGTAACTGGCCAAGAACTATGCTACATGCAAAAGATATAAAAACAAAAAATTTTTAAGACTCAAACACTGTAATTGTGCCCAAATTATTCAAACAGGAGACATAAAAAAAGACATATGATAATATGTGGTAACCGTTGTAACAGATCGGTAGGTGTTCCTAAGAGGGGACTAAACAAGTTGTTCAAGGTTAAAGGTTTCCCTAAGATGACCGACTAAACTGGGTTTTAAAGTACAAGGAATGAGTTTGGGAAAATGGGGCAAGGAGGGCATTTCTGGACAAAAGGAACAGCAGTATAAAGCAAGAAAGCAGGAAAGTGCAGCAATTTTGGGAATCTTCAAAACAACTGACAAAATAGAAATAGGGGTAAAGGAAGGAAGTGATAACAGAAAAAGCTGAACAGGTAGGTAGGATCTGTATTTCAAAAAACCTTAGTGCATCATTCAGGAGCTTGTATGTTATCCTAAAAACAATGCATGCCGACTATCCTAGAATTATATCTTGGCCGCAAAAGAAACTCAATTTATTGGAAGCTGAGACACTTTGTATAATGGTTGAGATCTAGGGCTTTGAAGCCAAACAAGTTTAAGTTCAAATCCCAGTTCCAAAAATTACTCAGGTTAAATATGAACCTCAGGTTCTCATGAGGATTAAAATTAGATAAAAATATAAAAGTGTCTTGTACAAGTTGTGGCATATAAGTAGGAACTCGAGAAATATGACTCCTGTCCTTTCTCAGACCCCCACTAACCTACTTCTCTTTAAAATGATCTTTGCCCTAGCTGGTGTAGCTCAGTGGATTGAGCACGGGCCTGCGAACCAGACAATCGCGGTTCGATTCCCAGTCAGGGCACATGCCTGGGTTGCAGACCAGTTCCCTGCAGGCCAGTTCCCAGCAGGGGACGCACAAAAGGCAACCATACATTGATGTTTCTCTCCCTCTCTCCTTTCCTTCCCCTCTAAAGATAAATAAATAAAATATTAAAAAAAAAAAAGATGATCTTTAAGTGCTGTACCCCTGTTGGTGTTTTTTTTTTCACTCAGGGTCACAACGAGACAGGAAATAACCTGAAAGACACTACCCTTATTCATTAAACTTCCTACCAGGAACTGAAATTAGGAAATAAGGGATAGGGAGGAGTAGAGAGCAAGAAAATGAAAATCCCTATTAGCTGCATTCCTTTTAAGCTCAGTCCTTTCAGGAGGCAACAAGAAAAATAAAGCCACTAGTTTACCACAAATTCATAAAACCAAGTTTCAGCTAAAAGCTGAAGCTGCAGGGCTCAGTTAACAATAAATGAGATTAGGTATATATATCAAGGTCTTGACCAATTGAGAAATAATGTTTTAACATTAAGGGGTATTTTTAAGAATATATTCCAATCTCCCCTGGCCATTTTTCACAATGAAACAGCTTCATAATACAAATGATACAACCTCATTAAAGATAATTTCTGATGAAATCAGAGGTGTTCAGGGTGGTATGGCCATAGACAAAATAAATTCAAAAATGAGGGGAAAACTCACATAATCTCCCACTCTAAAGCAACCCCTATAACCATATTTTCATCTAGTCCTTCTGTTTTTAATGAAATAGCAATTTCAGCTGAAGATTAACTAAGAATTACACATCCAGTGGGGGTAAGGGGGAGTGCTGGGGAAAATGAGACAAGTATACTTGAACAAGAAATAAAAAGTGTTATACATCCATGCAACAAATAAATATTTACTAATAGTTTACTATATAAAAATAATAATATATGAATAATATATCTACCATACATCAAGTGTATGTACATACATCCATCTATACTGGATGCTAGGCAGTGACAGGTAAGAAATAAGTCAGTCTCTAGAAGTTCAGTCTAATGGGTTCTGCAGACAAGAGGCAATTTCATCACAGTGAGACAAGGATTATGATATGGGTATTAAGAAAACATGGAGAGAAAAGATACCTAATACAACTGGAGAGCAGGATCAGCAAGAGCTAAAGGCTTCCTGAAGAAAGTAATTTAAATTTAAAAAATGGAGAATGAGTGAGTTAGCCAAGCTTTGAAGCAAAGCAGAAGGAGGTGAGAGTAAGCAGAAGTAATGGAAAAAATATTCCAGGTACAGGGAACAAGTGAAGCAATCAGGGGTAAGAGACAGTATGATATGTTTGTCAGATACTCAGTTCATTAAGGCTGAAACAGAGATCAGTTAGTGGTGGGGAGGAGGAGGACATAAAACTGTAAAAACTGATCCTTGGCTGGTGTGGCTCAGTGGACTGAATGCCAGCTGTGAACAAAAAAAGGTCACCTGTTTTATTCCCAGTCAGGGCACATGCCTGGGTTGCAGGCCAGATCCCTGGTTGGGGGTGTGCGAGAGGCAACCAACTGATGTTTCTCTGACATATCAATGTTTCCCTCCCCTCTCTTCCACCTTCCCTTCCCCTCTCTCTGAAAATAATAACATTAAAAAAAACCTGTAAAAACTTGTGCCAACATATCAAAGGTCAGGACACTGAGTCTGTCTTTAGGGCTATAGGTCAATGACTATCCTGGTGCATGTCATGGCTTATATGCAATAAACATTTTTTGAGTGACAGAAGCAGAGGCCACATCAGAATGACCTTGTATGCCATTACCTTTTCATCTTAGAAATCTTAATGAGTTCCCACATTCTGGCACTTCTCAGCAAAATATATTATCTATATTGCTCCAAGAAAGGTCACAGATACCGCCTACACCAGTCCTCTAAAGAACAGCATTCTTTGTTTAAAATTATCACTAAAATTCTTATGAAAACTGATGAAAGGAACCAAGCTTTGAATGTACATTTCCCATACAACTGAATGTACATTTCCCATACAAACTACATTTCAGTATAACAAAGAATTTATAAAGAAAACTTCTTTATATAAGAATAAACAGTAAACAGAAAAATCATCGTTTTACAACCCTTAGTAAAATAATGGATATCAGCAATAATTATCAATGGTGGCTAAGACTTATATAAAAATTAATGAAGAACTTGATAATGGATAGAAACATCAGGCTGATATCACCTAACTCATAATCAATGTTAAGTCACTAAAAGAAGAACGAGTCAGTTCCTTCTAAAGTGCAGTAATAGGAAACATGCAAGATCAACCAAGAAGTAAGGTTCTCCCCAACAATACAAAAAACCAGATTCTAATCCAGCCTCTGAACAGAACCACCACTTTACAGGACATGTAGGAACAACAGTACATATGACACAATGCCACAAACATAGAGTCAACACCAGAATGTGGAAATGCTGTTTCTTCAATAAACAGTTAATGTGGGAAAGAAAATAGTGAAAGGAAACTGTTGTAAATTAAAAGAGATTTAAGAGATATGACAACCACATATAATGAATGAGCTTTGCTTGAATCCTCATTCAATAGTAACAATACTTTTATAAAAAGAAAAAAGGAACAAGGGTTGTGTATTAGATGATCCTGGTTATGGTAATAAGTCTTGATTTTTCTTAAAGAAAACAAAGTTTATAAGTACATTTCATACAGTGTCTCATAAGGGGTCAGATAAAATTACAGAAAATGCTGATAACTATTAAAGCTGGCTAACGGGAAGGGAGGAAGGTTCCTTATACTTCACTCTTTTTGTGTACATTTCAAATTTTCCATGATAAAGAGTTTTAAAATAAAATAATTATTACTAAAAAGCTGGACATAAAATTAGATATATGTTATATATTAACTATTTTCAAACATGCAAATATTAGAAAATAAATGGAGGGCAACACACCAAATATTACTTAATAATTATGTATAGGAATTAAGATTGTGAATGATTTTCTTTTTCAAATGTTCTATAATGAAAATCTATTACTTCTAATAAAAAATTATTATTTTTTAATGCTACTAAGTCTACCAGTATTTTTGTTTGTAAAGAACTGATCCTTACTGGCCAATAGTAAAGAGTCCAGGACAAAGAACACAGGTTTAAAAGAAAGAAGAACTGAATTAAACGTTGCATCTACTATGATTAATTATGACAGCATGATAATTAAGTTACTTAACCCTTCAATTTCCTCAACTGTAAAATGAGTGTTAACAATACCCATACAAAGTAGTACTGCAGTCAAAATTTAAAGTAATATTATGTATATTACCTCATTTAATATTTACAATATCCTTGAGAGTTAGAACTATTAACATCCCCATTTGACAGATGAAACCAATGCACAGAGATTAAGCAGCAGCCCAATGCCACATAATGAATGGCAGAGCCAGGATTCAAATCCAAGCAGTCTGAATCCATAGCTCACCCTCTTTTTCTAATCCTATACTGGCCTTCCCCCGCCCAAATATCACTTGCATTCTTTTGTTCACATTTATTTCCCCAGGTTCAACCAATAATATGAATCACCCAACCTTTCTACAGACAGACACAAAAGAAAAGAAAGGGTTACCCGAATTCCCCACTGCACCATTGTTCACCAGGGAATTTGGAGCCACAGTACGAGGCCAGTGTCCATCATGAGAGGAGCTAGGGATCGCCACAGGTCTGGCAGCAGGTTGTGCAAAGATGATGCTGGGATCATTCAGGCCAATATTGCTGGGGGCACTGCCTGGTGCAGAGTGGATCACTGGGCCATGGATAGGCCAGGATGGGGCAGGGATCTGGAGGGGATGCATTGGCAACAATCCCATACTGTGCATGGGAGAATACTGAGTTGGTGGTGACTGGGGAAAGTTATATATCGGCATCTGGACTTGATGGGGGGGCTGGGCTCCTTGCTGAGGTGGGCCAAGCTTGGATTGGGATCCTGGTTGGGATGCAGGCTGGGTAATGGCAGCGGACTGGGAAGAGTTCTGTGGAAATGGTGGGGGTTGGGGAGAATAAGATGGTGAATCAGACTGCAGAAGAAAAAAGATAGATTTTTAAATTAATTTATAAACATCTTAATTTTACAAAAGCAGTGATCAAAATAAAAAATTATGGAGTTACTGCATTAAAACATTATAAACAAAGCTAAGGATATACATAACAAATAGTAGAACCCCATTTTACATGAAGACAGAATTTTCACAAGGTCCTAAAACCCATCCTCACGTATTACCTCATAAATCTTTTTACTGCCCAAAGAAAAGACGGCCCAGACATCATTCCCATCATGTAGAATCCATACTTCCAACTGTAAGTAGACACTTACACCTAACTATCTCACTCACTTTCATTCAGTCCCTCAACAAGTATTTACTAAGTGTCAATTATGTACATACCATTGTTCTAGGAATTAAAAATATAATACTAACATGCATATTCTCATGGAACTTACAGTTTATGGGGGAAAAGAGGTGGAGCAGATAAAAATTACACAAGCAATCACAATAAAGCACAATGATTACTATGATAAAGAATGCAATAATGTATAGTGTATAATGAAATGACAGAGTGTGAACACCTAAACTGACTTTGGGAGAAGGGGGAGGGGCGGGGAGATAAGATGAAAGAAAGAGGAAACCAGGGAGAGTTTCCTGGAGAAAATGATGCTTAAGCTGAGACTCAAGGGCAAAAAGAAACTGGTCTGATTTAAGGCCCTGGCTGGTGTAGCTCAATGGATTGAGCACAGGCCTGCGAACCAGAGGATCGTGATTCAATTCCCAGTCAGGGCACATGTCTGGGTTGCAGGCCAGTTCCCTGCAGGCCAGTTCCCTGCAGGCCAGTTCCCTGCAGACCAGTTCCCAGCAGGGGATGCATGAAAGGCAACCATACATTGATGTTTCTCTCTCTCTCTCCTTCTCCACTAAAGATAGATAAATAAATTAATTAATTTTAAAAAAAGAAAGAAACTGGTCTGATTTTAAAAAGGATAGAGAGATGAGAAGAAAAGAGTATTTCAGGCAGAAGGAACATGACTGAAAAATAAAAACTCATGGCTTTTAAAGTAACTGGAATCTGAAAGAAGTCTGTTATTGTAAGGAAAGAGGAATGGAGATCTGAGGCTGAAGAATTAAATAGGGCCAAGATAATGGACAGTTCCTATAGGACCTATAGTTTAGACTCTTGGGGGCATTGGGAAACAAACCCTGAAGGGTTTAAACTCTTCAGAAACATCACCAATTTCCATTTTAGAAAAAATATTCTGGCTTAATAGGAATGAAATAGAGAATATTTTAAAAGATAAATAAATACAAGACTGTTGAGACTGTTTAAAAGGCTGCTATATGTAATACGGGCATCCTGAGATGATGGCAGCCTATGCTAGGGAAATACAACATAGAGACAGAGAAGAAAATGGCTATGATCTAGTTATTTTTATATGCACAAACAATGGGACTTGGTGACTGACTGGATGCGGGGGTTGAGTATGAGGGAGAAGTTCAGAAAACTAGATAGTGGGAACATTCCATGAGATGGAGAACATAAGAGAAAAGGGCAAATCTAGGGAGTTGGAGAGAATATAAGCTACATTCTAGACAGGCTGAATTTAAAGTGCTTTGTGAAACATCAGAATAGTAACGTCCATGAAACAGACTCTTCCCAAACATCAAATGAAATAGACTGTTAGAAGCAGAGAATGTTAGAGGCAGCACAGGGAAAGTGGTTTAGAGCACAGGTTTTAGAGACGGCTTGAGGGTTCAAGTTTTACTTCCAAGTATCTGCTGACCTCAGCAAAGAAACTCCAATCTGTTTCTTTACTTGTAAAACATAAATAATAACAGAACCTACCTCATAGGTTTTTGTGAAGATTAAACAATACATATGGAGAATATAAACACCAAATTCAGGATAGTAGATACATTTTAGTGGACTCCTACATATTTTTCCAAGATTCCCTATTACTGGTTTTCAAATGCTCTAAGTACGTTTTCTAAAGTAAAGATCACATCAGATTTTTAGAATGTTTAAGAGTTAACAACTCTGAAACTACATTGACCTGGGTCTCAATCTTTTCAATTTCTTATTCTCACTTTTCCAATTTGTAAAATTAGTTCATACTAATACCTACCACTTCACAGGGCCATTCAAAGAATTAAATTCGGTAAGTGTCAAGTACTTAGAGCAATGTCAGGTTTAGAGTAAGCATTCAATTAGTATTAAATTAATTAAAGAAGGTGAATACAGATTCAGACAAAAGAATTAACTCAACAAAGTTATTATGAAACATGAGAATCTGAATTCTAATTCAATACTCTGTTTTTACAGGGTATATTTCACTAGGTATCCATATCAACTATAAGGAGACCAAAGTTTCAAGCAAGTGAAATGCCATAATGTGTATTGCCCTAACACTACTAACCCCCAATACAGTTCAATTTTTGTGTCGTTTTTAATTCATGGTACTGATATTTTTCCACTAGGCAGAGCCTAAAACCTCAAAGTCATTACCTTATTTTAATCTAACAAACAAACTTGTTAATTATCTTATTTTATAAGTAATAAAGCAGGTTCAATGAAGTTAAGGAGTCTGCTCATATATATAAATACATCTATTATTACCATAAGTAATGCTCCTTTCTACCTCATACCCTTTAGCAAGGACACCTCTACAAAGCACTATGTAATCTGGAAAATTCAACCAGAATGAAAGATCAACCCTACCACCCACCAAAAATAGTGCTAATTTTCCTGCCAAGACTAACCAGTTTGCAAGTACAGTACTTACACATTCCGAGGACTGTCTAGTCCTTAGGGACTGATCACCTTGTTGCTGGGATGAACTAGCCACTTGTTGGGCATTTACAAGGTTGCGGACCAGCTGGGCTGCTAAGAGAAAACATCAGAAAGGAAATCAAAAGATAAAATAGCAGAAAAATGACAATCTATAAAAGAGTCTCAAGTGTCTCTGAGATTTTAAAACTTGGACTTTTAAACCCTGATAATGATAACAAAGGTCTTATAAGAACTAATTTAAAAGAAAACGCCATTTTTTTTATCTTGATCATTAAAAAAAAAATACACTGATCCTAGAGAGCAGAACAGATGTAAAATTAGTTTTCTACAATTAAGAAGCCACCTTCTGCGGTAAGAATCTGAATGAAAATAATTACTTTAACTTACTCTATTTTTAAAATATGTTATTGATTATGCTATTACGGTTGTCCCATTGCCCGCCTTTTAATTCATGTCCATGTGTCATACATGTAAGTTCTTTAGCTTCTACATTTCCCATACTATTCTTGCCCTCCCCCTATCTAGTTTCTACCTGCCATCCATGCTACTTATTCTCTGTACCTTTTCCCCCCTTCTCCTCCTCCCACTCCCCTGTTGATAACCCTCCATGTGATCTCCATTTCTGTGGTTCTGTTTCTGTTCTAGTTGTTTGTTTAGTTTGTTTTTGTTTTTGTTTTAGGTGTGGTTAATAATTATGAGTTTGCTATCATTTTACTGCACATGTTTTTTACTTTCTTTTTCTAGATAAGTCCCTTTAACATTTCATAAAATAAGGGCTTGGTGATGATGAACTCCTTTAACTTGACCTTATCTGAGAAGCACTTTATCTGCTTTTCCATTCTAAATGAAAGCTTTGCTGGATAGAGCAATTTTGGTTGTAGGTCCTTGCCTTTCATGACTTGGAATACTTCTTTCCTTCCCCTTCCTGCCTGCAAAGTCTCTTCTGAGAAATCAGCTGACAGTCTGTAGGTAATCGTCTTCTTTTCTCTTGCTGCTTCTAAGATTCTCTCCTTAGTTTTAATCTTGGGTAATGTACCTTGGTGTGTTCCTCCCTGGGTCCAACTTCTTTGGGATCCTCTGAGCTTCATGGATTTCCTAGAAGTCTATTTCCTTTGCCACATTGGGGAACTTCTCCTTTGTTATTTGTTCAAATACGTTTTCAATTTGTTCTTCTTCCTCTTCTCCTTCTGGTACCCCTAAGATTTGGATGTTAGAATGTTTAAAGATATCCTGGAGGTTCCTAAGTCTCTCCTCATTTTCTTGAATTCTTGTTTCTTCATTCTTTTCTGATTGGATGTTTCTTTCTTCCTTCTGCTCCAAATTGATTTGAGTCCCAGTTTCCTTCTCATCACTATTGATTCCCTGTACATTTTCCTTTATTTCACTTAGCATAGCCTTCATTTTTTCATCTAATTTCCAACCGAATTCAACCAGTTCTGTGAGCAGCCTGACTACCAGTGTTTTGAACTGTGCATCTGATAGATTAGCTACCTCGTCGTCACTTAGCTGTATTTTTTCTGGAGCTTTGATCTGTTCTTTCATTTTGGCCATTTTTTTGTCTTGATGCACCTGTTACATAGTTAGGGGCGGAGCCTTAGGTGTTCACCAGGGCAGGGTAACCCACATCGCTATGTTGTGATGCTGTGTGGGGGGGGCAGGGGTCCAAGAGGGAACAACGGCACTTGCTCTGCCCTCTACCAGATTTCAGTCACTTCCCCTGCTTCCCCCAAGCAAACTGGGCTCTTCTGGTGCTGATTTCGATGTGGGTGGGCTTGTGTACATTCTAGGACCCTGAAGGTCTCTCCAATGAACTTTCCTCTGAGGATGGGAGTTCCTGCTCCCTCTTTGTTTAGCCGGTTTATCTGCGCACGAATGTGGGACTGCCTGGTCTGCCAGCTGCATCCTTACATACCCCGTTCCACAATCCACCACCTCGCTGGGTCCTCCAGCTGACACCTTGCTATGAGCCCTCTCTGCCCAGCTGCCCAACTCCACCCCTCCTACCAATCTGGATGAATGTGTAACTCCTTGGTTATTGGACTTCCATACAGTTCAATTTTCTGTCGGTACTGGTTGTTTTTTGTTTTTAAAATCGTTACTGTCCTCCTTTTGGTTATGCGAGGAGGCACAGTGTATCTACCTATACCTCCATCCTCGCCAGAAGTCCTATTATTTTTCTTTCAATAAACTCTCACTGGGGATTTTAATTCTTAAAATTCCTTAGGAAATATAAAAGGAACAAATCTCACCCTGATTAGTGTGGCTTAGTTGCTCAGACGTCAGGCCACAAAATGAAAGGCTGCAGGTTTGATTTCTGGTCAGGGAACATACCTAGATTGAGGGTTTGGTCTCTGTTTGCGTGTGTATGAGAGGTAACTAATCGATGTTTCTCTCTCACATCAATATTTTTTTCCTTCTCTTTCTCCCTCCCCCTCTCTCTAAAAACAAAGTCTTTTAAAAAATAAAATAAAATATAAGGAATGAATTTCCCTCTCTCATAATAGCAGTGAGAAGAGACATAAATTTCCCTATGTTCCCAAAAGAAAACTTCTCATTAACTTCTGGGGGAGGAAGTAAACTTCCATTAATTTTTATATTGAGAGAAAAGAGTATGTGACTCAAATCAAAAGAATACTTAAAGGGAATTGATAGAATACAACAGACCACTAAAGACCTAGAAAGTTCATATATCCAAATACTGTTCAAAATAAAAGCCTGTCTAAATTTTCTCTCTTTTAAAAATGGTATGGTCCAAAACCATGCAGCTAGGTTTGGTATGGAAAGGATTTAGGGTCCTTAGAATGGCATCAACATAAATTACTTCATTTACACCAGAAACTACTTTAACCTTTTCTATTTACCTGCCACACTGCTATTCCTCTGACGGGCCAGCTTGACCTCTGGACACTCTCTTCGTACATGCCCTGCATCTCCACATATAAAACATCTGAGGTCTCGGGAGTCTCTGAAGTCTCTAGTATCATGGAGGTCTCGGGAATCAACGTCTCGGGAGTCTTTCTCCTCTTCATTCCCTTCCTTCTCTTCTTCACTGTCTTTCTTCTTTACTCTAAACAGTAAACTGCTGATACCAATAATGTGGGGCTAGGGACTTGTAAACTGAGGGAGTCATAGAACAAACTAATATACAAGAGTCTCACAATTAAAGTGACTAATATTCCCATGTTTCATACATCTTTTTAAAACTCACATTTATTTCACAACTACTCACGTGGCAAAAACTGGGTATGCTAGTGCTTTTATAATAAAATATCAAATTAAAAAAAATTAAAGATCTATTTAATCTAACAATCCTTAGAGGTTGGTATTTATTATCTTCATTTTACAGTGGAAGAAAATGGAGCTTAAGGAAGATAGTATCTTACCTAAATTTAATAGTCAGTAAAAACACTGATTAAAAACTAGAGAGCTTGTTCTACCTGAAAAATTGTAAGCTCTTCATAGCAGGCAAGACTTATGACTGAAAAAGGACTTTTCCTGATCTATTAAACATAGTATATATAGAAAGAAATACAAGGAAGTATTTTTCACAGATATATAATTTAGCAGTGCACAGAACACACATTCCTGAGATAAATGTTATATACCTCACAGTATATATCTCAAATATTCAGTTAATTATATTTTAATTATTGGTTTGAATGACTATGAAATCCTCAGCCAGAACCCTATTCTTGGGTCTTGGTCATTCTTGTCTTGGCTCCTAGCACAGTTCCCAACATATAGCAGGTGTCAATAAAAAACAAATTGACTTTTAATAAGTAAACAAATGAACATTATGAGACATCATGGTACCACAAATAAATCTCACTCTATTATAAAATTCTGCTAAAATATACATTTACTAAAATCCAATTTAAAGCCCTGAACTTTCTCACTTAAACCTTTTTGAATAGTTATAGCTACAGTTGACCTCAACTTTAATTTTCCTGTAATGCTGACACCAAGTTATTTGCCAACCTTCTCCTTTTAGGGCAGTCTTTCATGTAGTGGCCTATTTTTCCACAAACACGGCAACATCGATCATTGGGAGCCAGTTCTCCATCTGTTAACACTCTAGAATCAAAGAAGTACTCCTAGAGAGAAAATACAACTTTATTAGAAAAAAATCACTACAAACTTTCAAATACAAACGCTAAAGAGACCAAGATGAAGAAGTGGTTTAAAAAAAACAGGAAATAAATATCAACAAATAGTTCACTCAACTAAAACAATATCAAAATGATATTCTTGAGAAACAAAATGAATAAAAGCCAAAAAAAGAAACAAAAAAAAAGAGATTCAGAATTATCAGCATCAACATCACTTTACATCCATGATATTTTCTCTTCATCTGTAGCATCTCTGCATAGTATCTCAATATAGATCTATTTTCATCTTTATTCTATATTTGAGGACATTTAACTTTTAAAAGGTCAAGTCATTTGCTCATAGTGGAAAAGCTAGTATGGCAGATAAAGAAAGGATTTAAAGCCAAGTATGCCTGACTACAAAGATCATGCTTATTGCTATACCAGGCTACTTCTGAAAAGGATTAATTCTCTAGTATAAAAGAGCTCTATGTAAATAAGAAAATCATGTGGATTATTTAAAATATAACTGGATTTGCATTAAAAACTTCAAGAAAATATAACATTTTATTATATGAAGCAGGGTTTATCTAAAGAGGTAGGGAAACAATAAGTATATCATTTTCCAAAGTCTTAGAAGAACCACATTCATATTTGCTTTATGCAAGTACCTTGCTTTCCTTTAGCTTTGTTTTGCACTATTACAAAGACTAGTTTGTCCTGACAGTACCCGTATCTCTGAAAGGCAAGAAAACATACCTACTTAGTGCTCTTCAAATCTAACTAAAAGTCAGGGATAAAAGTAGAAGAAGGCAAACTCACTAGGAGCCCTATCATAGTAAGTACTGGTGAGGAGATAGAAAAACTGGAACCCATATACACTGCTGGTGGAAATGTAAAATAGCACAGCTGCTTTAGAAAACAGTTTAGCAGCTCCTTGGAAAGTTAATATGAATTTTTCAAAATGACCCAGCAATTCCATTAGGTATATATAGCCCCAAAATGAAAACATACATCCAGACAAAAATGTGTACATAGTCACAGCAGTATTACTTGTAATAGCCAAAACTAAAAAACATACAAATGTCCAAAAAGTGAATGGATACATAAAATGTGATATATCCATTCAGCCACAAAAAGGAATTAAGTTCTAGCACATGCTACAACATGAATGAACCCTAAAGACATTATATTAAAAGAAAGAAGCTAGTAAAAAAAGGCTACATATTCTATGATTCCATTTATATGAAATACCCAGAACAGACAAAGCTACAGAGACAAAAACTAGATTAGTGGTTTGGGGAATGGGAAAGAAAAGGAATAAGATTTGATTGCTAATGGGGACAGGGGCTTCCTTGAGAAAGAACAAAATGTTCTAAAAATTAGATTTAGAACATTAGATTTAGATCCTGCATATATACTAAAAACCACTTTATTGCTCACTTTATATGGGTGAATCATACAGTATGTGAATTATATTTCAATAAAGCAGTATTTTAAAAAATTCTTCACACTTACTACTGATAAAATCAATGTAGCTAAATAAAATCATCATCATATTTTCTGCCACAACAAAATGAAGGCCTTTTTCAATTCACCCAGTTGATTAAGGCAAAAACCTAGGAAACATCCTGAACTACTTTTCCTTCACCCATAACTTGTAATTAATCACCAAATTGTATCCATTCTATTTCTGAATCTCTTTATCCACCGGGTTAAGGTGACCTGGATTTGGGGTCAGCAACTTTTCTGTAAAGTGCCAGATAGTAACATCTGGTCAAGATGGATTAGTAGACATGCTTCCCCTCCTTACAAAACCACAAAAAGAATTACAACTAAATTTCAAAACAAATACTCCCAGAACTGTTAGAAAATCGAACTGTATGGAAGTCCAACAACCAAGAATTTAAGCCACATGCATCCAGATGTCTTAGTAGAAGCCACACTACTAAGACAAAATCAAAGCAGCTCTAATATTCAGAAACAAACACAGGGACACTGCCAATTTGAGGAGACAAAAGAAATATGGCCCAAATGAAAGAACAGATCAAAACTCCAAAAGAACTAAGTAATGAAGAGATAGCTAACATACCAGATGCTGAGTTCAAAACACTGGTAATAAGGATGCTCACAGAAATGCCTGAGTACAGACTCAAAATAAAGGAAGAAGTGAAAAGTATACAAAGTGGAATAAAAGAAAATATACAGGGAACCAACACTGAAGAGAAGAAAACTTGCCCTCAAATCAGTGATCTGGAACATAAGAAATAGAACATTCAATTGTAACAGAATGAAGAAACAATTCAAAAAAAATGAGGAGAGGCTTAGGAACCTCTGGAACACCTTTAAACTTTCCAACATCTGAATCATATGGGTGCCAGAAGGAGAAGAGGAAGAACAAGACACTGAAAACATATTTTTAAAAAATGAAAGAAAACTTCCCCAATCTGGTGAAGGAAATACACATATAAGCCCAGGAGCCCAGAGAGTCCCAAAGAAGTTGGACCCAAACAGGAACACAACACACCAAGGCACATAATCATTAAGTTACCAAAGACTAGAGAATCTTAAAAGTAACAAAAGGAAAGGGGACAGTTAAATACAAAGGAGTTCCCCCAAGACTATCAGCTAATTTCTTTTAAAAAAACCTTGCAGGCACCCTGGCTGGTGTGGCTCAGTGGATTGAGTGCCAGTCTGCAAACCAAAGGGTCGTTGGTTTGATTCCCAGTTGGGGCACATGCCTAAGTTGTGGGCCAGGTTCCCAGTGGGGGGCGTGAGGGAGGTAACCACCCACTGATGTTTCTCTTCTTCCCCTCTCTCTAAAAATAAGTATTTAAAACAAACAAAAACCTTGCAGGCAAGAAGGGACTGGAAAGAAGTATTCAAAATCATGAAAGGTAAGGATCTATATCTAAGATTACTCTATCCAGCAAACCTGAGATTTAGAATGAAAGGGCAGATAAAGTGCTTCCCAGATAAGGTCAAGTTAAAGGAGTTCATCATCAGCAAGCCCTTACTATATGAAATGTTAAAGGGACTTATCTAACAAATTGAAGATGATCAAAACTATGAACAGTAGAATGACAACAAACTCACAATTATCAACAACTGAAACTAAAAAACAAAAACAAAAACTAAGTAACAAGTAGAACAGAAACAGAACCAGAGAAACGGAGTTCACATGGAGGGTTTTCAGTGGGAAGAAGGGGAAGAACAGGGTGGGAGGGGGGAGGAAAGGGAGCAAAAAGCATAATTAATAGGCATAAAATTAGACATGGAGAGGTTAAAAATCGTATAGGAGACAGAGAAGTCAAAGTCATATAAATATATGTACAACCCATGGACATGAACTAAGAGGGGTAAAATGCTGGAGGGTTGGGGGGTGCAGGGCAGAAGGGTGATAAAGAGGAGAAAAAACTGGGTAAACTGTAACAGTATACTCAATAAAATATACTAAAAAATGCTCATTTGGTACATCCTCTTTGTCAAACACTACAATAGGCACTGGAGATATACTGGTAAACCTTATGGATAATGGACCATCCTTTTGGAAATACAGCCTAGTGGAGGAGATAGAATTTAACAGATTAAACAAATATACAAAATTTAGCAGGTATATCATTATGGACTATGACAAATGCAATAAAAAAATACAGGGTGCTACAAACATATCTTTCCCTATTTCTAACACCAACTTAGAAACAGGAGTAGGCCTTCTTGTACTATAAAAAGAAAAGTTCTTTAAGAAAAAAGAAAATACTAAGATTTCATATTATGTAAACTTACAGCTTCTCTGCCAAGGAGTGGATAAAAGGGAGTACCAAAAAGTTTCCTTCCATTGATAAATGCCTTCATGATGAAATTGGTCACTATTGAAGAAAGAAAAAAAAAAAACAATAAAGATGCAGACTATAATGTGTAAAAACTTCAAGGGCACAGAATTTCTGTATTTAAAACTTACTTTTTCTAGAAACTCCAGCACCAAGATTATGATTCAAGTCAAAAGGGTCTAGAAAATAAAATTTTTATTGTTTGAGAATTATGTTCACTGTTACATTAAATATATGTAGTAGCCATGACTACAGTCTAATACGATATAACTTAGACCATCCAAACAGCAAATTATTTTTTTATCATAGATTAAAGGGTGGAAATGATAAACCGAAAGAATCTTCTAAATTCTAATGTGTTTCAGTTTTCCCCTCAATTTCCTTGGCCAAATAAAATTGGCTTCTCATTTTGCTGTTTCTGAATATCAGCTAAATAATTACCTTCAATTGCAATGCATTTGGACGTCCACTGCTTCTCAAAAGTTGTTAACAGCTTTTTCTGCCGAATGCTAATTACATATTCCTTAAAATCAAACTCTTCAGTATAGAAGCGAAGCAATCCCAACCAAAGCTCTCCTAGTGTTTCCGTGTTCTTTCCAAGTGAAGGTAAACGCTTTTTCTACAAGTTAGAAAGAGAGAAGAAAAAGAAATATCTATACCTATCCAAAATACAGACTCCAAATCCAAGTAAAATTATTAAATTATGCAAATCCTAACATTTATCAGAAAGCATTCCATAACATAAAACTATTTAAAAATTACCAGTTCTTCTGTTTTATCAAAGAAAAAAGCATTCCATCCATCAACCATTCTCTGTGGAATCTGTTTTCCATCAAAGATCTGCATAAAAAATTAATGTTTATTAGATTTTAAATCATCCAATCCCAAAGCCTAAATACCCTCACCTCATTTTAGAACTGAGCTATAACAGACATATTGAAATATTTCTTCCAAAGTGAATATGCCAAGAAGGTATAATTTGACATCATTACTAATGAATAAAATGTTCCTGAAAGACCCATTTGATGTTACCTATTTGGCCTGTCAAAACACATCTAGCCCAAGATTAACAAAGCAAAATGAAAACAGTACTTTCATCCAAGAATCATGGATGTAGAAATACGTAATAAATAATACATATTGATTGTACATCCAAAGGAAATCAATGGAATTGCTTCTTTTGGTAAAGGGCTCTAGTACCTTTAACCTGTAAAGACCCCTGGACACTGATTATTTTAAAAACAGAAAATTAGGTAGCTTTCCCTAACACCTTATAAAGATTATAAAATCTTCATGATGAATTATGAGTAATAATTCACTGTCCTAAGGAAGAAAAGTACCCATAAGATGACTGTATAGGCATAACTAACCTCTACAAGCAGTTTTGAGACTTATTTTCTATAGGTGCTTTAAGAAAGAGATTAGGTTCAGAGTCAGCAGACCTCATTTGTAGTCATAGTCCTGCCAAGTGGTGATTCTGGGCAAAACAAGTATGCTCCTAAATCCTCATTTTTCCCAATGAAAATGAGAGATTAATTAGGCTAGTTCTTTTCAAATTTTCTTTCTGTTCAGCTGTAATACTCTTTCCTAAAATGAAACTTTCCTCAAGGTTCAGAAGTGTAAAACAGATAAAAGCAAAGGAACTCTGACAGAAGAAAACATACCTCATCTTTCTTTACCCTACTCCTCATAGGTTAAATGAGCTTGTGAGACCCTACTAGAATATATACTTTAAAACCACTAGATAAGGTGATCCCCATGGCCTCTTCCATTTTAGATGGGAAAATGATTAATAAAATTAGCCCTGGCCAGGTAGCTCAGCTGGTTAGAGCATAGTCCCAATATGCAAAGGCTGTGCCTTTGATCCATGGTCTCTCTTCCTCTGTCACTCCCCCTCAAAACAATTAACAATTTTTTTAAACACTTAAAAAATCAACTACATGTCTGGTCTCTCTAATTTCACTCTCAAGTTTAAGTTCCTTGCAGGTGAGGACTGTAACTTATCTCTGGAACCAAAATTCCTACTATTACATCAAAGCCTGTCATATAGAGAATACTTAATATATGTTTGTTGAGTGAATATATCTAATCTATAAGCATTATTTACATAAAAGTTTCCAGGGACCCAATCTAGTAAGTTCTTTTTTATATTTACACATAAACAGTTTCCAAAGATGACTTGGCAAAAATTCTGACATTTCATAAAACAAAAAAGGCAGAAATTACAGATATTCATATCTAAAACAAAATACATGGGATTCTGCCATCAAAAAAAATGTAGGTTTTAAAGAGGCCAGAATATTTGATGCTATTATATGTATTACAGGGAAATGACACACAGTATCTTGTTAGAACTTGATTCTTTTTAAGAGAATTTTGACTTTTGAGTAACAACTATGATCCAAACCCAAATACATTGGCCGATAACACAGTAAAAGGCCTCAGAGGGTGTTTAATCACTGATTTACCTGTTTTTCTAAACTCTTGTTTCACAATGCCTACTTTTTCCACTCTGTCTCAGCCCTTATAGGCACTAAAACCGTATCTTCTCTTTCTCTTGTACACACACACACACACATTCTTTCCATTTCTCTCCTCTCTTTTCTCTTTCAACACCAATCATTCTCCACTCAAGCACTAATTGCTCCCTCTAAAACCTCACCAAACAGGTTAATCATATTTGTACAAGAAATAATCCTGTACATTTCTGTATTTACTGTCTCTTGTAATATTTTAGTATCTACTATGATATTTAAATTGCAATTTCTTAGTCATGGTAAAATACACATTCACAAAATTAACCATCTTAATTAGAGTATATTATTCAGTGGCAATAAGCACATTCCTGCTGTTGTGCTACCATCTACACACAGAATTCTTTTCATCTTCCAAAAAAGAAATTTTGAACCTATCAAGCAATAATTACCCATTTCTCTCTCCTCCCTACAGCCCCTGGCAACCAGCATTCTACTTTCTATGAATCCTGTCTACTGTCCTAAGCACCTCATATAAGGTAAATCATATAAGTATTTGTCCATCTGTGACTGGTTTGTTTCACTTAGCACTGGCTCACCCATTCAACTGAAATTTTTAAGAAAACACAGCAGTTCATAATATCAAATGCAAATACCATTCCCTAATACTTATTTTTAAGTGAAAATTTACTTTTACTTAAGATGATCTGCTAAAATACAGTAAAATCTTCTGTTTAGAAAAGCTCCTTTTGACCTAAAGAATTTTGTGCTGTTGACCACAGAAAACATTCTTAGCAGAGCCTTATTTATACCCAGTCACTTAAAGTCTAGGTTCAATCAAAAATGTAGTCAAAGATCATCAGCTTCATTAAACATATCCTTACCCTTAAAAGTTGATCGATGCCAATGACCAATATTTAAATGATGCCAGAGCAATGGACAATGGGGTCCCATATGACAAGCAAAAAGGGCCAGAAGCAAAAATCCATATATCATCAGTTCATATGTATCACAAAGCCCCCCACAATCACAGTTCATTATGATGGAAAACATTCCATGGACTGTCTCTCATTTCATCAATCATTGTCTGTTAAGCAGATAATGGGAGAGTTCTTGAAGTAGGCTATGGCAATCCTCCCTATATTTTTCCAATAATATTAGTAAAGCTGCTAATGATAATAACAATTAATAATAATAAAAGCAACCACCATTTATAATACCTACTTTAGTACCTACTACATTCAAAGTTATTCTATCTCTTTGTCTCTTATATTAACACTAAAATGATACCATTATTACATTTTTACTGATGATGAAACTCAAAAGTAGTGGTGGTCAGGCACCTTTTTGAAGGCCACAATATCAGAATTAGGGTTCACACCAGTTATTTCTGGCTCCAAAATCATGTCCTGCTCCTCCCATTGTATCATGCTGCCTCAATGGCTCCTTATCCGTGTATAATATAATGAGAGAACATAGACAAACTATTATAATTGGTGTGCCATTTTGCTTAAGCATAGTATTCTATCAAAGTCATAGCAAATGGCTGCTATGATATCACTAGGGCAATGATGCAAATATTCCCAAATTTAAAGCCTTGATAACAATTAGACTAATATAGAGAATGATCTTGACACTGTCAGGCCTAATAAATTCATGCTTAATTTTAAATAACAGAGAACAACCTTGTTTAAAAAAAACCAATCACTCAACATAGATTTAGCAACATAAAATTTTCTGCTAGAAAATATTTAAAGTTTTTATTTCTCTTCCACTGTTTGTTTAAAAGGGAAGAGAATGCTGCAAAAACCACACAGCATTCTTTAGAACTTTTTTAAGCTAAGGCCATCTGACACCCACAATATGGCTGATACTTTGTGATTTTCTTCTTTGACACAACTATCAAACTTTACGTGAAACCAAAATATGTTATTTACCAAACAACTCTGATGATTCTCTCCCTAAGAAATTAGAACTGGATCCTCCTAATGTGTGCAAATCCACTTTGTGCCAAGAATGAGGAGGAACCAATAGATAATTAAGAACTCTTTTGTACCTGTTTCAGAGAACATAAACTGTCTACAAGAAGGGACTCCATGAGTCACTAACTCTGAGTGAATGAGTATAATCTGTTTCTTCTGATGTATATTCTTAGGCTTATTGCAATTAGTATGACCTTACAGAGATGAGGAAGCAGTTCCTTGGGTTTTCTCTCAACCAAATTTCACAAAGCTGACCAAAATATAAACAGAAATAAATCAAGCTTCCTTGCCAAGGAAAAGGAGAATACTATGGAGAGAAAAAAACTTAAGTATTTGTATCTGAGAGACTAATATATGAGGTCATTGATCACAATATATATTTCATAATGATCTGCAGAATTCTGACTGTAAAATACAAAAATGTTGCAAAAGATATTCAATAGTACTGTTCATCTGATATTCTTTTGGTAGTCTATACTCTCCTATAATAAACTTTCAAAAAGGTTCATTGTTTGATTATACTATTAAATGAAAGAAGAAAAATTAGAATGTCATAATGGGAAAATCTTTCACAATCTCATGAACTAAATAAGGAAGACCTATATGGTTATTAGATCACTTGTTTTCACAATAAACTCCTCCAATATTTTCTTAAGACACCTACCTCTTGTAGAACTGGGATAACAGGTGGTTTTCTCTGCTGTAGAAAGTACAGCACCATAAGGATATAAGCATATGAAGATAAACTTCCCCTGGAAGCGTCGCCAATATCACATCGCTAAAGAAACATTAACAATGATTGAAAAAAAACTTCAGAATCTTACTCCATGCAGAAATATTCACTACATTAGACACAATTTTTTTTTTAGCGCAGCAAACTGGCAAATATCCAGAAGTTAAATAACAAACTGTCATAGAGGGTGTAAGTAAATGAGGCACCTACACATTATAAACTATAAACCTATACATCACCTATACTACTGCAAGTATAAATGAGTATAAAGTATATGAAAAATAATTTGGCATATCAAAATTACCAAAGCACATTTCCTTTAATCTGGCAGTTTTGTTCTAAGAATTCATTCAGCAAATATGCCAAAAAACATGTAAAATGACTAAATAAGAAGTGGTTTTTTTAAATTGTAGAACTGTTTTAATAGCAAAAAAGTCAGACAACTTAAGGCTCATCAGTAAACCAGATTTTAAAACCTGATGAGTATCCACACGTGGAATATTAAGCAGTTTCTAAAAAACAGAGTTCTTATGTATATATAAAAAATTAATCTCCAACATCTATTGCTCAGTAAAAAAAGAGCAAAGTACAAAACACTGTTTTCAGTGTGTTTATACCTATACTAAAAATGAGGTAGGAAACCTTTTGTTTTTAATCCTCACCCCAAAACACTCTTATTGATTTTAAAGAGAGGGTAAGAAAGGGAGAGAAAGAGGGGGAGAAACATATCGGTTGCCTCTCACACACACTCTGACCAGGGACCAAAACTGCAACCTAGGCATGTGCCCTGACCAGGAATTACACTTATCACCTTTCAGTTACAGGATGACACGCCAACTAGCTGAGCCACACCAGGATAAGGTAGAAAATGTATGGACTAGTATATTTCTGGAAGAACTCTCAGAAGAGAACTTTTGACAACAGATATCTCCAGCAAGAGGCCCCGATTGGCTAGGTAACAGGGAGATTTTCAATTATAAACCCCTTCAGACTTTTTGAGTTCTGAACAACACAAATATGTTGGTTATTTTTTAAATGTTTTTTAATTAAAAACTAAACAGCCCTGGCCACGTGGCTTAGCTGCTGCAGTGTTGTCCTGCACATCAAAAGGGTGCGGGTTCTATCCCAAGTCAGGGCTCACACAGGAGGCAACTGATGGATGTTTCCTTTCTCTCTCTCTAAAATCAATAAATATATCCTTAGTCAAGGATTTAAAAAACCCTAAATGAATCCTCAGAGACTTCTCTTGAGTAAAACTTTAGCTGATATTATATTAAGGCAGAGGAATCATTTCCTTCACATGAACCACTTGGTTTCATTACTACAACTCCATAGGAGAACTATCATGTTGGAGAAATTTTATGACATGAATCCAAAAAAGCAGCTCTATCAACATGATCTGTATGTAGTATGTGGATAAATATCTTTTTTTTCTAAGATGATCTCTGTCCACAAAGACATGTACAGGGTTACCTAAACAAATATGTCTCTCCAATCAAAGGGCAGGCTTAATGAACCGAAAATGTGACTTAGTCACTCACCTACTAAACCTTTCCACCAACATATTTATAAAATTAACTATTAACCAATCGTCTACCACAAATCAGGCACTATACTGAACTAGGTCTGAACAGAGGTCTCTACCTTCATGGAGTTTACACACTAAACAAACAAACAAACAAACAAACAAACAAAAAACCCAAATTCAGTACTCTAAATGTTATAAAAGTAAACAGGGTTTTGTTGGCACTGTTTCTTTTCTTGGCTGGAAAATGTTATCACTAAACCCAAATATCAGATTTCCTAACCCAGAGATTCTTAACTAGGATAGTATGCCAACTACCATGCCTACAACTAAAAATCATTATCACATTGAGAAATTTTACCAAGTAGAAATTTTCGAAGAGTGTTCACATGGGAATAAAGCACACACAGGAAAAAAACTAAGAATCACCCTAAGAGATATAAATTTCAACCATTTAATATTCAGTATTTCTCTTTATAAACTCAGGTAAACAAAACTCAGAAAATATTTTTCACAATTCTGACATTAGTATGTTTCACTTTAACTATCATTAGCCTTTACAACAAACAAGGTCATTAGTATGAATACCTTTGCAAACACTTTCATAGTATATCCCAAGTACTGCACTCTGGGATCAATAGCTGCATAAGTAGCCAACATTCTTGTGTTATGTTGAGCCTGAAAAATAATTACATATTTGAAAACACTTCAAATTTATTAAAATTAACTCTAAAAATGAAATGGAAAGATATAATATACTCCAAATAGAATTTATAAATATAAAACTCAAAATACCTATAAATTAGCCAAACAAAAACTAATTTTCAATCAGAAAGAAATATGAAGATAATTTTCCCCCTTATACTACTCACATTTAAAATCTTTAAATAGGCACTACTTCCGCCAACATGGAGGCATAGGTGGAGACACCGTGCTTTGTCACACAACCAAGTTTAAAGACAACAAAATATTAGCAACAGAAAACACAGCCAGAACACAGAAAATTGAATTTTTCGTAAGTCTGATAACAACAAATGCTTCAGCCTGACCGGACAGAGGGTCGAAACCCGCAGCTGGCGGAGCGGGGTTGCACAGGAAAACTCAGTCAGACGGACTCAGGAACGTGGATTCCAGGTGCAGGGTTGCAAAGGGCAGACCCAGTGAGTGACCCAATGAGCGACCCAATGAGCGACCCAGTGAGTGACCCAGTGAGCAACAGGCAAATCCAGTGAGGGCAAAGGGCGGCAGGTTGACTGTGGTGGCGCATTCCTGCGCAGATAGACAGGCGAGGGAATGGGCAGTGAGACGGGACCGAGCAGGCCCCAGCAGCAGGAGGTAGCAGAGAGGGCCGCCATTTCCCGGCTCTGACCCGCCCCCACATACAGCATCATAACCCAGCGACCTGAGTGACCCTACCCTGGTGCACACCTAAGGCTCTGCTCCTCACCCAGCCGTGGGAAGCAGGAGAGGGGGACACCATTTCCCCTCTATGACCCCGCCCCCACATAGAGCATCACCATCCTGCGACCCCGCCCTGGAGGCCCCACCCTGCCCCTAAGGCTCCACTCCTCATATTTAATGGGCACGAACAGACCAAAAACGGCTCAAGAAGATCTCAAAGCCCCAGAGCCCATAAATCTAAGCAATGGAGAAATAGCAAAACTTTCAGACGCACAGTTCAAAACACTGGTGATCAGGATGCTCAAAGAACTGGTTGATTTTAGTCACAAATTAGAGGAACACATGAAGGCTAAACTAATTGAAATGAAGGGAATTGCATAGGAAACCAATAGTGATGAAAAGGAAACTGGGACTCAAATCAAGGGAGCAGACCAGAAGGAAGGAAAAAATGACCAAAAAGGAAAATATGAAGAAACAAGAATTCAAAAAAATGAGGAGAGACTTAGGAACCTCCAGGACATCGTTAAACGCTCCAACATCCGAATTATAAGGTTACCAGAAGGGGGAAAGGAACAGCCACCAGTGGAAAATTTATTTGAACAAATAATAAAGGAGAATTTTCCCAATCTGGCAAAGGCAATAGACTTCCAGGAAATCCAGGAAGCTCAGAGTCCCAAAGAAGTTGGACCCAAGAAGGAACATGCCAAGGCACATCATCATTACATTAGCCAAGATTAAAATGAAGGAGAGAATCCTAGAAGCAGCAAGAGATAAGGGGACAGTCACCTACAAAGGAGTGCCCATCAGACTGTCAGTGGATTTCTCAAAAGAGACCTTACAAGCAAGAAGAGGCTGGAAAGAGGTATTCCAAGTCATGAAATCCAAAGACCTACAACCAAGATTGCTCTATCCAGCAAAACTTTCATTTAGAATGGAAGGACAGATAAAGTGCTTCTCAGATAAGATCAAATTCAAGGAGTTCATCACCAAGCCCTTATTACATGAAATGTTAAAGGGACTTATCTAAGAAAAAGAAGGTAAAAAAGATGAACAGTGAAAGGACAGCAAACTCACAGTTATCAACAACCACATCTAAAACAAAAACAAACTAAAAGGACAACTAGATTAGGAGCAGAACCATAGAAATGAAGATCTCATGGAGGGTTAGCAACAGGGGAGTGGGAGGAGAAGGGGGGAGAAGGTACAGAAAATAAGTAGCATAGACGGTAGGTAGAAAACAGATGGGGGAGGGCAAGAATAGTATGGGAAATATAGAATCCAAAGAACTTGAGACACATGGTCATAAACTAAAGGGGGGGAATGGTAGGGGTAGGGGGGGTGCAGGGTGGAGGGGAATGAAGGGGGGAATAGAACAACTGTAATGGCATAATCAATAAAATAAAAATAAAAATAAATAAAAAGTAAAAAAATAAAATATTTAAATATAAAGGTATGGTCAGGGATATAATAGACCACCTAATGATGGTCTATAAACTTTTTCAATAAGTATAAATATACCTGGGTCTATAAGAAAGAGAAACTTACCAATGTATTATACAAACTGATATCTCCTTCTAAACCACTTCGTCTGTGTTCAAATTTTACTATAGGCACTTTGGCAGTGGTTATAGGCAAAATGTTTCTTAAACCTGATTAAAAATAAAACTTCACTAGGTTAAATAATTTTCACAAAGCTAAAAAATATTTTGTTGTTTTAAAGGTATAATTTAAAATTCATACCTGGATGTCTCTTAAGAATTTTTGCCAAATTTTCAATTATTTCCTTACAATTTAATTTCTAAAAGAAAGAAAGAATAAAATAGGTCTGACTCAACTGGGCCTTGTACAAATTATACTTCAATCTAGGCACTTAAAACTAATATTTAAAATCTATAGCCATAAGCATTATATAACCTTCTACGCAAGTAAATGGTGCATAAATCCGCAGTATCAGCATCATTTGAAAACGAAATAAATGCAGAATCTCAGGACCCACCTCAGTCTAATGAATCATAATCTACATTTTTAAAAAACCCAAGTAATTCACACTCACATTAAAGTTTGAGAAGCACAAAGGCAAGAGGATAATGTTTTCAAATACATGAATAAACTATAGATGGGTTTGTTGAAGGTAAAAGAATGTGGTGATTAAGAACACATACTCTGAATTCAGGCAAACTTGAATTTAAACCTTAAACTAAGTACTGAAGAGTTATGGGACTCTGACCAGATTCTTAATTTCTCTCAGCTTCACACTACTATTATATAAAACCAATATAATCAGCCCTGGCTGGTGTAGCTCAGTGGATTGAGCACGGGCCTGTGAAGCAAAGGATCGCTGGTTCGATTCCCGGTCAGGGCACATGCCTGGGTTGCGGGCCAGGTCCCCAGTGAGGGCCACGTGAGAGGCAACCACACATTGATGTTTCTCTCCCACTCTTTCTCCCTCCCTTCCCTTCTCTCTAAAAATAAATAAATAAAAAATTAAAAAAAAAAGATAATCATACACTCCTACCCTACAGAATAATTAGAGGGACTGCATGAGACATGTATATAAAGCATTCACCAGCATGCTTGGCACAAAATAAGCACTTTAAGTATGTGAGCTATTTATTATTATTATGTTGATAAATAAAATACAAATAATCCTTTTATAACTAGAATCTACTTTTTCAAGAAAATTCTTACCCCCTTAAAATTTAAATGTGCTGATTTTTAAAAAACTAGACAACAGAGTTGATATGGTAACAGTATCTATAACATACGAAACAGGGAAGATAATAGCATTATAAATTAACTGCATTAAGCTAATGGGTATTTACATCATGCCCACACTTACTACTAAAATCACTTTTGTATATCCCCAACATGCTTCTTTTTCACTACAAGAAAGTGGCAGTCCTTGAAGCTTCACTTGGAAATTTCAAGGGAAACTTTAATTACTAAGTAACACATAATAAAATGAGGTTATTTTCCTCTTTACAATGCAATGATATAAATTTGTGCTAAATTTTAAGTTTTCAATTATGGCTCATCTGGAAAAAAACATTTATTCTTTTTCACTGTTTCAACCTTCCAGTGTGAATAGCACTGATTATATATAATACATAAACCCTTAATAACTAGAAGTATGATTATTAAATTTTACATAGAAGTTACCTAAAACCCTAACCTCTTTCCTGAATAAAAATTGTTTTCTATTCCCTCAATTCTTGCTCTTCAAAATGTATAGGGGCATCTTTCAGGTAGATAGCACTGAGTAGAAGTTAATTTAAGAAGAACTAAAATATTTACAACTTTTCAGTTTCTTTATAGAACAAGAAGATGTTAACACCAGAAGCATTTACTTAGGGCCAGAAATAAGATCTACCAGACACCGTTGCCACCTCTACTCTGGTTGGTTCTAACAATTACCTTTTGAAAAAAGTATTTGAGAAACACATAGGTACACTATTCTGCTGAATTCTTTTATAATACAGCAGAGGCTATCCTGACACCACTACGGATGCCAGAAGCGTGGCCTCTCCCCAATCTTGCAAGCAGTCCCTGGTTTTGAAACATAAATAGCAATAGCTATGCTGGTATTAAAAAAAAAAAAAAAAGCAATTATAGAGATCCCCTCCTTTTCGAGTTGCTGCTAGGAAGACCTAGGACACTTCTTCCCCATCCAATTAGCCCCCTTCTTTACTGGAGTTTGAGCAATCTTTTTCTCACTGCTGAGGCCTATATACAAAGAAGAAAAGCCCAAGTACCCACTCTTACTGATGAGACTGCTCTGGGGGATGGTCTGCTCCTGGCATCTCACTGTGGAACTCAGAAAGCTTTCGATTCCAGAAAGTAGTGGTTAGGTTCTACAGTACTATTAGTACTATATTTCAGCTACATTGTGGGTTAAATAAATTACAGAGAAACAGTGAGATACAATGGAAAGAGCACGAACTCTGGAGTCAGACAGACCTGGGTATGAATCCCGGCTCCAACATTTTACTAGCTGTGAACTTGGGCAAGTCAGTTTATCTCTCAAAGCCTCAGTTTCCTCATCTGTAAAACGGGGGAAATTATCTACCTCGAAGGTGGTTTTAAGAGTGAAATGAGATAACGTATGTAAAGTGTATACTGGGGAGTCAACAAATGTTAATTCCCCTCCTCGCCCAAAATGAATTTCTCAAAGCTATCCTATGTGTTACATGCTATTGAGTCAGCTCTGCCTCCTGGAGAGCCTATGAATAAGTTATGCCCACAAAGTCCTATCCTCAATAGTCCTGCTCAGCTCCTGTTGATTAATGCCTATGGGCTTCTTCTTTGAAGTCAATCCATCTCATATTTGGTCCTCCTCTTTTCCTGCTGCCTTCTATTTCTTTAGCATTATGACTTCGCCAAAAAACCCTGACTTTGCACAATGTGCCCAAAGTAGAAAAGTTTCAGTTCTGTCATTTTTGCTTCCAGCCATGTTTCAGGCTTAATTTACTACAGGACTCCCTTTTTGTCTTTCTGGCAGTCCATGGTATTCACAAAGCTCTCCCTCAATACCATATTTCAAATAAACAATATTTTTTCCTAGCAGCCTCTTTCACTATAGAACTATACTAGAATAAATCATTTATAACACTGTTTCTACAGAAAAAAGAAATGTGTTCTGAGTACCCCAAAACTGTAATGAGCTTATAGAGCACAAGCCATTTATAAATTAAATGTCCACCTTTATTTTCTATCTTTAATGATATAAAGATATCACCTAATGGAAGAAATATGAAAAGACAAAGAAAGTGAGATCAACATTCACTACTGAACTGAAGCATCAGCTTCTCACTGGTTCTAGTAAAAAAAAAATTCCAACTCAATAATATACTAACTTTTCCAAAAATTTATTACAAACACTTATAACTCTCAATGACATGCTTTTTGCATTATAAAATTACTTAAACAGCAAATTTACTTATTTAAATATTTTAATGTCTTAAGATAATAATGCTAATCCCTTTACATTTTAAACATTACTATTGCTAATATATTTACACAAAGAATGACACCATACGCTTTTATCAATACTACATACAAACTTAAAAATAGATTCATCACTGGAAGAAAATAAACTTCTACATCCCTTTCCAAACACTAACTCTTACCTCTGCATTTTCGTGGCCTTCCAGGGTCATACAAATATCCAGATCGCTATCCCGAAATCCAAATCCATTCTTAGAAGAGCCAAATAAACACAGTCTTGCCTTTTCTAAGCAAAGAAAAATAAATCAAAAGTTTTATAATTAGCAAGAAAAAGGAGTCTTGTATTACCTATTTAGGGCTTAACACAGACAATCCTGTCCACTTCTAGGACTTAAATTTATCTACCATTGACAGATATACCGAGAAATTCCAAAATACTCATTTAAAATGCAGATCTTTGACCCAAGATCCCACACCCATATATCTAACTGCTTCTTCTATTTTCCAGACATCATAAATTCAACAAGTCAAAACTAAACCATGAACTTTATCTCAAACCTATTATTCATATAATCCTTATGCTCAGCAAATAGTATCATAATTAACTCAATTACCCAAGTTAGAAATATACTTGTATGTGTGACCAACACCTCTCTCAACTTCCACATCCAAAAACCACCAAGTCCTTTAGATTCTTCCAACTTAACTATCTCGTTAAGTTCACCTACTTTTATTCATTCTCAGTATTACTATCAATAGTTAAGATCAATATTTACAGATTTATGTCTTGGGAATAAACTAGTTTTTTCAAGGCACATTCAAGTAGTTTACAAATAAATATCACATTAGTACTGGGTTGGCCAGAAAGTCCATATGGTTTTTCCCATAAAATAAGATGCATTTTTCATTTTCAGCAATAACTTTATTGATTTAGGTATTTTGAATATGTCAGCAATCTCCCCATGTGATAAAACACTGAGACTACTGTCTCAAGTAGTGTCTCAATTTGTTCACAATCAACTTCAACTGCTCTACCCAACCGTGGAGCATTATCCAGCAAGACATCTCCAGCTCAAAACTTCACAAACCAGTTTTGACACATTCAGTCACAGCACCTCCTCCACACAAATCTTTTTTTTTTTAAGTTTCAGCTGTGTGTTTACCTTTCTTGAAATAATAAAGCATAATATGCCAAAAATGTTGCTTATTTTCTTTCATCTTCAATATTAAAATAGCTACATAGCGCTTGCTGGTGTAGCTCAGTGGACTGAGCGCAGGACTGTGAACCAAAGAGTCAGTGGTTTGATTCCCAGTCAGGGCACATGCCTGGCTTGTGGGCCAGGCCCCCAGTAGGGGTCACTTGAAAGGCAATCACACACTGAGTTTTCTCTCCCTTTCTTTCTCCTTCCCTTCCTCTCTCACTAAAAATAAATACAATCTTAATATTATACATAGAATTGTCTTCCAAAAATGAATCATTAATCCACTTGATATAAATTAGGATAGGGTTACCTTCTCATCCTTAGTATCATTCACTACAGATGATACTTCAAACAAGCTATGACTTAATGAGATTGGGTTTTTCTTCCTATTAATTCTTGTAGACTATACATTTAGATAACAAATTCTATATTTTCAAAACTTAATTATACAATTCAGTTCTGATACCCTACTTAAAATTTCAATAACTGAAGAGATCTAAAAAAAGCTATGTTCATGAGCAAATAAAAATATGCATCAGTTTAATAAAACAGGATCTTAGATTTGGTCAATACTTTATATTCTAGCAAATATTAAAAAGTGGAATCTTATAGCACGTAACAGATTATCTTTTAAAAGTACAAATTCATTCTGATTATAAATCAACTCTATTCTTTCCTAAAATATTTGGCAAAAAAAACCTCTTAATTTTTCAACCTTAAAACCTGTCCCTTCCACTATTTTTGCCATCTCAGTTAAATAGCACAATCTAATTACAGAGGTAAACACCTTGAAACCATCCCTGACTCCTTTCCTTTCAACTCACATGTAATGCATCAGCAAATCTTGTTGGCTCTACATTCAACATATATCCTAAATTTGACCACTTCTCATCTACTCTTTTGAATCACTGTTACATCTCATCTGAATATATGCAACAGCCTTTTCAATGTTTTGCTTGCTTCTTTACTTAGGAATCTATACTCTTTTCTCTCAGATCATGTCACCTGTAAGTGGTAAAATCCTTCACAAGCTCCTCCTCATTAGACATTCAAAATTCAAAGTCTTTCCACAAACTTCTAGAAGACCCTAATGATCCAGTTTGTAGGCTACCTCTCTGACCTCATCTGTGTAGTACAATCTACCTCATACACTCCACTCCAGCCACACTGATTTCCTGGCTGGCCTTCAAACATACCAAACATAATCCAGTGTTGGGGTATTTGTACTTTCTATTCTTTCTTTCTAGAATATTCCCTCCATATATATTTATATAACTTGTTCCTTCATATTATTCATGGCTCTGCTCAAATGTTACCTTATCAGAAAATAACCGTAACAACCCATCACTATCCTTTTAACTCCTGCCTTTAATAGCCTTTATTGTTTCCTGATATTATATTACATACATATATATTTTTACATACATATTTTTCCTGTGACTATCTGTTTCCCCCTCTTGATATAAGCTTCATGAGAGCAGGTCTTACCTCTTTTATCAGCACTGTAACCCCAGCACCTAGAATAGTATCCAACTTATAACTATTCAATAAACACTTAAATGAATGAAACTCAAACCAGGTAACTAGAATAACAAAATCATCAATTTTTTAACAAAAGACATACCATCATATTCTTTTTGAATAAACTTTTCCAAGCTGATTAAAATTTGCTCCCTGTTGTGTTGTTCAGAGAAAGGTGGTGATAACTCATCTAAATTTAAAAAGAAAAAGAAAATCTGAAAGAATCTCCAATTTTTTACCCTAAAAACTTCACTTGAATTTCTTTATTTGTTAACTTCTAAGAATATTACAATCATAAATGTTACCAGGGAAGAAAGGGGCAGAAGAACAGCAAAATAAATGATTTTTATAAATCTATATACATTTCACATAATTTTCTTTATAAAACACCTACAAAATATATTTACTCCTACATATTATTTAATATTGTTTTCTTCAGACATTCTACTCTCTCCCATATACAGGCTTGTTTTAACCTCCTGGTAGATTCATACTCTACTGTTACACTAGGCACCTAATCCATTCAAATCTAACAGTTGCCACAAATGCCTGGTCAAAATGCACATCTTCCATATAAGCTGCCTAATCAGTCTTCAAAGACCTTTCCCTAACTAAATTTCCTTAGCTCTCCACACTGCTTGCCAGTTTAGTTTGCAGTGTCCTTTCAGTTTTCTAGTCGTTTCATATATGTTCATCTTATTTTTCTAAATAAGACCATAGACATATGTAAGTCTTTCCCCAAAATATCTTTCTAACCTTATCTCCCTCTGCTGCCTTTCTTATACCTTACCAAATCTAAGGCAATTATTCTCCCAAGTTAAACTCCCTTTGTTTTTATGCATAATCTTCTACATCTGAAAATGCAGTTCAAGGTCCAACTCAAATGCCATATCATTAATTACAATTCCTCTGATATATCCGAGTTAAAATTGTATTTGCACTGCATTTTGTTTACTACTACTATAGCATGTAACACATTCTGCTTCCAATTACGGCAATGTTCATACATGTCATTACATCCATCTAGAGCAGCACTGTGTAAAAACACTGCAATGGTAAAAATGTTCTTTATCTAGACTGTCCAATACAATAGCTACTAGAACACATGCAGCTCTTCAGTACTTGAGATGTAGCTAATATAACTGAGGAACTTAACTCTTCATTTCTGTGGCTATTTAAATTTAAAATTAATTTAAATTTAAATAGTCACATATAGCCAGTGGCTATCATATTAGACAGCACAAATCCAAAGTCTAAGCTCCTTAAAAGTAACACATACAGACTCTGTATTCCCCTTGCCATTCACCACAGTGCCCTGCACTCAGTAGGCATTTAGTAAATATCTACAGCTGGATCTCTAAACTATTGAAAAACTTCTACCAAAACAAATGTAAACAAACCATATTTAAATAAGAAAAAAGATATTCAAAATCTAAGAAAAAAACTAGTGTCAGTAGTTCTAATAATAAAAGACTTACCAAAACATCTTTTACACACTAAATCAAGTATTTCCCGAAATCTACTTGTCATTGGTGGCAGAGGTTTTAGATCAATTTTCCTGAAATCCTCCGGGCAATCATTTTTTGAATGGCCATCCTTTTTGCAGATGCTGCATACTATAGTTGGTGGCTATACAAGAAAGGCAAAAAATAATCTAATCTAAGAAACTATTGAGGGACTTGATCATTACTTAAAAAGCAGATCCAAAAAGAATTATTTTATGTAGCTCAGGTCTGATAACCTGTTCTTTCAGGGGGTTGGGGAGAATGGGGGAAGCATGTTAACAAAACACATTGTTAAATGTAAGAAATATATTTTGAGCCAACCACTTTAACTTTCTTCCCTACTAAATTGGTATTATCAAGGATTAGCTTTACCTGAAGATGTAAAATAAAATAACAAGCGATGAAAAAGGTATGGATTAATTCAAACAGTTTGATCAGCCTCTAAATCAAATACATGGATTACAATTTAACCTACTAAGATCCTTAACAAACTAGATAACAATCATACGTCACTTAACAATGGGGGATATTTTCTGAGAAACGTATCATCAGATGATTCTGTAATTTTGCAAGCATCATAGGGCACACTTACACAAACCTAAATGGTATAGCCTACCATACACAAAGGCTGTACGTTATAGCCTATTGTGCCTAGGCTATGAGTCTGTACAATATGTTACTGTAATGAATAATGTAGGTAATAGCCAACTTATTGTCATTTGTATATCTAATCATAGAAAAAGTACAGTAAAACAGTAAAAATGTGGTATAAAAATGTGTGTGAGTGTGTATTTGGAGGGCAAGAGGAGGGCTGTGGATTGAGGCACCATTGGAGGGAGAATGGACATCAGAAGGAAGGGGGGGAAGGAGGAGAAAGGGAGAAGAGAGCAGAGATTGAAAGAGACTGAGAAAGCCTGAGATGAGAAATTATAAAAGTGGGAGGGAGAGGGAGGAGACGGAGAGAAGAATTGGACTGGCAGGAAAGAGATAAAGAGAATGAATGTGTGTGCAGGAAAGTGTGTGTGCACATGTACATGTGCTTACATGAGTACACCAGTGTGTGCAGGGGCTGGGGCAGGCAGCCCTCGGCTCCCTCTTCCCCAGCTCTAGCTCCCTCTCCAACTCCAGCCCCAGCAGTGGCCTGGCACACAGCTGGTAGACAGCAATTTGAGAGGCTCCTCTAAGCCACCCAGCACTAGCAGTAAATTCAACACTATAGTCAAGTTCAACCTTTTCTTTCCACATTGAAAATAACCTTTTTGTTGTTTATCATCTATTATAATGTTACGGGATCATCAGTGTAGTCCACTGTTAACTAAAAATCATTATATGGTATATGATTGTATAAAAAGTTTCAAGAAGCTACTTTCATTTCACACTAAACATTTTTACATTCAGAAGCAATCAATCAAAAAACCCACGCCTGCCTAGTTGGCTCCATTTATTACATTAGCATGGTACTCGAGAAACCAAACTATAAAGCTGAATTCTAAAAATAAATTAGCTCCATACAAGGAACAACTCTTATGCAATATCCACAAACTTAACCTCAAAACCTATACCATCACTTGGTTTATGCATGATCTATATAATCAGCATCCTGGGTGCTGGTAATATTTTAATTATGTATACTGCACTTGAAGCAATGTGACATAGCTAAAACATTTTTATTAACAAAACAGTTACTGCTTTTGTTCTGTTCATCAGGGCATTTTATTTTCTATAATTTATCAAGTTAAAGTTCAGAGTCTGCCACTTGAAAAGTAGGTAAATTAAGATTCCTGTAATTTATAAGGGATATATCAAAATGCAAAGAGAAGCTCAATGGCAGAGAAAAAGAATCTGGATTCTTCATATTTTTGGATCATTCAACTATCTTTAACAGGTTTATATTTCCCCCACCCTGCAATCTCCTGTGCCCCTCCCCAAAAAAGCCTCTTTAAAATAGAATACTATTATATTATAGCTCTTGTATTCTCATTTGTAAGGGGAAAATAATCATTGGGTATTTTAAAAAAGCACAATTTAAAATATATGATAGCTTTGCCAAATTGATTTTCATAAAATATCTAATGAATTCGTTCATATATAAGAAAGTGAAGCAAATCAACTAGTAATAGAGTGCAGAAACTTCCTGGTGTTTTACATATATTCTTTAAAGGCCACTATTAGCAATAATGCAGCAAAATTAAAATATATACCAAAATATAATTCCAAAACAATTGTCTACACCATCATAGAAGCTATTTTTACATTCCTAAATCTACAAACTATAAAAACAGAGCCATACAACAACCATAACATCTTACAGATTGTTGGCAAACTGTATCCTACCTTGCCAGATGTTAAAATAAACTTATCAAACACATAATGTAATTCCTGGGTGGGGTGGTTATCATCATCATTAAGGTCAGAAGCATCTTCTCTGGCTTTGCAGTTGCAAGAGGTAGCAGATGTGTCGGTGCACACAATCTGATGTGAATTCTCTGTTTCTAAATGTGACCTGCAGTCTGTACCAACAGATTCATTTAGGTCAGAGAATTTATAATCAGTGCAATTACACTGGCTGAGCTCCTTGTTTGAACAAGCTTCAGAAGGTGCTAAATCATCTTGTTTCTTAATTGATTTTGGTTCTAATTCACTGCCTTCATTGGCAGAAAGAGATGAAGATTCCTGTCCATGTTCAGCCAAAACTAGTTCATTTACCAACAAACTATCATCTTCAGTAATACATCTCTGTGATGTACATTTCATTTCATGATGTTTTTCAGGTTGACCTCTTTCTGCATTTACTTTTTCTGTGCTTTCCCCAAGTTGAATGCAACAATTAGATGTCATATTCTCAGACTTCATTAGTTTCTTATTACTTATTTTCCCCTTCTCTTTTTTCACAGAATCTGCTGTCGATTTCTCTGCACCCTTCTTCTGAGGACAGGCAAAGTATCGATAAGCTGCCCTGAATCTCTCCACAACATATTCATAAACAAGCTGGCTGTTTAAACTCCGTGCAACATTCCTCTTGACTGAAAATGGATCTAATAAAAAAGAAAATGGTCAGTAGCTAGGTATCTACTAACAAACAATATTTCTAAGCTTATATGAATAAATGTGAACTGCTAGATTGTGAGCAGAGTACATTTTCCTAAAGTTTTTTTAAACTGAAGTTCCAATGAGACTTCCTGCAAAGTGAGTAGGGGAAATACAATAGCAACATCTTTTCCTGTCATGAACTAAAAAACCTTTTAGAAAAGAAATAAAAGAATAATAATAAGGTAATGAGAGAACTGTTGAGAAACCCAACTCAGTAATTACAAAGTTTCAATGACGAAACTGCTGGAAACAGCTATTATGCCAATATGCCTCCCTACAGTGTCCTTGAATGAAATTTTTCAAGCTCCTGGAACCCATTACTAATTTTCATTGTTATAGTACTCTTTAGTTACATACTCTTAGCAATTTAAACAAACAAAATATGAGCTAAACTCTCAAAGCTTCAAGTTAAAAAGTGATTTTAAGATTTAACTTTAATGAAATCAGAAAATTTAAGTGAGAAAGGAGAAACAGAAAAGTAGGAACAGACCTAAGAAAGTAAAAATTAAACCAAAATTTAAATTTTGATCCAATCTAAAATGGTGGCTATGTTGAAAAGGCTTACACCAACTCATACTTCTGAAAACATTTTTTATCCTCAACCAAGGACATTTTTTCATTGCTTTTAGAGAGAAAGGAAGGGAAAGAGAGATACATCAATGTAAGAGAGAAACATCAATCAGCTGCCTCCAATAGATGCCAAGACCAGGGATCAAACCTGCAACCTAGATACATGCCCTGACTGGGAATGGAACCTGCAACTTTTTGGGTACAGGACAATGCTCCAACCAAACCACACTGCGTGGGGCGGTTTTTGAATTTCATAAGCCTTAAATACAAATATGCCAAGGAAAAAAGGACAGTACCATTCAAAAAACAGTACACATTTTTTCCACTGCTGAAGATCATTAAGTAAAAGAATTAATTAACAGGCCAGGACTGTGATGGTTGAAGCATCTGTTACTTTTTGCTTTTATCTAAATACAGCCTTTAAAAAGCTTTTCCTGACATCTTTCCCCCTTTCAGAAGAAAAAAAAAGAAGAGAAATTATGATGGCTGAATGTTTCAGAGCTCATTTATTTCCTATGTGTAAGAGAGCGTAAGACGTGAGGACATGCTTGAGTGTACGAGTATATTTGTGAGTTCAAATCACACGAGAGAAGGCCAGAAGAGAATTGAGGGAATATGTAACCTAAACAAATTAAAATGACAAACAAATTAAATTTCCTACCTCTAAAATATAGGTAAAATATTGTGGAATTTATATTTTTGATTAAGAATTTAGAAGCCATTCTACTAATTTCTGTATTAAAGATCTCAATGTTCTCAGGATTTGATGTGAATCCTGATTTGTTAACATCAACTGTTTTTTTTTTCTTTAGCTCAGTCACATTTTAATAGATGAGGTCATTAGCAGAAAATAAAAGCTGGACTTTAAAATTATACTTGAGAAATTTTATGACACAAATTTCTCCAAAAAAATCTTGTAGTAGTCATGTAATTGTTCTATTTTTCTATGTTTGAAAATTCCCATAATTAAAAATTAAAATAAAGACATATAAACAAGCTAATAACCCTACCAATATAATATTTACAGATCGGCAACATTTAAATGAGTATTAATCCTATAAACTATAATGGACTTGATAAGGTATTTATCTAATGTACAATGACAACCTAGAGGCATATACACTGTTACAAAGCCAAGGGATAAAATCTATAACACTGCATTAAAACAGAGGATGAGTAGCATACAAAAATTATTCTCCAAATGAAATATATCTTACCTTCAATGGCAATTCGCCTTTTAGGCCAGTTTTTGTTTTCTCTTGTTAAAATATCTTTTATCCGTACACATATGACATATTCTTCCAAAGCAAAATCCAGTGTGTAAAATTTTAGCAGCTCTAACCATAACTGTCCCAGAGATACCTGATTTGGTGCTTCTAATGTTAAAGGAGACTGGGGAAAAAAATACTTTTCATTTAGGCTTCACAAAACTAAAGAACTATTTACTTTTCAGTTTTAAAAAACCTTAGAGATCAGTTCTTCAAAAAATGGGCATAAAGAAGCAACTTGCTAAAAGCAGTTTGAGGCACTGCTGTAAACAGAGTCCCAGTTTACTGACTCCTAGAATTTTGTGTTCTTTCCACTAGAACAGTGATTCTCAACCTTCGCTGCACATTAGCATCACAGTGGAAGTACTAACATACACTAGTACCTGAGTTACACACCACTCCCACATCCAATACCCATCCCAAAATTCTGATTCAACTGGCCAGGCTATGAACTGGAATTGGGATTTTTAAAGCTCCCTAAGTGATCCCGATGTCCAAGGTTGCAAACCATAGCATAACAATCACCACAGCTTTTCACAGCAATAATTACTTTTAAAATCTTATGTAAATGCCCAGGGCTTGCAAAAGCTAATTCCTTCATTTGCCAAATATTTATTTAGAACCTACTATGTCCCTGGCATTGTGTTAGGAATATAAAAAAATGAGAGGTCACACTTACACATAATGCTCACCATGCATCATTCATTCTTTTAAATACTGTGCATATAATTACTAATTCTAACAACTTTATAAAGTTGTTATATGGGAAAAAATTTTATATGGCAAAAATTTGACCCAGGACCACCTACCTGGGTCCACGTTGCTAATCACTATAACATACTGCCACTCAAATAAGGTGAGTAGACTACTTCATGGACTATTAGGAGAATAGACAATTTAGCAATTACAGTAAAGGCTGTGTGCTAAAATAGGGCTGTAACTGGGGAGTCGTAACAGAAGAGGTAATACCTGAATTCTAAAGAAATTAGCTAAAGACTGACTAAAAGTGACCACTCAGGAAAATAAATGCATGAAGCATTTATTCACTCATTCAATTCTACAACTATTCACTGAGTATCTACTGATGTGCCAGGCACATGAGTCCCAGTTTACCGACTTCCACAGATCCGTGAAAGAAAACCCAAAGATCCTTGCCTTTGTGGAGCTCACTTTCCAGGGGAAGGACACAATAAACAACAAACTTATTAAGTAAATGCCACAGTAACAGAAGAAAAGTGCTGTGGATATTTTTTAAAAGTTTAGTAAAGGACATGGGTATATGGGAGCAGGAGGTTTCAATGTTAACTAGAGTGGTTAGGGTAAGACTTGTTGAGAAGGTATATTTGAAGAAAAAAGAAGTATGATCTAGTAACAGGAAACACAGCATACACATTAGAGGAGGAGTGTGACCAGCTTTAAAAAGAAAACCAATAAACCTAGTATGGTAAAGAAAGGGGAAGAAAAGAAGAGGAAAACAAAAAGCTAGCCAGTAAGATCTCCTTGGCTTCTATTCTAAATTAAATGAGGAGCAACTGAAACCATTTGAGTGTGGGGAGGGGGGAGGGCATGATTTGACTTAAGTTTTGGAAGAGCCATTATGATCACTGTCTTAAGAACAGACTATAAGGGGCAAGAGTAGATGCAGGGAAACTTACGACATTATGGTAGCAGTCCCAACCACAGATGATGGTAGCTAGGGCCAGGATGGTTAACAGTGGAGGTGGTGAGAGGTGGTCAAATTCTGGGTATTTTGAAATTGAGATGACAGAACTGCCTGGCATGTTTCATATGGGGTGTAACAGAGAGAAATAATGGATGACTCCAATGTTTTTGACTATAAGCACCTCTAAGGATACAGTGCCATCAACTGAGATGCTTCTGGAGGACCCAATCCATAGATATTCAACTGTGGTTCTCTAGCACTCAAAATAATGCCTGGGATGTAGAAAGTCCTTAATAAATCAATGCTGAATGATTAAATAAGCAAGCCACCCCCTAAAGGACCACAGGGCCCTTATTTCTCCACCAATCTGACAACCTAATTCTCATATGCTAAAGTTTTGGTTACAGACCAATTCCTGAAGGAAATTTTGTGTAAATAAAAAATATCCAAAGAATTAATATGACATGATTCAAACAACAAAAGCCTCCTAAAATGAGCTGTAAATTCATTAGAGAATCTTGACACTGAAAAACCAAACCAGATCAACTCTTCACTTTATAGATGAAGAAAATGGAGGCCAAAAGGCTTACTCAAAGTCAGTCAACCTACTATTAAAATGGTTTCAATCAAAGATATCACAAATTCTACAGATAGAAAAGCAAACAAACAAAAAAAGAGCTTACTTTGCCATGTTTTCCCTTCATGGCACTGCTTTGGTTGTCCATTTCTGTCTTCTTGGTATCATCTTTTAGTTGCTCTGCCTTAGCTTTGTTTTCCTCAGCAACTGAGGTTTTCTCAGTTGCACTACTTGGATTATATTCCCACTTCACAAACTTGTCTTCTACTATGCCCTTCAGCTGAAAGTCATCCATTCTTTTTGGGTCAAAGCCTTCGATCTATATAAAAAGGCATTCCAAATTGGTAGTGAAAAAACAAATTATTTTAAAAGATGGACAAACAGAAAACCAGAATGCCCACTTAAATTGTTTAAACAGAGTACTCTGCAAGAGCAAACTACGTGTCACAAAACTCATGCTTACCCAACTTCCAAGTAAACAAGGAAGCAGAGGTGGTTTTCTTTGTTGTAGAAAAAACATCACCATTAATGCAAAACAGTAAGAAGGAATTCCACCATCAGTCTGGGAGTCAATATAGCACAACTGCAAAATGACAAGAAAAAAGTATCACCATTTATTTTAAAGATTTTAATTTATTTTTAGAGAGGGGGGAAGGGAGGAAGGAAGAGTGGGAAACATCAATATGTGAAACATCAACTGGCTGCCTTCTCACACACCCCCCAACCAGGGACTGGGCCCACAACCCAAGCAAGCTTCCTGACCAGGAATGAAACTGGCAACCTGACACTCACCAACTGAGTCACACTGGTCAGGGCTCACCATTTATTTTAGCTTTCTTTAATTTTCTCTGTTTCCCTCACAACAGAAGTAGCTTTTTTGCTACCATAATCATTGTAAAAAGTGTAAGTATATAATTATATAAATATATAAAAAATACAAGAGATGACCTAAAATCTCACCAACCTAAAATAATTGCTGACATGTTGGTGACTATTTTTCCATTCATTTTTTATTGCATATAAAGACATATATACATTTTAGTTAAATGGAGTATCATACAACGTGCTTTTACTGTGGACACCTTTCACAAATATTATTTTCATCTTGCTTCTATTCTTTATGTTAATAATCTTCTAAGTAGCCCATGCCTTCCTCTATACTCAAATAATTATATATAAACATATATATTTTTTATATAAATACAGAAATGATTTTGTTTTACCAAAATTTTTTACTATACATATCTCCATGTATTACTCTTTTCCATTAAAAAAAGCATTGAGAAAAGGCCTTGTAAGTCAATTAGTACAACTCTAAAACATTCTTTTAAATGGTTATAGTCTATGATCTACCTGGTTACTCAATAGTTCCTCCATCCAAGTACATTTGCACTTTGTTCTCAGTTTTTTCTACTTTAAACAGTGCTGTAATACTTATCCTTATACATATTTTCTAAGTACTGGTACTTATGAGCTAAATTCCCAAGAATGTATTTACTGGATTAAAAATTTGTGATGTATTTCAATTCCAACATTGTAGGATTTCAAAAACTGTCAATAGGATGAGTGACATGTCTGTTTACTGCCATTTGAATTTGCTCTTTTCTGAACAGCTTATTAAACCCTGTGGCAGGTTTTCTATTTTTATACATTACATATCAATTCATATGTTCTTTTTCATCACACCCTGTAGATCTGGTACATGCATTTGAAAAAAATGTTATTTTTCCCAGTATGTTTTTCTTTTGACATTATTTATGATACCCTTTACCACATAAAATGTAGTTAAATATGCTTATCTTACACAGCTTCTAGGTTTCCTGTCACAGTAAAAAAGGTTTCCCCAACCCACAGGTCATATATATATTCTTTTTTCTTAAATTGTCCTTTAAAACTTTGATTTTTTTCATTCAAGTGGAATTTAGTTTTGCATTCGGTGTGCTAAGGGTCCAATATTTTCTTCAAGAAAGATACAGTTGTGATGGCACCATTTATTAATTATACCACTGCTTTATCATGAAAATAAAAACTTTTTCTTTTTTTTTTTAAAGATTTTCTTTTTAAGAAGGGAGGGGAGGGAGGAAGAGAGGAAAAGCAACATTAATGTGTGAGAGAAACATCAACAGGTTGCCTCTCACACACCCCCACCAGACACCTGGCCTGTAACCCAGGCATGTCCTGACTGGGAATCAAACCAGCTACCCCTCAGTTCAACTCACTGAAACACACCAGCCAGGGCTCTTTTATTTTTTCATACATTAAAATCTCATTTACACTAGGGTCAATTTTGTGGCTTCCTATTCTATTTCACAGATCTATCTGTCTATTCCTATGCCAATGGTATACACTTAAATAAATCGGTTTTATAGTGGTAAAGTAGGTCCCCTGTTACTAGTCTTCTCTGAGTTCTTTTCACTCTTCTCAAACATTTTTTCTTCCATACTAATTTTAAGATAATTTTATCAACTTTTTAAAAACTCTTGGTAATTCCAGTTAAAATTACTGTACATTTGAAAATTAACTTAAAGAGATTTTACATTTTAAGGATACCATCTCCCTCTCCAAGAACCTGGCATCTTTTCATTTTCCAAAAATTCAGGAGTTGTCATCAATTACTCGCTTCCCCTCAACCCTCATATCCAATGCCTCTACCAGTCCTGCCTCCAAAACTTATCCCAAATCTACTCTGCTTCAAATCTACAGTTATCCATGAATAATTTGTCCCCACATACTATGATTTATGCTATTGGTTAGGTACTTTTTTCTTCTGTTTCACTCACCTTAGCCCAATAGCGAAAGGCTAACACCAAGGGAATAAAGACAGGTTCTGTTTTGCCAAGAGCAGCAAGCAAATCAGTAGTGAGGCATGCCATATCATTTCCTGCACTCACTCTACAAAGTAAGTCACTGTGAATGAGAAAAAAACAAATTTCACTGTATTAATACTTTAATACATGAGACTACTTCAAATCCTATAGCTATCCTTTCCAGTCACCATATTTTAACACCTAAGAAGCCAAAATAAAAACAAATGTTTTAATAAACTTAAGAGCCAACTGAAAACTATGTATCAGTTCCATCACTAGCATTCCATATAAATTAAAAATGTTTTAAATGTTCATTTGTACTTCACAAATAAATTTCTACTTCATTTAGTATTTCAGTTCATGGGAAATTATTTTCAAAAGCATTATAATTCACCAAAATTTGATTTATGAGAAAAGACATTGATGTTGTCAATGTCAGGTAGTACAACATAGCTTCCTAATACATTCTTTTTGCTTTGTACATGATAAAAACAAAAAATGAAATTCTGGACTAGCTGGACTTCTTAACTCTAATTTTTTCCTAAGTTTCCATAACTGATGTGCTATTTTTAGATAAGAGAATAGAACGGATTTACCCTATTGACCCACAAGTAATGCTTATTATATGTAAGTGAAAATAGGAGCTACCTTAAATGAGGTAACAGAATTATAGTGGAGGTATTTTAGTGACAGAGAAGAATGTGCTATATTTTGCCACATATAACACACACTTTTTTACCCAAGTTTTTTTTTCCAAGATTGTGTTTGTTTATTTTTAGAGAGAAAGGAATGGGGGGAAAAAACACCAATGTGTGTATGGTTGCCTCTCGCACGCCCCATATTGTGGAGCTAGCCCACAACCCAGGTATGTCCCCTGAGTAGGAATCAAACCAGTAACATTCTAGTTCACTGGCTAGCATTCAATTCACTGAGCCACAACAGCCAGGGGTGCCCAAATTTTTTAGAGAAAAATAAGAATACGCATTATACATAGGTAGTACCTGAAATACCCTGTATCTGTTCTTGTGTTTTGTAATTATTTGTTACATAAAATCTCTTATACCTCTCTGGCTGGAGTGGCTCAATGGATTGAGTGTTGACCTGAAAACCAAAAGGTCACTTGTTTGATTGCCAGTCAAGGCACGTGTCTGGGTTGCAGGTCTGGGTTGGGAGCATGGGACAGACAACAATCACTGTATCTTTCACACATTAATGTTTTTCTCCCTCCCTCTCCTGTCCTGTAAAAATAAATAAAGATCTTTTTTAAAAACTATTAAAAATTTCTTCTCCCATAGTATGTTAAAAATTAAATGCTAAAAGTTCTTTATAATACAAAAACAAGCATCTAAATATAAATGAATAAAAAATTGAGTTAGAGGACTTCCACCAAGATGGAGGCATAGGTGGAAGCACTGTACCTCCTCCCACAACCAAGTTTAAAAACAACAAACTTTTAGCAACAAAAACACATCCAAAGCCACAGAAAACTGAACTTCACGGAAATCTGACAACAACGAGCCCTTCAACCAAACCGGTAAGAAGGGCAGAGCCAGCAGCAGAGCAAGGTTGGGCAGGAAAGATCCATAAACCAACCCGGGCACGCGACCAAGGCCTGCCAGCAGCCGTAGGCGGATCCCAGGTGTGGAGAAGTGGGCGGACCCACTGAGGGCCCAAGGCAGCGGACTCACTGAGGGCTGACCACAGTCACACATTTGCGCGCAGATAAACCGGTGAAGGAGGGAGCAGTGAGACAGACCTGCAGGCCCCAGTGGTAGGAAGCGGCAGAGGGGACCACCACTGTCCCTCTCTGACCCCGCCCCCACCTACAGCGTCACCACCCAGCAACCTGGGTGGCCCTGCCCTGGTGAACAACTAAGGCGCCTCTCCTCATACCTAACAGGCACGAACAGGTCAAAACATGGCTCTAGAACAACTTAGAGCCCCAGAGCCGATAAATCTAAGTGATGAAGAAATAGCCAAACTTTCAAATGCACAGTTCAAAACACTGGTGATCAGGATGCTCACAGAACTGGCTGATTTTAGTCACAAATTAGAGGAACATACGAAGGCTAAACTAATTGATATGAATGGAAATGCACAGGCAACCAACAGTAATGGAAAGGAGACTGGGACTCAAATCAAAGGAGTGGACCAAAAAGAGGAAAAAAATGACCAAACAGAAAAATATGAAACAAAAATTCAAAAAAAATGAGGAGAGGCTTAAGAACCTCCAGGACATCTTTAAACGTTCCAACATCTGAATTATAGGGGTAGCAGAAGGGGAAGAGGAAGAGCAACAAGTGGAACACTTATTTGAACAAATAATAAAGGAAAACTTCCCCAATCTGGCAAAGGAAATAGGCTTCCAAGAAATCCAGGAAGCTCAGAGAGTCCCAAAGAAGTTGGACCCAAGGAGGAACACACCAAGGCACATCATCATTACATTAGCCAAGATTAAAATGAAGGAGAGAATCCCAGAAGCAGCAAGAGCTAAGGGGACAGTCACCTACAAAGGAGTTCCCATCAGACTGTCAGCTGATTTCTCAAAAGAGACCTTACAGGCAAGAAGGGGCTGGAAAGAAGTATTCCAAGTCATGAAATCCAAAGACCTACATCCAAGATTGATCTATCCAGCAAAGCTTTCATTTAGAATGGAAGGACAGATAAAGTGCTTCTCAGATAAGATCAAATTCAAGGAGTTCATCATCACCAAGCCCTTATTATATGAAATGTTAAAGGGACTTATCTAAGAAAAAGATAAAAAAAGATGAACAGTGAAAGGACAGCAAACTCACAGTTATTAAGAACCACACCTAAAACAAAAGCAAACTAAGAAGACAGCTAGATCAGGAGCAGAACCATAGAAATGAAGATCACATGGAGGGTTAGCAACAGGGGAGTGAGAGAAGGAGAAGTGGGGAGAAGGTACAGAAAATAAGTAGCATAGATGGCAGGTAGAAAATAGATAGGGGGGAGAGCAAGAATAGTAGGGGAGATATATAATCTAAAGAACTTGAGACACATGGGCATAAACTAAAGGGGGGAATGGTGGGGGAGGGGGTGTGCAGGGTGGAGGGGAATGAAGGGGGGAATAGAACAACTGTAATGGCATAATCAATAAAATATATTTTTAAAAAATTGAGTTAGAAAGTTAAAATGAAAGCTTTTTTTCCCTGAAAGTCTGGGCCAAAAACATAGGTACACATTAAACACAAGAGCACATTATACACAGCAAAATATGGTATCTGAGATTGCCATGTAGAGGCAATTAAGATACGGTGTGATGAAAAAAACACTAGCAGTCAAAATACTTCCAATTCCAATTCTGATTTTCCCCTAAATGATGTAAATTTAGACAAGTCACTTATTGTCCCTCCAGGTCTCAATCTTCTAATTTAGAAAAAAGGGAATTTGAACTAGACCTCCCATAGATGCTTCTAGTTTTGAATAAGAAAATAAAAGAAATCTTAAAATATAAAATATAGAGGTTAATAATCAATTAAAGAACACTTTATTATTTCTGTAATGTTTCCAGGTCTCCCACATTCACCTAAAATAATTTTAATTTCCTTTTTCCAAGGTACTTTGCTCTCTTAATACTACAGACATCTGACTAGAAAAAAAATCACTGAATTAGTCTTCAATGATTTATTCAATTTCAGTGAACAAAAACCTAGAGTCTGACAGACTGTGAGCTCCTTGAAAAGAGAGACTATTTCTCATTTATGTTTGTATCCCCACAGAAAAGCATCACCTAACATAAAATAAATGTTCAACACAGTTGGGTGAATAAAGGTCTTCCTCACAGTGTTTTATTTTTAACTGTCTTGTTCTGTTTGTTTTTCACATGCTTTTAGTAAGGCTGCTACTTTTAATAAGCAGACATTTGCTTGGTCATATTAATCCAAGGAGAAACCTAAAATAAAAATTTTCTCTCTTAGAGATGTTCACTGCATATTTGGATGCTGTCATTATTTAAAAAAATACTTTTATTTCTTCTTCATTGTTACCAACCTTTTCCGATCTTTGCACACCACAACAGGAACTTTAGCGTGAAAATCAGATTCCACATCTATATATAACACTAAGAAATAAAATAAAACAAGTAAGCTAATGTTAACATCTCTAAAATGTTTACTCTATAGTGAAAATTAAGGAATAGTTTCCTTCTAAGTATCACTCTCATTGCTTCTGTGGGGCTATCCACTCTTCCTGTTATGAGCATCAACCCAATAGAATCTCTTACCTCACACAGTCCCAAATACTGTCTGAAAATTATAATCATCTTAAAAGGAAAAGTTTTAACATCTCTAAAAGTTTGAATATATCCAAGTAAGTATATAATCTAGTCAAAGTTGTTAAACCAGTTTTTCATAAATATAGCAAACAGAAGGCACCACTTACTTCAAGGGCGATTTCCACAAGAGACGTGAAATAAGAACCTACAGTGCTGTGAAAATTTAGTTCTTCCAAATATCCATACAAGTGAAAGACTAACTCTGCTGGCTCCATTCCCCATAAACATATGAAGAGTCTGCCCAATTAGAGCTCCTAAGGAAGGACTAAGAAGGTAAAACACACTTCCACTCTTAAGTCCATCTCTACATCTCCAAGGCAGGCCCCATGCCATAAATGTCTAATCTGAATACAAACAGATGCATTAACATTATTTCTTTTTGAAGTTCAAAGAAAATATCTTAGTAGTACTTGTTGGAATTACTAATTTATTTTTTTTAATTTGCTGAAGACCTCTATGTCAGGAGTTGAATTATGCTTAATATATTGTGAATAAGACACAAAGAACTCAAATCAAGGGTTTGAAAAATATATAAACAAATCCTATAGGAGGTCTTAAAAGATTACAATGAACACATAAAAGAAGAAACAATCAATCTTATAATCTGACTGCATTTAGTATACCTATGTTAGTTATGTGACTTTAAAGGTAATCAATCTATTCACGTATTTTAGTGGGAAAAAAATATTTAAAAATTTTTGCTAGGTTGATACTTTCCAGCAAGTCTGAAGAGGTAAAAGCTCTGTATTTACCTCTGATCAGTAAGATGCTTTAGGGACAGGTATTAAGAAATAAAACAATATTAAAATACCTTTACAACAGTGACTTTCAACATTTTTTATCTCATGGCATACATAAACTAATTACTAAAATTCTGTGGCACACCAAAAAATATATTAACTTTTTGCCAATCTGACAGAAAAAAGGGTATAATTTTGATTGATTTACAAAAAAAAAGTAATAGTAATTACCTACCCTTTTTGCTCCCAAGTGACTTTTTAAAAAATCAGGTGCCTATGCTTCTATACAAGGTTTTATAATACCAAGAATTAACCAATCACATGCAAACTTATTATACAACATGAATAGTAAAATGCAACTCTATTATATGACCTATATTTATGGTTCAAAGCAGGGCACTCACACCGGAGTGCTGTTGTTGTGTTGGCTGTTTTCATCTTTTACTATGACAATCTAAAAGAAAAGAGGTCAGTGCTCCTAATAGGTACTGCATATTTTAAAAATTCTTGTGGCACACTGGTTGCAAACTGCTGATTTATAAGATAAATGGGCCCCTAAAACTCACTTCCCAGAAAAGTGGCCAACAAGAAACTGATAATGGAGATCTAAGGAAGCAGAGAGAAAGAGAAAGGAAGTTTAGAACTGATAATTAGAGCCAATGGGAGTATAAGACTAAGGTCAATAAGCCATCCCTTCTAAGTTAAACTGCAAGCATTTTTGCCAGTTACTTTAACTTAAAATCTAAAATGACAATAGTAATAATAAAGATCACAGCAGCAGAAATTTACTAAGTTACTGTATAGTAGGCACTTTTCTAAACTATTTTCTAATCCATTTCACCCATACGACTTCCTCAGAAAAAAGAGAGCATGAAAAAAAAAGAGAGAGAGAGAGCATGAGCCCTGGCTAGTGTAGTTCAGTGGATTGAGCATGGGCCTGCGAACCAGATAATTACAGTTCGATTCCCAGTCAGGGCACATGCCTGGGTTGCAGGCCAGTTCCCAGCAAGGGACACATGAGAGGCAACCACACATTGATATTTCTCTCCCTCTCTTCTTCCCTTCCCCTCTAAAAATAAATAAATAAAATCTTTGAAAAAAAGAAGAGAGCATGTTATTGCCATTTTACAGATGAGAAAACCAAAGCTTTAAATAACTCATCATTAACATTAAACATTAAAAAAACATTAAATAACTCATCAAAAACATATAACCAGCAAGTGACAGAACTAAAATCTGTGCTTAGAAAGTCTGGCTCCAGATCTTTAACTCTTAAGCACTTACTTCCTAACAAGAAAAACAGTAAATAAAAACCAAGAAAAAATATTATAGATTGTATTACATAACCTTGAGGCCTGGTTTGGGACACCTGTAATTTAAAATTTTTTTATTTTAAAAGTATTTTGACCTATGTGAATGTCCTTTTTACATTTAAAAAAATCCAGACATATAAGGCACAGAAGAAAACTTACTAAGCATTTGGCTGGTATGATATAAATGATTCAATTGGGCTGATGCTGCTTTAGGTGGGGGAAAAAAAACCATACTTACTCAGTGAAGTCACACATTTTCCCTCAAGTCTCTCCCTAAGTCTTCCTTCATCAATGACTTTCCAATGACTAGGTTTTCTGTCTTCTTTTACACAAGAAATGCTCATAATATTCAAAGCTAACATTTTAAAAATTACCCAAAAGGTAGTAGCTTTTATATTTTACATATCAATTTTAAATATACTTTTGATCCTACCAACATGTAAGTTTTCTAGTACACCCATTAAACAAATATATAAATATGTATATGTGTGTGTCCACATATAATACAATGACTCAAATAAGCTAGAAGTTTTATTTTAAATTGGTTAGCCATATATAAACAACACGATGCATGTACCTTTAAAGAGAATTTTCTTTAGCAAGACAAAATAAAAAAAGAAACTCACCACTTTTTTTTAAAATCCCAAGCACTTGTATCAGAAGATCTGGATGATTCATCTAAAAAAGTTTCAAATTAAATCAGTACAGTTATTTCAAAGTTCAAGTTGCAGAATTTTAGAGGGAATTCAATTTCATTAAACACTTAAATAAAATCATACTCTCCTTTAAAATAATAAAAAGAGAACAATGTTTTATTTTTATGGTAACACATCTTGTTCATGGAAGTAGAATTTAATAAATCATGTAGTGCTATGATTGAAATAATGAATTCTTCGGTGAGGAAAGATTGTGTCATTTCACAGCAAAACAAATGGAAAAAATTAGTTTACAAAAAAACTGTCAAAGAGAAGTTGTTGAGATCAATTTAAAGGATACTGATAATTGACAGCATGGCCAAAAGGCTTAGATTAAAATACTACTTTAAATAACGAGCTTGTCAAATGTTTAGTGTATACTTTGCTGCTATTTAAAAGTATTTAGTAACCATATATTAATTTTAAATAAGTGTATCAGACTAGAAATTAAACATCAAATTTCCACCAAAATCAAACCTCCTTTTACATAAATTTATTCAAAAAATTAAAAACACATAAAACCTCAATTATTTTGTTTGATACATCAATAGATAATAAGCAATGTTAAAGGTACTAAATAACATTTGTGCTTTTACTAATAGTACTAGATGCTACACATTAAAAGTACCCATAATGTACCAGGCGCTACACAAAAATATCTGGTATATATAATCTTATTTAATATAAAAGTTATTATCCCTGTTTTGGAAATTAAGAAACTGAGGCTCAGGAAGATTAACTTCATCAGTTCAGCCAAGATTTGAACACTGATGTTTTCTATACTACCTCCATAAGCAGTAACTGTTCCACATGCTCAAATACAATCACTCGTCCTTTGTTTATGCATAAAGGATCAATTTATTGAAATGACTGTTTAGAAAATAACACTAAGCACAAGTCCAGAAACTATTTTTATACATATTTTGATACAGTTATGGTACTTTCAACACAAAACTGAAATGATGTGGCACCCTGGCTGGGTTGAGCAGCTGGTTGGAGCATCATCCAATACACCAAAAGGTTACAGGTTAAATCCCCAGTTGGGGCACCCGATCAATGTTTCTCTCTCACATCGATGTTTTTCTCTCTCTCCCCCTACCACCCAAAAATCAATAAACATATCCTCAAGTAAGGCTAAAAAAATTAAAATTAAAAAAATTTAACTGAAAATTTGTAATACTTTTTTTAAAAGATTTTTATTTATTTATTTTTAGAAAGAGGGGAAGGGAAGGAGAAAGAGTTAGAGAAACATCAATGTGTGGTTGCCTCTCATATGGCCCCCACTGGGGACCTGGCCTGCAACCTAGGCATGTGCCCTGACTGGGAATCGAACCAGCAACCCTTTGGTTTGCAGCCTGTGCTCAATCCACTGAGCTACACCAGCAAGGGATGTAATACTTTTTCAATTAAAATTTGGAAAATAATGTTATGAGTCACATTCAAATTAAAATGCATACTATATAATACAGAAAAGATACACACGTTCATTTTTGATAGTACAAAGACTGAAAAAATGCCACACTTCTAGTCTCAGTCAAGTCAAAAGTTGGGGGGCGGGGAACACATTAACTTTGAAATCCCCTCAGACTTGTAAGTTATAAACTGGGGCAATAGTTGAATCAGTGTAGAACTCCTGGATAGGGTGAAGCAGAGGGTAGGCCATCACTTGCTGAGGATGAGGCAGGGCTATGAGCTAATAAGTAAGGGAGACCAGGGGCTGCATAGGAAGCATGAAAGTCTGAAGAAGAGGCTTGGGGGCTTGATGCATCATCAAGGGCTGGAGCAAAGGCAGAGGAAGGTGTGGGTTTCTGCAATCAGAGAGTTTTGGGATTTGGCGTTCAAAAAATGGCACTATTGGAGAGTTTAGAAACGGCATCATGCACTTAGGAAAGATGGGTCTCCTTTATACTGGGGAATCCATTTCTTCAGGCTGAAGGATAGGCAGCATCATAGCATGCTGAGCAAGAAGCAGGATACTTTGTGCTAGGACAATGTAAGGGAGGGGTTCAGTGTAAGGACAGGTTAGAGGCTGTGGCTGAAAAAAGGGGTGGATTTCGTCCTAGCATTCATCCTTTCTTCACCGCTGTTTCTCCTGTTTAAACTTCTCAGGTTTCCTGCTGATGTGTATAACAGATTCTTCACTGCTGAAAGGCTATCTACAGTTTCACTGGATACACTGAGATATTCCTGCTCCCATGCAAGGGCAAGGGCCACCAGACAGGCAAAGATGAGGATCTTCATGGCTATCAAGTCTAGTCTTAATGTGGCTTCTCCTGTAAATCCTTGGTTTTAAGATTTCTGTTCCGCTAGTCTTCAGTTGGTTATTCAGGCTGACTGTTCTATATTTTAGTTGTAATTCTAGTTTGATTTTGAGAGGAGGTGAGTATAACTTCCACCTTCTCTGCTGCCATCTTTAATCTTCCTGAAAGACTGCCTGCCTTTCTCTGCTTCCTTTTTTTGTCCCTTATTCCACCCATGTCTGTCACTTAATGGTAGTTTCCCAAAGCACTGTTTAATCATGATGTAACTTCTGTAAGGCAGAATTTATAGTTCCCTTCACCTCTCTAAAAAGATAATCAATAAAAAAATTAAGTCCTAGTTAAGAACCATACGATTAAAGTTCTTTTCTAATTACTTACCTTGGGAGGAAATTTTATATCTATATTAACATCACTACTTTTCAGAGCAAACTTAGTCAGAGATGAGCCATACAACCTAAGTGAACACTCTGGAAAATAAGGAAAAATATCAAAGCATGAAATACCATTCAAATATAGGAACTTTTAAAAACAGTGGTAGAAAAACTGAATAAATCTCAAGTCTATGTCTTCTAATTCTAATACCACAATTATAGAAGAATGATATCCTTTCTAACTGATCTACAAAATAAAAATAGTTCTCACTTATGGTGTTCAGAAACAGAGAAGAAAGAGAGAAATTACTCATAAAAGTTCAGTGTTTAAACAAAATTTTAGTATTACTTCATTTAGGAATGACTACAAGTATGTTGAACATTTAATACATTAACAGAAAAGGATTAACAACCTAGCTATAGCTACTTTCACTAACTATTTATTTATTTTTACATATTTATAGGAGATAGCACTTTAAATAAGAAAGGAATCACACACATTCAATGACAATGCTCTTTAAAAATACACAGTAGAGCAAAGTTAATTAATATTACAAACCTAAAATCAAAAAAGCTCTGTGGCTTTCAAGAGTTCATACAGTAAATTAATAAAAACTACAACATACTTTCTTAGGCTATCAAACATGTCATTTCTAAAAATTATAATAAGACAAATTTTAAAAGAATCTCATCAAAGGGCAAATTGAAAAAAATAACATGGTTACAATTGATCATCAGGCAGGTTTTGTTTCTTAGAAAGTGCAAGTTCATACTCGTTATAGATATGGAAGTATACTTTTAAAGTTCACAAAATGTCTGAAAATCATCCAAGTCATGAAAATCATGAACTTTTTCTACTCTTATAATAAATTATTCTATACATAACTTAAATTAGCATTCAATGTATTTCAGGTAGACATTACAGAAATCATAAAGATAAATTAAAATGTTCTCCATTTTTAAGTTTAAATTTTATATTCTTATATATCTCCCAACAGCTCCTTATAAAATATATATTTACCAAAATCCTTTTGGTGGTAAGCAATAAATTTTATTTAATTTACATTTATTTAAATTCAATACTGATGCAAAAAAATAATAAGAGCTAAGCAAATGATCTATACATGTCTATAAAAAACCTGGCCCAACTTCCTCTCACACCAAACATATAAGGTTTTTGTAAAGAAAACAAGAGTCAAAAAAATGAAAGTGCTAACTTTATCTCTAATGTCCCTTCCTAATTTTTCCCCACCATCAGGCAAGAGAAATTTTATTTAGTGATTGGTTGTAATGTATATACTGAAAATTATATATATAAAATACCCATTTATGAGAGTCAACGGTACTGAAAAATTAATGTAAAATATAAGGGTTAACTACTAAGAAATTATCCTGCTTCTGGCATTTAAAAACTCTTTTTTATTACAGAAAGTATGCTGGGCCCAAATTCTCCATGTTGCTTTTGTGCAATATCTCCCCCATCAAAAAGTCATTTATAAACAATTAAATTCATCTACTTTTAAGATAGAGGTGGGGGGAAAGGAAAACATTAAGTAATTTACCCTAAATTCAAGAGGAAGTAAGAGGAAGAGTTGCGTGATTTTTAAAATTAAATATAAAATGCATTTGTACCTGGTAAAAATGTTGTTATAACCTTTGACATTTCCTCCACAATTTCCTGTCGGACTCTGAGGTCATCATCTGTTATTCCTTGTTCTTTTGCTAATTCAGTAACTGCAACACTTAATGCTGCCAAGTGGGCAGGAGAAGGAGGTGGCAGAGAACGAAGTTCACTTTCTTCCTGTTTTTCCTGTTAATGTAACATTTAACAACAACAATGTGAAAAGAAAAAGGATTTCTATTTTAATGTCCTTATATTTAGGGGAAAAAAACCAAATATATTCAACTTCAATGTGCCAGACTTAAGGACAAAGAGAGGAAGATCCCTGCCTTTATGAAGCCGATTTGGAAGAATGAGAGGTACTATGAAGGAGATTGGTATTAAGCAATAAAAAATAAAACTGGTTCTACTTTACTGTCTGCATAAATTTTTAAGTGCTGCATCAAAGCCAAGATACCGTAACACTCAGCTGATAATTTTGTTGCAGCAAAGAGAGACTGACTATCTGAGATGCAGGAGAAGGTCTTGAATTGTCTCTCATCAGCATATGCAGTATCAGATTAAATGGTCATAGGAAAACATCCTAGACCAGGGGTGTCCAACCATCCCATCGCCCAAACACCCATCGCCCAGGATGGCTATGAATGTAGCCCAACACAAAATTGTAAATTTACTTAAAACATATACTAAGTTTTATTACTTAGGTATGTACATTTTATATATTAGTGATCACAAAGTTGGGACCTGCTCAACAATTTTAAGATTATCAAAAGGGCCAGTGCATAATTAGGGTTATTGTAGGAGGACTTTTTTGCTTATCTGTGGTGGCAGGTATCACAAAAATTATGCACAAACCTTTCTTATGCTTATCAGCTTTCATTACTGTTTGTGTATTTAATGTGTGGCCCGGGACAACTCTTCTTCCAGTGTAGCCCAGACACCAAAAGGCCAGACACCCCTGTCCTAGACACCATTATTACTTTAATACACTATTACAACTGATTTCTATTTTATCCAATACTAGGCAAAATGTTTTTAAAAAAGAAAGAAAAACCTGTATTCCGCTAAAAGCCTGAAAACTATTTATTTTAATTTAATTTAATTTAATTGTTGTTCAAGTACAGTTTTCTGTCTTTTACTCCCATCCCACCCCTTCTGCTCTCCTCACCTCCCTCCCATTTCCACCCCCCCTAGTTCTTGTCCATGTGTCCTCTATACTTGTTCCTGTAAACCCTTCCCCTTTTCCCCTGAAATTCCTCCCCTCTCCCCTCTAGTCACTGTCAGCCTGTTCTCTATTTCAGTGTCTTCCGTTATATTTCCCTTGCTTGTTTGTTTTGTTGTTCAGGTATTCCTGTTAAAGGTAAGATCATATGGTATTTGTCTCTGAAAGACATTTTCAACCAGCTAATAAATAAAAACTATACCTATATACAATGACTTTTTTAAATTTATTTATTATAGTTTAAAAAATACATGCTAACTGCAAAAACAACATAAAATATAAATAGGCCAGTACCCCAATTTACCTACACTGCCATCTTGACTGAAAATAGTTTAACTTTTTAAAAACTACCAAATGTTTTCAAAAATGGAAGTACTACCATGTAATCCAGTAATTCCACTTCTGGATATTTATCTGAAGATAATGATTAATGGAACCTCCTCAAAATTATAAACTTCTGATCACTGAAACACACTGTTTCAGAATCACAATATTAGCCAAGACTAGGAGAAAATATTTGTAAATCCCATATGAGAAAATGAAAACACCTAGCTGGTATAGCTCAGTGGATTGAGCCCTGCCAGTCTGCAAACCAAAGGGCTGCTGGTTCAATTCCCAGTGTAGCACATGCATAGGTTGCAGGCAAGGTTCCCAGTGCAGGGCGCATGGGAGGCAAACACATTGATGTTTCTCTCCCTCTCTTTCTCCCTCCCTTCCCCTAACAATAAATAAATAAAATCTTAAAAAAAAGAAGATGAAAACACTAACTCAAAAAGATATCTCTACCCCCTTCTTCACTGCAGCAGATATTTACAACTGCCAAGACATGAAAACAACCTAAGTATCCATCAATGGATGAATGGATAAAGACAATGTGATATTTACACACAATCATGAGCCACTTAACAAAGATATATTCTGAGAAGTGCCTTGGTAGGTGATTTCATTGTTGTGTGAACATTATAGAGGTATTTACATAAACCTAGCCCACTACACACTTAGACTATATGGAATAGCCTATTGTTCCTAGACTACAAGTTGGTACAGAATGTTATTGTAAAAAACAAAATGAGATTAAATTAGGCACAAGAGAAAATGATACAATCAAGAGGCACAGTACCCTGGCCAGTGTGGTTTAGTTGGTTGGAACATTTGCCCAAAAAAATATGCCCAACATATTTTTTAAATCCTCACCCTTATCGGAGACATGCTTATTGATTTTTAGAGAAAGGGAGAAAAACATTGATAATTCTCTCTCACATCAATGTCATATCTAAGAAATTTTGCCTAATTCAGGTCATAAGAGATTTTCTCCTGGAAATTTTATACTTTTTGGTTTTACATTTAGGTCTGTGATTTTTAGTTTTCTTCTTTTTTATATAGTACAAGGTAAAGAACAAAGTTCTTTCTTTGCATATCTAATCAGTATCTTTGTATACTAATAAATATCTAATTAGTCTAGAACCATAAGTTTAAAAGACTATTCTTTCTTCACTGAGTTGCTTTTGAATCAGCTGTTCATACATGAACCTACTTCTAGACTCATTATTCTGCTCCACTGATCTAGTTGTCTACTTGATGCCTATTACAACACTGTCTTGATAACTATAGCTTTGTTAAGACGGAAATCAGGTGATATTAGTCCTCCAACTTTGCTTTTTTCAAAACTGTTTTGGATCTTTTGGGGCCTTTGCATTTCCATATTAGTTTTAGAACCAGTTTTTTTAAGTCAGGATTTTGTTTGGGATTGTGTAGAATCAATAACTGACATTTAACAATATCAATTCTTCTAATACATGAATAAGGTTTATTTCTCCACTTATTTAGAGCTTTAATTTCTCCTTAACTTTATGTTTTCTACACACAGGTTTTGCATATTTTTGGTGTTATTATAAATAATATTTACATTTCAATTTATAAAGTTATGAATTATAGAACACAATTAATTTTTGCATATTGATCCTGTGTTCTGCAACCTTACTAAACTCCTTCATTAGTTCTAATACCGTCTAGATTTCACTGAATAGTCTACATCAACAATCATATATACTGTCTACCAATATTTTCTTCTCTTTTTGGATGACATTTCTTTTTCTTGCCTGAATGCACTGGCTAGAATGGTTAATACAATGTTGAGTACAAGTACTATGAAAAAACATTTCTTTTTTTCACAATGTTTTTATGGTGAAAAAATATACGTAACCTGAAATTTACCATCCTAACCATTTTTAAGTGTACTGTTCAGTGGCATTAAGTTCATTCATATTGTTCTGTGACCATCACCTATCCACAGAATTCTTTTCATATTGCAAAACTGACACTATACCCATTAACAGTAACTTCTATTCTCCCACTCTCCCAGGCTGTGGCAACCACCATCCCACTTTCTTGCTCTGTAATTTTGGCTACTCTAAGTAATTCATGTAAGTAGAATCACACTACATTTGCTTTTTTTAATGACTGGCTTATTTTGTTTAATATAATGTCCTCAAGGTTCATTCATGTTGTAGCATATCAGAATTCCCTTCCTTTTTAAAGCTTGTTTAATATTCTTGTATGTATACATAAAATTTTGTTTATACATTCATCTGTTAATGAAGAGTTGAATAACTTCCGTGTTTTAGCTATTGTGAATAATGCTATGATGAGGCTCAATGTACATTACCTATTCAAAACCCTACTTTCAATTCTTTGAGGACATATTCAGAAGTAAAATCACTGGATCATATGGTAATTTATTTATTTTTTGAGGAACCTCAACACTGTTTGCCAGAGCAGCTGGCCCATTTTCATACCTTTTTCCTCATCTTAGAGAGAGAGCCGAAAATTCAGTCTTTCACCATTAAGTCTGGTATCAGTTTTAAGTTCTTTATCATGTTGAGAAAGTTCCCTTCTATTCCTAATTTGCAGAGATTTTTTAATCAGGATTTCTACAAATACTTTTTCAACATCTTCTGAGATGATCATATTGTGTTCTTTTTTTTACTTGTTAGTATCATGAATTACACTGCCTAGTTATCTATGTTAAACCAACGTTACATTCCTGGAATAAAGTCCTATTGGACCATGATATATTTCTTCCTTAAATAATCTGTTGGATTCAGTTTGCTAAAATGGTTACAAGTTTTGCCTTTAGGTTTATGAGGAATATTAGTCTAAAATTTTCTTTTATTATAATGTCTTCTTCTGATTTTGGCATCAGAGCAATGTGAGCCTTACAGACTAAGTTCAATGTTCTAGAAGAGTTTGTATAGAGTTTGTACACATATATCAATTATCCCAGAGCTCAAAGATGTCATTTTCTTTCTTTGCAAGGTTTCTTTTCCCTCTTTGTATCATTTTAGATAGTTTCCATTGCTGTATCTTCAAGTTCACTAACCTTTTCTTTTACAATGTTTAACCTGCCATTAGTCCTACCAGGTATATTTTTCATCCTAGACACTGTTTTCATTTCTGTAAGTTCAACTGAATCCTTTTTATATCTTCCATATCTCTATTTGGTTTTTTGAACATCAGGAATTTTATAGTATAAGTTCAAAGTCAGAATTAATTAGCTAATTCTTCTCATCATGCTTTGTACTTTCCTGCTCCCTTGTATGCCTGGGAATCTTTGACTGAATGCCAAACAATGTAAACTTTGGGGGGAGTGACAAATATTTTGTATTTCTATCAATATTCTCAAGCTCTATTCTGTAATGACATTAAATACTTCTAAGCAGTTTATCCTTTTGGGTGCTGCTTCAAAGTAGCTTAGTTGGAACCAGCCCATGTTTAGGGTTAAACATTCCCTACTTCTGAAACAAGAAACTTCAAAGTATTCTACCCAATGCCCTATCCCAAGGAATAGTGGGAAAATACTACTCCAGTTCTGTGTGAGCACAAAACACTATTCTAATTCTCTCAGATGGTTCTTTCCGTGGCTTTAGGAAGCATTCTACATGCATGCACCAATAGGTCTTATGCTGAATATTCCTGAGAGGACTTCCACAGATCTCTGGATTTCTCCATATAGCTTCCTCTTTTTTGTTACTCCATGATGTAAACTCTAGTCACTGGGAACTCAAGTCCCTCTTCTCAACTCTGGAAGTCCACAGGGTTTTCCTCCCTGTAGTGCATTCTGGGAACTCTTTCAAACTGGATTATCAATGGGCTCATCTCATTTGTTTTCCATTCACTACCTGTCCTTCATTGCTTAAAAAATGGTTAGCTGTTTCTGCCTCATGTTGTTGTCACTATTTCAAGGAGATAACCAGTCTCTGTTATGTAACTTCATCAAAAGTAGAAGTCCAGTATGGCTGCTTTAAAGGTTTCTCTATTTGTTTTTTGTAATGTTCTAAAATACTTTATATTATGAGCTCTGTCCAGAAAAAGTCAAACTATTGTTAATATAATGAAAACAGTTTGTGCAACATCAGTGTAACCTGACAGCCAAGAACAGTGAGTGGATTGGAAAGTACATGTGTGAACAATGATGACTTCACTGTACTAGTTGTTGGAGGTGGTAGACGACGTTGAGTGAGCATGTGTACCATGTGCCCATTCCATTCAAAATGACTGAGCAAGTACAGTAACGAACCTGCATCGAACTTTGCATTAAGCTTGATCATTTCTCTGTGGAAACTATTCAGATGATTCAGAAGGCCACAGCTATAGGTAACTGGTGATTGGCAGCTGCATCATGACAACGTGTCCGCTCATGCATCAGTCTTGGGCAGAGTTTTTTGGCAGACTATCAAATAACCCAGGTGACTCAGCCACCTCCCTACAGCCCAGATCTGGCTTTTGGCTTTTCCCACAACTTCTGCAACTTCTGGCTTTTCCCACAACTAAAATCACCTTTGAAAGGGAAGAGATTTCAAACCATCTATGAAATTCAAAAAAATACAACAGGGCAGCCCTGGCAAATGGGGGAACTGTGAGGGCCCAAGGTGCCTACTTTAAAGGGGACTGACGTGTCATTGTCCTATGTACAATGTTTCTTATATCTGCTTCAATAAATGTCTCTATTTTTCATGTTACATGGCTAGATACATTCTGGACAGACTTCGTATATGTAATGTGCATTGGCTTTAAGTTTCTTGTTTAGAATTTCCTGAGCTTCCTAAAATAATTAGCATCTTTCAACATTTCTTCAAATTTCTCAGAAATACTAACTATCCTTAACCACCATTTTGTCCCTCTTCTATTAAGTTTTCTGAAGTTCAAATTAAATAAAAATTGTAAGCTGGTAAAATTTGAATGATTTCTTTTCCTTCTAAGTTCCTGATTTTCTTCAACAAATTCATTTCTTTTAAAAAAAAATAATGAGCACCTACTATGTGTTAAATACTGTCCTAAGCAACTCAGAAACAAAAATATGTAAGAAACTAAATTTGCCCTGAAGTGTAAAAAAGGACAGAAGAAATTTACATTTATAGTATACTGTGTAAGGTTTTTCTGGTCAAGCACTATGGAAGCAGAGAAGGAATACCTAACCCAGACTTACTGGGAAGGTCAGGTAAAAAAGTATTTCTCAGACAGGATATACAAATTCAGACTTAAAAATAAGAGGTTATATAACTTTAAAAAGAAAAAATTAAACAGATAGAATATTAATAAATTTTAAAAAGAACACTTTGCATCTTCACACAACCAAATCTAAAAACAACAAAGTTTTAACAACAATAAACCACACAGAAAATCGAATAATACGAAGTCCGAAAATAACGAACAGCTCAGATAAACTGGTGAGAGGGGCGAAGCCAGCGGCGGAGCGGGTCAGGCAAAAAAGATCCCCCAACCCCACCGGTGCACAGGTAGCTGAGGGTGCTGATCCCAAGTGTGGGCTAGCTACTGGCAGAACCCAGGAAAGAGGTGGGAACCCAGGAAAGAGGTGCGGCTGGCTGTCTGCAGTTGGTCGTGCATTTGCACACAGATAAACCAGTGAACAGGCAAGCGTTGAGACAGATCGCACAGGGCTCAGATAAGCAGGTGGGGGCCAGCGGTGAGGCGGACTGGGCAAGCAGAGAGGACCGCCATTGCTCCCTCTCTGACCACACCCCCACATACAGCGTCACAAACCAGCGACCTGGGTAGCCCTGCCCTGGTGAACACCTAAGGCGCCTCTCCTCATACGTAATAGACCCGGGATCAAAACACGGCTCAAGAACAACTCAGAGCCCCAGAGCCGATAAACCTAAGTGATGAAGAAATAGCCAACCTTTCAGATGCACAGTTCAAAACACTGGTGATCAGGATGCTCACAGAACTGGTTGATTTTAGTCACAAATTAGAGGAACATATGAAGGCTAAACTAACTGAAATGAGGGGAAATGCAATAGTGATGGAAAGGAAGCAATAGTGATGGAAAGGAAACTGGGACTCAAATCAAGGGAGCAGACCAGAAGGAAGAAAAAAATGACCAAACAGAAAAATATGAAGAAACAAAAATTCAAAAAAATGAGGAGAGGCTTAAGAACCTCCAGGACATCTTTAAATGTTCCAACATCCGAATTATAGGGGTAGCAGAAGGGGAAGAGGAACAGCCACAAGTGGAAACCTTATTTGAACAAATAATAAAAGAGAACTTCCCCATTCTGGCAAAGGAAATAGACTTCCAGGAAATCCAGGGAGCTCAGAAAGTCCCAAAGAAGTTGGACTCAAGAAGGAACATACCAAGGCACATCATCATTACATTAGCCAAGATTAAAATGAAGGAGAGAATCCTAGAAGCAGCAAGAGCTAAGGGGACAGTCACCTACAAAGGAGTGCCCATCAGACTGTCAGCTGATTTCTCAAAAGAGACCTTACAGGCAAGAAGGAGCTGGAAAGAAGTATTCCAAGTCATGAAAACCAAAGACCTACAACCAAGATTGCTCTATCCAGCAAAGTTTTCATTTGGAATGGAAGGACAGATAAAGTGCTTCTCAGACAAGATCAAATTCAAGGAGTTCATCATCACCAAGCCCTTATTACATGAAATGTTAAAGGGACTTATCTAAGAAAAAGAAGATAAAAAAGATGAACAGTGAAAGGACAGCAAACTCACAGTTATTAACAACCACATCTAAAACAAAAGCAAACTAAGAGGACAGCTAGATCAGGAGTGGAAACATAGAAATGAAGATCTCAAGGAGGGTTAGCAACAGGGGAGTGGGAGGAGGAGAAGAGGGGAGAAGGTACAGAAAATAAGAAGCATAGACAGTAGGTAGAAAATAGGGGGACAAGAATAGTATGGGAAATATAGAATCTAAAGAACTTGAGACACACGGTCATAAACTAAAGGGGGGAATAGTGGGGGTGGGGGAGTGCAGGGTGGAGGGGAATGAAGGGGGGAATAGAACAACTGTAATGGCATAATCAATAAAATTACAAAAAAACAACCACACCTAAAACAAAAGCAAATTAAGAGGACAGCTAGATCAGGAGTGAACCATAGAAATAAAGATCACAAGGAGGGTTAGCAACAGGGGAGTGGGAGGAAGAGAAGGGGGAGAAGGTAAAGAAAATAAGTAGCATAGACAGTAGATAGAAAATAGATAGGGGGGAAGGTAAGAATAGTAGGGGAAATATAGAAGCTAAAGAACTTGAGACACATGTTCATGAACTAAAGGGGGGATTGGTGAGGGAGGGGTGTGCAGGGTGGAGGGGAATGAAGGGGGGAAATAGAACAAATGTAATGGCATAATCAATAAAATAAAAATATATAAAATAAATTTAAAAAATAAAAAGAAAAAAGACCCTACTCATATCTACGTCAATGAAATGCTTTAATAAAAATAACTAAAGAACTAAGAATTCTTGAAGTCTAAGTTGTATAAAGTCCTACAATGTCTGGACTTCTCAACTTCATCTCACATCATTTTCCTCCTAACTTTCTTTGTTCCACTCATACTAGAACTAGACTCTCAGTTCCTCATACACCATGTCCTTTCCTGACTTAGAGATCTTTACTCATGCCGCTTTTTTGTTTAAAATGCTCTCAGCTTACCCCTTTACACCACTCACCCTTTTGCCTTTTAAACTCTTACTTCAAGGTTCAACTCAAATGTTCACTTTCTCAGAGTAACTGTCCCTATTCTAGATTAAGAAAAATATTCTCATACACTTCTTTAGCACCACATTTCCCCATTTAACAAAACTTATGATACTTAAATCCTTAGTCAATAGATGCCTTCACCAATACTTTACAAACTCTGGGGGCAGGAACCACGACTATCTTCTTCACCACTGCCTAGACCTAAGCACATAAAAACTCAAGAAATCTTATCCGTTGAACTAACTACACATGACGGTTTTAAATCAAGATACTTTAGGATGAGAAAACTATTCTCTAACAAAGCCCCCCTCCTGACTACCTAAAATAAGGAGAGTAAGGACAACCTCCAACCCTGCCACTTCATTTACTAATATACAACTGGGTAAATACCACATTTTTACTATCATAAATAAAAATATATTTAATACAGTTTTACCATTCAAAAATAAAACATTTTGTAATAAAAACTTACCAAAATGTTTTTCTTATGTCGTTTTTCCTTTATATGTTTATGAGCTCCCTGGATATTTTCAATGTGAATTAAGCAAAGTTTGCATAGATACCGACAATTGGTATATTCTGGTGAGCGCTGAAAAATTAAGAAAACAGAGCAGTAATTTTTTTACTATATATTTTTTACTATGTATTGTTTACTATGCTATGTAAATACAAGAGAAAAAATAAGCATCGAAGGATCAAGTTTTTACTAAACAAATCAGTACTTATATACCCAAGAGAAAGTTAGCTGTCCTTTTCAAAACAGTTATCATGGAATATTATATACTAATTTCAAACAATATCACGAAAATGCTGAATATTTTATACTTATCTAATATACTCTTTAGAACCCAATGTAAAATAAGGAAGGCAGTCTTATTACTAAGTCTTATTCCAATGCTGCCCCAAATATTGGTTTTGAATTTCAGTATATAAAAAACAGAATCCACCCTCAACTAGGGGATACAAAAGAATAAACTGCAAATATGGGAAACAATTCCAGAAGCTAAGTTCCAAAAACACTCCAATCACAATCTCATGGGAATGGATAACCTCTGGAGAATATTACTCTAAAAGAAACAATTCTGACACATGAAAAGTATCAGTCATAATACTTTAATCAGACTTCACATATGAGTATATTCTTTAAATAATAATCTTAATAATCCCAAAGTTCCTCTTATGTGTGAGGTACCTTCTTGGGTGCCTCGCATACAATGAGACTTTTTATTAACTCTTAACCGAGGATATGTTTATTGATTTTAGAAAGAGGGAGGGAAAAATATCAATGTGAGAGAGAAACATCTATCAGTTGCCTCCTCTACACACTGACAAGGAATTGGGATCAAACCCACAAACTTTTGGTGTACTGGATGACACTCCAACCAACTGAGCCATCCAGCCAGGGCTACAATGTGATGTTCTAATTACCCTAATATCCAATTAGAAGGGCATTATCTTCATTTATAGTTGTAAAAACAAAAGTTCAAAGAGCTTGCACTTTCACAAGGATATAACATTAAGTGGGAGATACTGAATTTAAATTCATGTATGACTGAATCCAAAGCCAACTCTCTACCCATAAGATTATACAATAAAGATACAAAACATATTAAATACTTGAATTTTAAAACAGTTTCTACTACCTTATACTGGAATTGCAGAAATGCTTAATTTTTATCTCAGATTTAGCTTCAGAAGTCTTCAACTCCTGACAAAAAGATTCTCTCACTTCAGAATATTACATACAAGGTCCATCCAGAAAAAGTTCAACTATTGTTAATATAAAGAGAATGGTTTGTGCAATATCAATGTAACCTGGCAGCCAAGGAAAGTGGATTGAAATGTGCGTGTGTGAACAATGATAACCTCAATGCACTAGTTGGTGGGGGGCTATAAATGTCATTGAGTTGAGAGTGTGTACTGATTGGCTGTTCCATCCCATTCAAAATGGCTAAGTACAGTAACAAATCTGAATCAAATTTTGTGTTAAGTGAAAACTGTGATAAGGCCCTGAAGTCAGAATCTGCCTGATATGTTTGAGAAATTGCAAAAAGGCTAGCATGATAAGGTATTAACAGGAGGCCAGATCACAAGGCCCCTTGTAAGGAGCCTGGCTTTTAAGTAAGAATAAGAGGAAGGCAATGAAGGTTTCTGAATAGAGAAATATAAGATCTAAATAATACTTTAAAAGAATCACTTGTCTTCTATCTTGAGAATATAAACAGAAAGAGCTAATTTATTATTATAAGCATACAGCAATAATCCAGAAGACAGATGATACTGGCTTCATTCAAGGATTAAGAGTATAAAAATAGCAGGAAGGGTTGAATTCAAGAATTGAAAGCATAAACACAGAATACCTAAACCCATGAATACTGACGAAGTCACTAAGGGAGTCATGTGTCACTTACCATATGAATTATAAAATGTTCAGACAAGAACATGACTAGATTCCTTTAGTAAGAAGTTTAATACAAACTGAATGGTGAGACAGCAGGCCTAGGATGACATCTCAATTGACCATGAATAAAATTCTAACACTAGAGCCTACTTCTTTATAGGTCCCTAAAATGAAATAATAAAAATTGCCCAACCAGGTAGAATAATTCAATTCCACAGTAGCCAATCTTTATTTAGTGCTTACTACATACTAGGTACTGTACCAAGAACTTCACTTGTATTATCTTATTTAATCCTCACAACAGCCTATTATTTTCATCAACTCCATTCTAATGATGATGAAACTGAGGTTTAAAGTGGCTTAAATAATTTATCCAATGGTATCTAATCAGTAAGTAAAAGAGCTAGACCCAGTGATTCCAAAACCACTTAAACACTAGAAAAATGAACCCTGGCCAAGATGGAGGCGTAGGTAGACAAATTGTGCCTCCTCGCACAACCAAAACAAAAACAACAACAATTCAGAAACAAAATAACCACCAGAACTGACAGAAAACTGAACTGTATGGAAGTCGGACAACCAAGGAGATAAAATAGATACATTCACCCAGACCAGTAAGTGGGGCGGAGTCTGGCAGGCAGACAGAGAGGGGTTGCGGCACAAAAAGTAGTGACACCAGGCACAAAAAGCACCTCGGGCGCACAGGCAGCAGCTGGCAGAACCTGGGCACACAGGTGGCAGCTGGCAGACCCTGAGCACAGGGTGGCAATGGACAGACCCAGCCCAGCAGCAATTGTGAAGTGAGGCACTGCTCAGTCCCACATTCATGCACAGATAAACCAGGCAAAATTGGGGAGCAAGACAGACCTGGCAACCCAGGGTCCCAGCGTGTGAAAATAAAGCCTCAAAACACTGACTGAAAATACCTGTGGGGGTTGAGGCACAGGGTTCCAGAATGTATACAAGCCCACCCACAGAGGAATTAGCACCAGAAAGGCCCAGTTTGCTTGGGGGAAGTGGCGGAGGTGACTGAGATCTGACCCGTCACAACCCAGCAACTGGGTTGCCCCACCCTGGTGAACACCTAAGGCTCTGCCCCTCATACATAACAGGCATGGAAAGACAAAAAAAATGGCCCAAACGAAAGCACAGATCAAAGCTCCAGAAAAAATACAACTAAGCAATGAAGAGACAGCCAACCTATCAGACGCACAGTTCAAAACGCTGGCGATCAAGATGCTCACAGAACTGGTTGATTTTAGCCACAAATTAGAGGAACATATGAAAGCTAAACTAATTGAAATGAAGGGAAATGTACAGGGAACCAATAGTGATGGGAAGAAAACTGGGACTCAGATCAATGGAGTGGACCAGAAGGAAGAAAGAAACAACCAAACAGAAAAGAATGAAGAAACAAGAGTTCAAAAAAATGAGAAGAGGCTTAGGAATCTCCAGGACATCTTTAAATGTTCCAACATCCAAATTATAGGGGTACCAGAAGGGGAAGAGGAACAGCCACAAGTGAAAAACAGGTGTACAAATAATGAAGGAGAATTTCCCCAATGTGGCAAAGGAAATAGACTTCCAGGAAGTCCAGGAAGCTCAGAGAGTCCCAAAGAAGGTGGACCCAAGGAGGAACACACCAAGGCACATCATCATTACATTACCCAAGAATAAAATGAAGGAGAGAATCCTAGAAGCAGCAAGAGATAAGGAGACAGTCACCTACAAAGGAGTTCCCATCAGACTGTCAGTGGATTTCTCAAAAAAGACCTTGCAGGCAAGAAGGGGCTTGAAAGAAGTATTACAAGTTATGAAAGGCAAGGACCTACATCCAAGTTCGCTCTATTCAGCAAAGCTTTCATTTAGAATGGAAGGGCAGATGAATTGCTTCTCAGATAAAGTCAAGTTAAAGGAGTTCATCATTATCAAGCCCTTATTTTATGAAATGTCAAAGGGACTTATCTAAGAAAAAGAAGATAAAAAAATGACAGCAAACTCACAATTACTAACCACACCTAAAACAAAAACAGAAACTAAGCAAACTAGAACAGGAACAGAACCACAGAAATGGAGATCACAGGGGAGTGGGAGGAGGAGAGAGGGAGAAAAGGTACTGAGAGTAAGTAGCATAGATGGCAGGTAGAAAACAGACGGGGGAAGCAAGAATAGTATGGGAAATATAGAAGCTAAAGAACTTAAGACACATGGACATGAACTAAAGAGGAAAAATGTGAGTGGGAGAGGGTGTGCAGGGGGAGGGGAATGAAGGAGGGGAAATGGTACAACTGCAATAGCATAAACAATAAAATATATTTTAAAAAACACTAGAAAAACTTCTATTACTGACTGTGCAATGTATTATATAGGCACAACAGAAATTAACAGAAAAATGTTTTCATTATAATGGAGCTTCTAGTTTCACAGAAGAGATCGTGAAAATTGTTTAAAAATTCCTTTACTTATAGTTTCATTTTATTTAACCAGTAAACAAGCACACTAATAAATCTTAAAATTCCTGAGACAGAAAGAAAAGATCAAGCAAATTAACAATCACAAGATTACTTATCGTAACCCCCAGCCCAGCACCTCTTAGCCAGGTAATATTTGGCTTCTCCATTTCATCTACTGTACTATACATCCCTGTGGCTATCTGCTGGAAGCTCCGTTGGTTAGAATGTCATCCTGATACACCAAATTGCAGGTTCAATCCCTGGTCAGGGAACATACAAGAAGCAACCAACAGTGAGTGGAACAACAAATTGATGTTTTTCTCTCTCTCTAAAAATCAACTGAAAAATAAAGAGTATACTTTATTGAAAACAAAAGGTTTTGGAGGGCTTGAAAAACAGAGATGTCAGAAAGAAAAGAGACTACAGACATCTCTGCTGGTATTGGCACATTGATTTTATATGATTACTGTTTAAATTCAACAACAAATAAAATGTTTCCATGCTTCTAAGGTTTTCTTTCAGCCTACACCATTCTTTATTACCATCAAATATCCATTCCACCCTAACTTCTTCCTTCTTTCAAGAATTGGTCTTTCCCACTTCATATCCTATCTTCCCATCCAGCCCCCCCCACCACTTATTTTTCTCAAAACACATTGTTCACATTTCCTTTACACATCCCATATAATTTATCTACATCACCCTTCCCCACCCACCTGGTCCACTCCTAGTCACTCCTTTTGACTCCAGCATCACCTCCACATAAAGCATTCCCCAATTGATGCTTCTCCACCCCAACTCAAGTTGATCATTCCTTCGTCCAAAATTCCATTTTCAAACAATACTGTTAGTTTTTTTTTTACTACTATTATGGTTTACTTACATGTCTCTCTCTAATTAATAAACTCCTAGAAAAGCAGTATCATGTTTTAGGGGGGAGTTTTTTGGGGGTTTTTTTGCAACATCATGTTTTCAAAAATGCCATGCATACCCCATTCCAACTTTATATCACCATATCATGGCACACAAAGGCCATAATATGGTGATAAAGGCGCTCAATGTTAACTTTGACAATGAAGATCCAGAATAGCTACTAATTTCATGCTTAGGAAAGGGAAAGTAAAAGGAAAGATAAACTAAGTAAAACAGCAAACTGCAAAAAAAAGGATTCTAACTAGGACCTTGTTAGACTCGCCATGCAACCCAAACTCTCTCCTACTTTACGGGCTTCTACTCTTTGATATTCATAGGGTGACTACTCTGTCATAAGTTCTATTAATAACCCAGGACTGCCCTCTTAAATTTAGCTATGACCTCCTTTTTCTAAACTACACAAAATCAGACCATTTATTACCTGTATTATTTACCAAAAATGATGACCTATTTCCTTGATTGCATACTCACAAATACCTCAAGTATCTATTTGTGAACAGATTAATTTATTTTTCATTCCTTCAATATCTAACAGTGTTTTTATTAAGGCTAGGAATGTATACTTCTAAGTTAAGAAATTAATTAGTACTCAGAAACAAGATACCAATGGCTAGAATAGTTCCTAATACATAGATGTTCAGTAAATATGTGAGAAAAAAGAGGTGTTAAAAAAAGGTAAAGGGAAGAGATAAAAGCCAGCAGGATGGGAAGAAGTCTAGAACATCATGTAGTATCTTCTAACTCATTTCTGTCAGTGCAAATAAACTGTTACTTTCTAATGGGCAGAAACTGTGCCATATTCACCAATAAATTTCCCATGCCTAGCTCATTTACCTAGAACATAACAAGAACTTAGTATCTATTTGATGACTGAATAAATGAAGGGTCAGCAAATGTCTTCCCTTAAAAGACAAGTAATGTTTTGGTAAATATTTACCATGCTCTGGTAAATAGTAGGTATTTTATGCTTTGTGGGCCATACTATTCCTTATAGCAACTACTCAACTCCATATTGCCATGGTGGCACAAAAACAGCCACAGACAGACAGTATGTTAACAAATGGGGGTGGCTATGTTCCAATAAAAATTTGTTTACAAAAACAAGAGGCTAGGGCCATGCTCTGGTAAATAGTAGGTATTTTATGCTTTGTGGGCCATATATTCCTTATAGCAACTACTCAACTCCATTTTGCCATGGTGGCACAAAAACAGCCACAGACAGACAATATGTTAACAAATGGGGATGGCTATGTTCCAATAAAAATTTGTTTACAAAAACAAGAGGCTAGGTATATTTAACCACACTTTAAAAACACAAAACCAAAAAAAACAAAAGTAAGAGGATAGGCCATAGTTCTTCAACCTCTGGGATAAATAAATGAAGTCAGACTCATAGACATAAGGATTTGATTAAAAAAGGAGGGAAGGGAGAAAAGACAGAAGAGGGAAGTACAAAAAGATGAATGCTATCTCTGCCTTAGGAATAGAAGAAAAATTGAAAAAGCTGTACTTGAGAAATAAAGGTTATAGAATACGCATTTTCTTCCAAATAACTAAAACAACATAGTATACTTTTTCAAGTCGAAAGATGTGATCTCTTTCTAAGCGTTCTTCTGCTTGTTTTAAGCCTAGCCTCTGCTCAGGTGTCAATGTAGATTCATCTATCACAGTGGCATTTTCTAAATAGTCCATCTCTGAAGCATTTTCTTTATTAGATTCATCATTCTTCATTTTACCTAGAAAAGGAAGCAATCATTTAGTTACCATCATCAGAACTGGTACATTTTTTTCCTCAATAATTTTATTTAGTTATTTTTCAAGTACAGTTTTTTGCCTGTTTCTCCCATCCCAGCCCCCCCCACCCCGTGCTCCCCACCTCCCTCCATTTCCACCCCCCCCCCCCGTTCTCATCCCTGTGTCCTTCATATTTGCTTCTCCAAATCCCTCCCCCTTTTTCCCCCTTAAATTCCCTTCCCTCTCCCCTCTGGTCACTGTCCCCTTGTTCTCTATTTCAGTGTCTTTGTTTTTATTCTGCTTGCTTGTTTGTTTTGATGTTTAGCTTCCTGTTAAAGGTGAGATCATATGGTATAGAACTGGTACATTTTTAAAAATGTAATTAAAAACAGACATTCAATTTATACACACGTTAGAAAATATTCTTTCCTTGACTGTGTAAGTTGGCATACCTACATACAATGTAAGAAAGAGATATACATGGTATCAAAATTGAAAAAGAAAAATCTACTGCACAGGTCAAATGCCTATCTTGTTTTTACAATATACCTATCAAAAGAGACAAATATCACTGAGACTTACAAGGCTAACATAACCATCTGCGGAATCTCTGAAGTAAGTATGATAAGCTCTTTTAAGTCCCAAAGATTAGTCACTGAACTAAAGTCACTTTAGTAACGTTATCACTACACACTAGCAGCTTAAAAAACATACATACTCCAGACCACAAACCCACACCAGCCTCTTTCTTCTTTGCTTTCACTGAACTCATGGATATCTCTACCACATCAATATTTCTTTTTAGCCTCCGAACTAGATTGTAATCGCTTTAAAACATAGACTGTGTGCTTTCATCTTTGCATTTGCAGCACCTAGCAATACATACCTGGCATACAGTAGGTTCTACCATCAGTATGACTTTTTAATTACAATTGAAGCATGTTATTCTCTTGCTTAAAATACTTAAAAGTCCTTCTCAAAGAGTCAAAATAGAGTTTAAACTCTCTAGCATATTACATAAGTCCTTCCCTTCATATAAAGACAGTAAACAGAACACAATTTAATTTTGTTATAGTAAGTGCTACAAAGGAAAAAAGCAAGTAACTGAGAGGGAAACCAACTTTATATATGGGAGTCACGAAAGGTGTATTTAAAAGTTTAAGCTAAGACTTCAAGAAAGAGAGCTGTGCAGTCTGTATTTCTAAATTTACATCCTGTTCTAACACCTGTCACTTTATTCATACCAAATGTGCTAGAATGGATCATTGCTACTTCAAATCTCAATGCCTATTTACATACACTGGTCACTCTACCACCAAAGCCTTCTCCATTTAAATTAGTAATGTTTATCTGTTCTGCATATCTATTATCTCACGTTTGCACAGTAACATGATGTCAATGACTAGGTCTTATTTAACTTTGTACCTTCAGATTTTAATACAATGCCTAGACCAGAGATAACACTTAATAAATTGTATTAAAGAAATTAATCTGGATATATCCAAGAGCACATGTAAAAGTAAATGCCCATAGATAATCAACAAATCTCTCCATTCTTCTCTTAAAAGTCAGCTACATAGCAACTACAAAAATTCTGATGGTCAATTCTACCTTTTGATACTATTTTTCTGAACAAAACAGAAGTATTATGCCTATGGAGGTGATGTCTCCCATACCACAAAAGCAAAGAATAGGCAGGTGAACTCTTATATAAAGGATGTTATACAGCCCTGGTTGGTGTAGCTCAGTGGACTGAGCATGGGCCTGAGAACCAAAAGATCTTGGTTCAATTCCCCATCAGGGCACATGCCTGGACTGCAGGCCAGTTCCCAGCAGGGGCCAGTTCCAGCAGGGAATGCACCAGAAGCAACCATACATTGATATTTCTCTCTTTCCCTTCCCTTCTAAAGATTAATTAATTAATTAATTTTAAAAAAAGAAAACAAGTTAAAAAAAAAAAAGATGTTATACAAAGGATTTTAAATTACTGTCAGGAGGACAGTGATGCACCATGAGCAATTTGCAACTGTGTTCTAATATTTGGAAAAATAATTTAGGTTTTTTAGTAATAATTTTATGACAGAAATGAAAAAAAAAGGTGAAATCCTCCTCACTTCAACAGTTCATGAAAAAGGACAGCAGCAAGGCAATAATGTAATATTCTATCCTTCTCTCTATGTACAACTTGCCCTATGTGACAATAATTTAAGAAACACTTAGCTAACCTAGTGACACTTCTAATGTTTGAATCCTTTTTACAGTGTCTTTGTGAAAGAGTTTGCCTTCATATTCTCTGCTTTTGTGGTAGGAGAGACATCACTTCCAGAGGCACATGAGCAATCCTGCAACATTATAATTCCTACCAATATAAAGAATTAGAGAAAACTACCTTTCTTTAAATGTAGAATTTTAAATATTAAAATTAAAATTAGATTACTTAATTTCCTGAAATCAACATTAAAATTAAATAACATCAGGCAGAATTCCCCAAACTTTGTTTCACAGAACACTAGTTCCTTAAGATGCTAATACTCTCACAAAACAAGAGTTGAAAACAGGTATTCATAAAAAAACCTATACACGAATGATCACAGTAACACTATTCACAAGTCAAAAGTGGAAACAACCCAAATGTCCATCCCTAAATAAATGAAGAAACAAAATGTGACATGGGATATACAATGGGATATTATCATTCGGCTGCCTTAGGTCAGGCTGCCATAACAAAATACAATGGACTGGGTGGCTTACACAACAGAAATTTGTTTTCTCACAGTTCCAGAGACAGGAAAGTCAAGAACAAGGTGCCAGCAGGGTTGGTGTCTGATGAGAGTTCTCTCTCCTTGGACTACATGTAGACAGCCACCTGACATGGCCTTTCCTAGGTGCAGGCACTGAGAAAGATCTTCCTCTTCCTCTTCTCATAAGGCCTTCAATAATATGTGCTTAGGACCCCAGCCTTATGACCTCATTTAATCTTAACAATCTCCTAAAAGCTCTTATCTCCAAATACAATCAGGTTGGGCGTTAGGGATTCAACATAGGAATTTTGAGAAGACACAATTCAGTCTATAGCATCAGCATTAAAAAGGAAAGAGGTACCAGTATATACTATATAAATGAACCTTGAAAACATGATGGTTAATGAAGGAAGCCAGACACACAAAAAAACACCTATTTTAAGATTCCATTTCTATAAAATATCTAGAATAGGAAAATATATGGAAACAGAAGGCAATCAGTGGTTGTCTGAGGCTGGCATGAGAAATAAGTTTCCTTTAGGGGTGATGAAAAAGTTCTGCAATTAAGACAGTAGTAATGGTTGTACAACACTGTAAGTGCTCTTAATGGCACTGAACTGCACCTTTGAATTGGTAAATCTTGTATGTATTATAGCACAAAAAATTGTTAAATATGGAGTTAACATATGATTCAGCAATTCTACTCCAACATATATATCAAGGACAAATGAAAACATACAAATACATCCATATAAAACCTTTTAAACCAACGTTCATAGCAGCATTTTTGATAATAGCCAAGTGATAGAAACAATTCAAATATCTATCAACTGATGAAAGAATAAACAAAATGTGATACAGCCATATAATGAAATATTATTCAGCAATAAAAAGGAATGATGTATTGATATATGTATATCACCACAGAGATGAATCTTTTTTTTCAATCCTCACCCAAGGAATGCTTATTGATTTCAGAGGGAGAGGGAGGAAGGGAGGGAAGGAGATGATAGAGATAGATAGAGATAGAGATAGAGATAGAGATAGAGATAGAGATAGAGATAGAGATAGAGATAGAGATAGAGATAGAGATAGAGATAGAGATAGAAAGAAAAACACTGATCTGTCTCCCATATATAGCCCAACCAGGGACCAAACCCACAACCTAGGTATGTGCCCTGACCAGGAATGAAACCTGCAACCTTTTGGTAAGCAAGACAATGCTCCAATCAATTGAGCCACCACACCAGGGCAACATGGATGAATCTTGAAAACATTATGCTAAATAAAAAAGGCAGACACAAAAGGCTACATGCTGTATGATTCCATTAACATAAAATAGGCAAATAGAGAAGGTAGATTAGAGGTTGGCAGTGGTTAGGAGAAGGGGGTAATGAGTACCTTCTAATAAATATAGCTTCTTTTGGGGGTAATGAAAATGTCAGGAATTAGACAATGGTGATATCTACATGCCATTTGAATATACTAAAACCCACTAAATTGTATATTTTAGTCACTAATTTATATATATATTTTAAATATTTTATTTATTTATTTATTTATTTTAAAGATTTTATTTATTTTTAGAGGGGAAGGAGACAGGGAGAGAAACATCAATGTACAGTTGCCTCTAGTGTGTCCCCTGCTGGGAAATGGTGTGCAGGGAACTGGCCTGCAACCCAGGCATGTGCCCTGACTGGGAATCGAACTGAACTGTATATTTTTAAGTGACAAATTTTATGGCATATGAATTATATCTCAACAAAACTATTCTATAAGAAGATACATTAAAAAATTAGACAGATCGTGACAAGGACTATGGAGAAAAATTAAATGGGTAAAAGGTATAAGAGTATTAAGAGGTAGAGGTGAAGGCTGTAAATTTTAGATAAGTGATCCAGCAAAAGTCTTACTGAAAAAATGAAGGAGGTAAGAGAGCTAGCAATATGGGTATCTGTGGGAGGAGTGTTCCAGGCAAAAAAAAAAAAGGGAAATGTGAAGGCCATTAGGTGTACATCTGCCTTTACATTTGAGGAACTGAAAGGAAACTATGCAACTGAAGCAGAGAGAGAAAAAAGGTAAAACATAGATGAATGAGGGCAGAAAAATGTTGGAGGGCCTCAGACCATGTAGGGCTTGTAAGTCACTGCAAGGACACTGGCTTATTCTGATGTATGAGAAACCACTGAAACATACATGAACAGTAGTTACATGATCTGAATAACTTTAACAGGATCATTCTGTCTGCTATACTGAAAATATAATGAAGGAAGGTGTAAGTGAAAGTAAGGAGTCTGATTATGCTACTTAAAAGCAAGATCCTGGCCAACAGCATCAACTTCTCTAGGGAGCTTGCTAGAAACCTAGTATTCCAGGCCCTACTCTGTAAACCTTCTAAGTCAAAAAACCTCGGGGAATGAAGCCTGAAAATCTGCATTTTAATATGACTCCCAGGTGATTCATATACCTATTAATGTTTGAGAAGCCCAGATCTAAAATACCTCCCCTCAAATATTTACTACGCTCACTCTCTCACTTCTTTGAGTTATTTGCTCTAACATCACCTTCTCAAAGACAATTTAAATTTGAAACACCACCACCAGACAGGGTAGCATCATTCCCTATAACCTTTATCACCATATAACTTATTACATACTTTTGTTATTTACTGCATTTGCTGTTTGTCTCCTCCCACTCAGAATAGTAATTCCATAAGAGCGTGTGGTCTGTTTTGTTTATTGCCATAATCCAAGCTACTAGATTAGTACCTGACACCCAGCAGACTCCCAGAAAAATATTCACTGAATGAATAAATGGCTAAAGAAAAAATGGTGGAAGTGCTAAGTCGAGCTAGTTAGGCCCAAAAGAGATTAGTCCACTAATCTCAGGAGGGCATAGGAGCAATCAAATTTCCATCAAGTCTAGTAAATCCAAATAGACAATGATCCAGATATAAAGGTTTTGTTTTATTTACAAAGTGGTACTCTAATAAGAAATATTTCCAATATTATTAATTGGAATTTTTTCATATGATAAAGTGCTAAAGTGACTTCAAGGCAGATATTACACATATTAAAAAGAATTCTTTAAAATAGAAGCACTTATTTAACAAAAATGATTGCTATGCAGAACTGTACATCATTTTTATTAACATGACAAACCAAGTCTCCCAAAGAGACTTCTACTTGGTCTACTAGTTTCCTTAAGCCAGATCAGCTGTTCTCCATGTTAACAAATAACAAAAGTGCACTCTACTAGATTATTTAACCTGCCTAACATAGGCAGCAGACTCTCTACTTTTTATAAAATGAGAAAATTGAGAAACATTTTAAGAGATAAAAACTTACACAAGATTACAGTTTTTAGGTGGGAAAGACAGGATTCAAAACCTATGGGATTTTACTCCAGGGCCCACACTCTTAGCTATCACATGATCGTCTTAATTTATTTTAAAAATATAATCTTTAAACCAGATTTTTCGCTAATTCAGGTAATAAGAACTTCATACGTGACCTTATGCGCCAGGTTTTTTGCCAACTTCAATCATTCACTTATTATCATGTTTAAATTTGCCATATCTAAACTCTACAAGCACTATTATTTACTTGATACTGTCCTCAAATTACTTTTGTTGGCCTTGCCCTAAGCCTTATCTATAAAATTTTGAAGTTGTTATTTTTTATCTTATACACCTAAAGATACTACTATCAAGATAATCTCTGCACCACCAAGACTACACACAATAATCTCTGTACCACCATAAATAAAAAGCTATTTTTGAACTCTTTACCAGCATTTCTCAAAGTGTGGTAAATAAGGATTTAAAAGTAGCTTTTGTGTTTTTTGTCTATACATCAAGAAAAGGCTTTATTCTTTTAACCATAAAAACATTAAGAAAAAAGAATGCCAAAGAAAAATCATTAAAATCAGAATTAAAGTACTCAAAAGACAAGGATAATATTTATAAATAATGATTAACCTCAGAGTAAAATCCCAGAAGAAAATGAATTTTACACTAATAACACTCATGTAAATGGCAACAGTGTCCTAACCAATCTCTGGTTTCAGTCTCGTTCCCATATAAGAATCTGCTGTACTGCAGCCAATGCAAATATATATATTTGCTACATATACATATAGTGCTAAATATAACACTACCTAAAACTCTTCAATTGCTTCTCATTCTGTGTGTATATATATAACACTTTATATACATATATATATATAGTACATATATATAGTGTGTGTATATATATAGCACTATATATAGCACTACCTAAAACTCTTCAATGGCTTCTCAAAACACTCACAATAAAGTCTAAACTCTTTATAATGTCCTAAAAGAGCCTTCATTCTCCAATTCTTGTGTACTTTTCAGTAGCATTTTTGCCACTTTCCTCCTCAATTCCCTCTTCTAGTCATACTGAATCTCAATCATATCTGCAGTCTCACATTTATATCATGCATTTTTTTCAACCCAAAGTCTAAATTTCTCAATTAAATCATGTGCATTCTCAACTCAAGTTTTTGACGTAACTAAATCACCACTTTATCTGTATCACTTCCATCTAACTAAGCTTCCTTGAGGTCTGGGGCTTTGGGGTTTGGTTTTGGTTTGGTGTGGTTTTCCCCTGTAAATACATGCTTGACATATAATAAAAACTCAATACACACACGTTTGGTGAATGAACGAGCAATACATTACCAGGACCATTCAGAAAGAGTATGAGAGGAGGGAGGAGAAAAGGGAGAAGGTGGAAGAAAAGGTGAGGGGAGGAAACATTCTGACTGTACTGACTATAGAAGTCACTAAATTTGTATTTGTACAAGCTTTTTACCTTCCATAATAAACATAAAAGTTCTTTTTTAGCTTAAAGAACCACATTATCTATGTCCTTCTGAATTACAAAGTGGTTAAAATAAAACTAGGGATTTAATATTAATGTAGGCAAATTCCTCCAAAATAGTGACTTGCAGGATAATCTAATGTGTACTTACTCAAATCATCTGATATGTCTTCAATTCCTGAGGCACTATCATCAGATTCACCAGTATTATCTGTAGATGTTTGTTGCTTCTGAGATTGTGGTAAGTTTTCCAGAGTAGATCTTTCTCCCTCTACAACATCAATATTCACTTTGTCCAGAGAAGTCAAGGAGCTTGGGATTCTTTTCCCTATCTGTTGTAATTCTGTCTGTCTCAGGTTTTCTTTCAGCAGTAAACTAGGCACCTTCTCTGCTTCTGCTGGTGAACTAGAAACCTTTTCTGATCTCATCTGAGAACTAGGTGCTTTTTCTGCCTTCTTCTGTGAACTAAGTGCCTTATCTGCTATCACTGTCTGTGAACTGGGTGCCTTTTCTGTTTTCACCGGTGAATTATGTGACTTTGGTGATTTTTCTGCCTTTGTCTGTAAATTAGATGCCTTTTCTACTTTAGCCAGTGAAACAGGTACCTTTTCTGCTCTGACAGGTGAATTAGGTAACTTTTTTGTTTTGCAATGACTTTGATCTCGAAGGACTAACCCCAAATCTTTAGGGTCTGAAACACTGGCAGCGTTTACTTTACATGATTTAACTTCTGTTTTTTCTATACAAATATCATTTTGCTTATTTTTTTTACTACTATTCCTATTTGGAGAGCTGGTCCCAATTTCTTTTATGGATTTATCATTTCTGGCTTTCAAAGTCTGATTAGTTACAACTCTAACTGTTCTGCTTTCTTCAGAAAGGGCCCAAGCATTCTTCTTTGGTTCATGATTTTCATTTTTAGAGATCTTAGACTCTTCCATTATTTGAAAACCTGCTTCTTTCCAATTGTGATATTGTAATATAGCAGATCTCCAGTAGTTTGAATTGCTTCAAAATCCAGTTTATACAAGAGCTATGGAATTAAAAAAAAACAAATCATGTTATTTAAAATGCAAAAGTCATTTTTCAAATATTAGTAAGACATAAACAAACTTAAAATTTGTTCTCAAAACTAAAAAATAAATAGAAAAAATAGTTTAACTCTGAAAACTATATGAGAAAGAATGAAAGCCATTTAGTAAATAATAGCCAAATGCTCATAAAGAAGGTTCTAATACAATTATGGCAATATATCACCAAAAGGAGGGAATATTATAACTAAAATGTTTTATATTACTCAACAAAAACTTTAACTAAAAGGAAAATAATTGTGATGTACCATAAATAACATAAAAGTAAATGGAACGGCCCTGGCTGGTGTAGCTCAGTGGATTGAGTGCGGGCCTGCAAACCAGACAATCGAGGTTCGATTCCCAGTCAGGGCACATGCCTGGGTTGCAGGCCGGTTCCCTGCAGGCCAATTCCCAGCAGGGGACACACGAAAGGCAACCATACATTGATGTTTCTCTCCCTCTCTCCTTCTCTTCCCCTCTAAAGATAAATAAATAACATCTTAAAACAAAAAGTAAATGGAACAAAGAAAACAGAAGAATTCCAATCTATATGCAACATAAGAAATCAATTCATAAAGTCTAACTGGTAGGATCTTGCTCACATGACTTTCCTATTAAAACACTACATAGTTATGTCACTAACTTTCAAACGTGGTTCTCTAAATATAGGGACACAATTCAACATATTTTTCCACCTTTGAAGTATAAAGGACTTTAATAAATTCTTCTGAGATTAAAAAAACTTTTAAACAACAGAAACCCAGAGTTAAAAAATGACAGTAAAATTTTGTATAATATTATAATGATGGATATGTGTCAGCATACATTTGTCAAACTGCATAGAATGTATGAAACCAATGTAAACTACAGACTTTGGGTAATAAAGATATGTCGATGCAGGTTCCTGGCTGTAACAAATGTACTACTGTGCTGCAGGGATGCTGATAGTGGGGTAGGCTACACTATGGTGGGGAAGGAAGTAGATGGGCACTCTGTTCTTTCTGAACTTTCTGTTCAATTATGCTGTGGAACTAAAACTGCTCTAAAAATGTTTTTAAAAAGATGATAGTATACACATTAAAATCAGAACTCATTTCAATTCTAAATAGGAACAATTTTGCATTTATCAGAGAATATAAACTATAAGCAATTTTGTTAAATCAGTCCAATATTAGAAATATCTTGTATACAATACTTATGAAAAGCAGAGGATTTTTTTTAACTATTCACATTACCCTGTAGGCCTTAAATTCAGACTTATGCCTCTAAACAAAGATTAACAACATTGGTAAAAATTAGAGTCAGCAAAAGCAAACTGCATGTGTAGCACCTTTAATTTTACTTGGTTAATTTATTAAATTACATATTTAGGCAGTAGAAAGCCTCTAATATTATAACTATATTACACAAACAAATATATTACCAAAAATAAGATCAGGACACAAATCATTTACTGCTAACTACCTGTATTTGTGCTAAAGCATTCGCAAAAAAACTGAACTCACCTAGTTATATCTCCACTGAAACATCTTACTCAACTTGAACCCAGCTTTTATAATTCCTATTGGTAACAGAGTCCTCTATATATCCTGTGTCTTGATCTCTGCCCAGGTTGTCTTTTATTTTAAAAGGAAAATTTACTAGTCTTCCTAAATTATTTTATAAAGCAATATTTTAAGAAATTATGATAATATTTAAGCCAAAACCATACTAGATTTTCACCATTCATTTCTTTTTGAACTACCATTATTTTCCAGTAAAAAGCTACAGCACTTTTATCCAGTAAATACCCTGGTTTTTGGATATTTGAATTTATTTAATTAATATATTTTGCTTTCATTACTTTTGATAAGGAGTTTTATTGTCAAACAGTTGTCAAATATTTGACTATGCCTAAATTCTTGTAGAAACTGCTACCAAGTTCATAAAATGGGTTCTATTTCTAAAAGTTTAGTTTTACCTAATCCAGTAACTGAAATATTTTAAATTTTCTAATACTACTCTATGATTAAGGGCTCCTGAATAACTTTGTGGATGTCATCTTAGTGACAAAAGCCATAAATAAAAAACTCTGTATGTCAAATCTGCATGTAAGCTACAAAGATTTTTAAAAATCAATAGTTAATATGTAAGTAAATGCTAGTGAAGAGTTCAAGACTCAAAAAAATGCCAGGTTTCACTTTAAGGTAATATTTGTTTCATATAAATAAAAGTACATTTAAATTTTTCATAGAAATATATTTCATAGAAAAAAACAACTAAACTACCATATTTTCATTTCTAAGAATTCTCTAAATCTCTGATTATTCTTTCCTATAGCACTCTGATCTTGTCTTATAAGTTGATGATACAAGAAATCATAAGAAATCTTCTGGTTTCTGAAAATACTAAACATTTTCCTGAAAATTTTTTCTGCTCACTGTACTGCTTCTTCAGTTCCTATTTGTTTTCTTCTCTATCGAGCACACTAATATGCATAACAGAGGTCTCAGAAGGAAGAAAACAAAAAATACTTAAAAAAAAAATAATAGGTGAAAACTTCCCAAACGTGATGAAAGACATAATTATACACATCCAAGAAGCTCAAAAAAACCCCAAGCAAAATAAACTCAAAGAAATCCACACTAAAATAAACTGTTAAACTGTTGAATTGTTAAACTGCTGAAAACCAAAGTCAAAGTGAAAATTCTGAAAGCAAAAGAGAAGCAACTTCTTATGCACAAAGGATCCACCATAAGTTTAACCCCCAGAAATCATGGAGACCAGAAGACAGTGGATGCCATAGTTGGAAGTCCTAAGTACACAAAATTGTAAACCAAGTATTCAATAGCCTTGCAGCAAAACTATCCTTTATAAAGGAGAAATTATGGACCTTCTAGATAAACAGAAGCTAAGAAAGTTCATTACCAGCAGACAAGTTCAGTGGATTGAGTGCCAGCCTGTGAATCAAAGGGTCACCAGTTCGATTCTCAAGTCAGGGAACATGCCTGGATAATGGACCAGGTCCCCAGTAGGGGGCACACAAAAGGCAACCACACATTAATGTTTCTTTCCCTCTTTCTCCCTTCCTTCCCCTCTCTAAAAATAAATAAATAAAATCTTCAAAAAAAATTGATAGAGGACTCAGACAGAAAATTAATAAGAAAACACAGGTTTGAATAACACTATATACCTAATGTATATTCAGGAGAGTATAGCCATCATAAGCAGAATACATATTCTTCTCAAATGCACATGGAACATTCTCCAGAACTGTTATGTTGGGCCACAAAAAACTCAATAAATTTAAAAAGACTGAAGATATACAAAGTATCTTTTCTCATTACAACAGAAAATTAGAAATCAAACCAATAACAAAAAAAACCTGAAAAATTCACAAATATGTGAAAATTAAACAATGTACAACCAACCAATGGATCTAAGAAATCACTGGAGAAATTAGAATACTTTGAGACAAATGAAAACTTGTATTTTACCCACTTTTTAAAAATGGTGATAAAAGAAAACTTCACATGATTTTTAAAGAATAATAAATGAATACTAAGAACAACTGTATATTAATTGGATAACCTTGATACAATGGACAAATCCCAACAAATACACAAACTACAAACACAGTTATAACCCAGGAAATTATGAATTAATCAACCTCCCCCTCAAAAGCCAAGAACCAGAAGGCTATAATGGTGAAGTCTACTCAATATTTAAAGAATTAACATCAATCCTTCTCAAATTCTTCCCCAAAAAAACTGAAAAGGAAGGAACACTCTAATCCATTCTATGAGGCAAGAATTACCTAGATACTATAAATACACAAGCAAAACAAAAATCATCAAAGTACCCACAAACCAAATTCAAAAGCATATGAAAAGGATTATACACCATCACCAAGAGATCTATCTTCAGTACATGTAGTAAATCAATGTGCTATATATCACGTTAATAAATTAAACAGAAAAACACATGGTCACATCAACGGATACAGAAAAAAGCATTGGACAAATTCCAGCATGTTTTCATAATAAAAAAAACACTAAATTAACTAGTAATAGAAAAATTCAATTAACTAGTACTAGTAATAGGGGAGAGGAAAGGGGGGGGAGGGAGGGAGGAATTAGAGCTATCAATAAAACCAGACTCACTATTAAAAGACTAAAAAGTTTTCCCTTAAAATCAGGAATAAGAAAAAGATCTCTGCTTCTGTTAGTTCTATTTAACATAGTACTGGAACTTCTAGCCAGAGCAATTAGGAAAATAAAAGAAATAATAGGCATCCAAAATTGGAAAGGAAGAAATAATACTGAAGAATAAATGTAACCAAGGAGACAACAATTTGTACACTGAAAACTACAAAACTTACTGTAGGAAATTAAAGATTTAAATAAATGAGTTCTGGCTGGTGTGGCTCAGTGGATTGAGTGCCAGCCTGTGAATCAAAGGGTTGATTCAATTCCCAGTAAGGGCACAGGCCTAGGTTGCCAACCAGGTGCCTAGTAAGGGACACTCGAGGAGCAACTACACATTGGTATTTCTCTCCCTTCCTTCCCCTCTCTAAAAATAAATAAATGAAACTTAAAAAAATTTAAATAAATGGAACATTCCATGTTCATAGATTCCTTCCAGCCTACTTCTCCTGCCTACCTCTTCCTTGCTGTTCCCCTTTCAAATTCTCATCACTGCTAATGAGATGCTGGGAAAGAGGAGTAGTTAAAGCTCATGTACCCTACAGCCACAAGGGAATGGAGGCTGGGTGACATGCCTTTTACAGTATTTATCATTCACTTAAAATAATTAATCACTGAACCCACTGAGTATTGTTGTGAAGCTCAAGAGCCCCAAAAACTGTTTAGGCTGCTTTCCCAAAGCCACGGAAAGCTGGAAATGGAGAAGAATTCATGAACAGCAGCCCACTGTGTACTCACCCACTTATTCCCTTCATGTAAGTTACAATTATTGTGAA